GGAATAAAGTTTCACAAAACTTATGAAATATATGGCAAAGTCGAGGCGTAAATAGAAACTACAATGTTCTCGGCTCTGCCTCTTTTTCCAACCTCATCCTTCTTCCTCTTCTCGGCTTTCCTTTCTTTTGTGGCTCACGTTTCAGTTGGAAATTGCGAGTAACGAGGAAAATTAAAAAGCAATATACAAACAGCAATCACGCACACAGCGGCACAAAAAGAATGCCGAAACTCAAATTAAAGAAAGTCAAAGTTTACACTGCAAGAACCACATAAAAATGAAGTCTTGATTTAGGTCAGGCACGTGTGAATATTATAAAAGCTGGAGATATTATATATATCTGTAAATGTTATTATTTGATTGCGTCTATCTTTAATTTCTTGCAGTGCACATGTGGGTGTGTCCCGAGCCTAAAAGTAGGCATCAAAAGCACACGCGTGCGGTCATTAAGTAATTCGGTTTAATGGCCAGCGAGCTGGCCACTCTTTCGGATCCAACTTCCCCAGTTTCACCTCACTTTTCCTGGGCTTTTCCCACCACACTCCCCCCTCCCCCTTTTTTTTGGGTGTTGGAGTGGGTGGTTGCCTAATGAGCCACACAACGCGAACAGAACACGCCGAAAGTGCGCTAATGTTTGTTTGTGGCATTAATTTTGTTTACAAGTCGTTTGTGCAAGTGGACCCTGAAGGGTCACTCATCCACCCGATCACCCAACCACCCGATAACCCACACTGCCCCCGCTCACGCAAGCACCCCTTTGGCGTCCCCCAAAGTTGTCACTGCCTGTCCTTTCATTAGCGACGTCGACGGGGCTTCCCCCTCCTCCTCCTCTTTTTCCACCAAGCTAAACTGCTCCTCCATCATTCATATTCAATTTGCGTTCTGTTTTTATTGCGCCTTAGCACAGACTACAAATATTTGAGTTGCACTCATTCTGCTCGGCTATGCAGATGGGGAAAAGCAAAAGGGGTGCGGGGAAATTGGGGAAGGGGGGGGATGGGGGGTTGGGTGAAATGGACACTTTCTGGAGGAGCGCACTTAATTGATTGCTTTTCAGCTCGAGCTAGTCTAGTGCGGAGGGTTGGCTGCGTAATTGATATTTAATTAAAACGCAGCAGCTCAGCTGAAGTAGTTGCCAACTCATGAGTGGCCTGCAAAAAAAGGAGGAAGGAGAAAGGACGAAGGAAGTAGGGAGTGGTCACCATCCGGAGACACTAAGCGTGAGTAATGGCAGTCATCTCAAGTCAGCAGCTGGAAAAACAGGAAGATACCCAGAATAGCAAATTAAATCAAGTGGCCAGCAGAGCACGCAGATTGTTCAGCATCAGTCGTTAAATTAAAATACTTCAAAGACAATACAATTTTTAGTAGACACAATACCCTCAACTAGTTTTCAATCCAATATAAGAGAATAAATATTCCAGGCTAATATCAGAAAAATGTAGAAGCAACCACAACAAAGAGGCAAGAACTTCTGGGGGGAAAAATGTGAAAACAAATTCGAAATAATTCCAGCAACTCTCCATTTGCCGGAAAGAAAATCCACACTTGAGGAAATTCCCGTCACTCGCAACTGCAGAAACTATGTCAAATGGAAAAGAAAAGGGAAAACGAAAACCGAAACCCAAACAAAAATAGAAACCGAAAACACTCCAATTGCAGCAAATCAAGCCGAACAACTTTGTATGTATATGTGTGTGTGTGTGTGTATGTGTGGCACTTGAAACTTTCCGGCTTTCCCGCAGACAAGGTGAGGTAGGCAGTTAGCCAGTAGTTTGGCCAGGTCCTCGAGCGCTTGTTTGCCTTTCTGCCGCCTCTGCTGCTATTGCTGTTGCCACTGCTGTTTTCCTGCTGCCTTTTTTGCCCGGCCATAATTATAAATCAACTAGCTGAGTGCGCCCCACCTGCTGCTGCTTACTCCCAACTAACTAATCCACTCAGGCACAAGCCGAGGGCAGCATTAAAAGCCGCCGCCCCCAACTCCGGCGAACTCCTGCCTCGGGCGACCCACTTGCAACAAGTTGGGTGGGGCTCGGGGGGCGGGCATATTGCCACAGTTAGTTGACTCACTTTCACTCGAAGGGCGTAACAGAACAGAAACTGAAACAGAAGGTACACGTGGGGAAAATATTATAATCGAACCCAAAATGCATTTATATTAGAAGCGAAATGTCGTACTTAAGAATTTATTTTAATATTTAACTGAAAGGAAACAATTTTAGTGAGCAAGAGAGCAGTAAGTCACACACTTTTTGCGCAGTGGAGCAGATAGTTAGGGGTGAGGAAAAGCGACCCCAGTCAGGGCATTTCCCCTGTGTATGACATCAGCTATAATTTCCATTACGAGTCGAGCGCTGAAAATTGTACACCAGGGAGCTTATTAAGCACGCTCCCCCTGCCTCCCCTGTAATGTGCAAATGAAATGAAATAAAAATGTCAGAGCGCGGGGCTCGGAATGCCGGCGAACCGAAAAAAATTCTTAAAAGCAGGGGGTGAATATCAAACAAAAAAGCGAAAAAGCGAAAAAGGAGCCGCACGACATCGGAGGAGAAACTTGGCCAGCGTTTTCTATAACTTTGCTGCTGGCCTTACTTGTTGCCAATCTGCTTGGCGTTGCCGCTCTTGAACTACCAAATACCAATCCTTGCACCATAATTCCCATAATTCCCCTGTCCTGAGTAATGTTTACCCGAGGACAATAACTTAAGTGTGTCATGTGCGGATCGTAAATTCGCCACTGACCCGGCCATTTGCATAAATCACAGGGTATTGCAGTGGATAGTGGGGATGTAAACTTATAGGGCCATTAAAGTCGCATCCAAGAAGGCATTTTAACGATTTTCGGTTTTAAAGGGAGGTTAAGGAGTTGTTTGAAGCATGCATTAAATTCAAACTTAATTATTTATGTGCAATCAAAGATATTAAAGGTATTTACTGCAAAAGTAATCCTTAATGTATAAATATTCTCATAGAAATATCTGGTTTCTCTTAGTGTTCAGGAAAAAGGACGAATCTTACGGGGTGGCACTTACATCACTTGGCAACTAAATCAAAGCATTGCATACTTTGCCGGCGTGAAATTACATAAGTTCCCCAACTTCCTTTCCTCCTTTGAGCCGCTCCGCTGGTTGGTCTCTGCTCGAGTTTCACGCACTTTCCCTTTGTTTTCAATTTCGTTTTAATAATCGTAAAGGGAGGAGCTGGGCAAGGATGGATGTTGGCGACCGGGAACGAGGGCTTTGGGGGCCATGGCAACCGATGGCTCAGATTTCAACGCTTATTTGGCTTCTGATTATTATTTCATGCTCGTGGGCCGCTCAGCGCTGCGAGTCCTGAATCCTGAATCCCGAAACCCCGAAACCCCGAATTCTGAATCCCGACTGTCGACTGTCGAATCCTGAGTGCTGTTCTCACGCATCACGCCCCCAAAAAAGAACGCAGGCCATGATATTTGCCTTTTTATCGCCTCCGCCACATTTCCCCGTTTTCCCATTTTCACATTTCGCGTGAAAACCTTGTCCCTGTTCGTGTTCCTCTTCTGTTGTTTTCAAAAAGTTTTGCGTGTTATTATTATTTTACTTTGCCATCTTTTTCTGCCACGTTTCGGTTTTATTTGCCCTTTTGTTCGGTTTTATTTTTCTGTTTGCTGCCCTGCACCATTCATCAATAATTCACATTGATTTCTTTTACCCCCCCTCGCCCTCCTCCTGTGCTCTCTCCTTAATGTTAATGTTATCCCAGTTGGTTTCCCGGCTTCGCTTTGTTTTCCCTTCAATTCGCCGTGTAAACAATTGACAGGATACTCCATCGGGGGAGCACTGTCTTCCGAGGGGAGGAACGTGCCAAAGTCATTCGAGTCGCGATGCATATATCCTCGTACTCGTATATAGTTACAGGTGCGTCCGAGGGGATTGCAAAATTTATGCCAAAGTACAGTCTGCTGATTTTGCAAGGGAATATTCCCAGTTCGTTTAGTTCCAAGGGAACTACTTCAAAGTGAGTGAACAAAGTATAAAAAGCGGGTTAGTGAGAGGTAAAAATAGAATTCACTTGTAATTATAGAACATTAAAAATCTTTTTTAGAAATACATATATTTGTTAATAAAGGGGGTTATCCTTCTTGTTATTCAAATAAAACATTTACGTATGAAGCTAATATTCTTTTTCTGTATTTTGTGTCCTGAATATCCTAAGTGGCTGTTGCTCCTGGTGATGATATAGCTACGTCGCAGCAGTCAAGGCATAAAATAGAATATAAAAGAAAAAGTCGGATGAAACACAACACTCAGTCATGCGTTTCCCTCTTTTAGCTCGCTGTTGTTCCACTCTCTTTTCTGCATAATCTGTATCTGTATATAGTATATGTGTGTATGTGTGTAGAGATACTGCATGCTGATTTGATTGGATTTGATTTAATTTTCCAATTGAAAACACTTTATCATGTTACCCGTTCACGTGTGTGAATGTGCTAGAACAACATGAGCGGAAGCTGCCGAGTTATTACGAATGGAAAAAAATGGGAATAGCTACGGGGCGGATACTTGATAAGTCGTTGCTGCCACGAAATGCTGCGCCCGATTTAGTCGGAGTTTTGTGTAAGCCGAGACGTATCTGCAACACATTGCCAGCAAGAATTACAGCTTATGAAATGGGGATTTATTGTCAGGAATAATGATTAAAATAACATAAGGAAAAATATGGAATTTTGTAATACATACGAGTGGGAAGAAGCATTTTATCTCTATGTTTTATTATCTTTAGAGATTTTAAGATAACATGGTTTTAGTATTAAAATACATACGTTGCTAAAAGCGTGTCAGAGTAATAAACAAAAAAAGTTCATTTTTCTTTGAGATTTATCTTCTACAACGTTTATAAATTCCAGTAAATTTGCCTGCAACTGAAGGTACTTACACCTTAAGGACTCTCCTATCCCCTTACTTGATTGCAATTGAACCGACAGCTAATCGTTTTTCCTTCTTGCTCTTCTCTCCCCGCAGCAACTGTTCCGCTCGCAGAACCCGAACCTTGCTGCAGTTGCCACAAATGCGGCCGCCGCAGCAGCAGCCGCGGCAGCTGCCACATCAGCAGCGAGTGCTGCTGCAGCGGTGGGCGCTGCCCCCGTGCCGAATGGCTCGCTGCAGCAGTCGCAGCAGCAACAGCAGCAGCAGCAACAACAGCAGCAACAGATGCAAATGGCGGCCGCGTCGCAACAGTTTCTGGCCGCCCAGCAGGCGCAGAATGCCGCCTACGCCGCCCAGCAGGCCACGCCCTACGTCATCAATCCGGGACAGGAGGCGGCCCCGTACATGGGCATGATTGCCGCCACCCAGATGCCGCAGTACTACGGCGTCACCCCGTGGGGCATGTATCCGGGCAATCTGATTCCGCAGCAGGGCACGCAGCCGCGCCGCCCCCTCACCCCCTCGCAGCAGGGAGCCGAGAATCAGCCGTATCAGGTGAGATATATACCAGATACCAGAGCCATTATCATCCCGCACACTCGCTGTGTGTGTTCTGAATGGCGACTGCAATGGAGCGCGTACTGTACATAGAAGCACTTGCATTGCACTCCGGTGCACAGACTGTACGACAGGTGTCAATTGCCCTACACTCGCGGTCACAACAGCAGTGCTGCTAATTAAAGTAGTTAACCAGTCTGCTGCCAAATATAATTAGAAGCCAAGTATTAATGCTTTACTGCAGCGAACATAGTTATATCAATTATAAGGTTTAAAAGCTGAAATGTTAAGTGTTAACTTACCTTTAATCAGCATACGTTTTTTTTACATTTTATGTACATGTGTAAATTAAAATTATGTAGAACTATGTATAGCTCATTTGTAATTGTAGCCGCCAGCAGATAATTGGACCCGAAACGTTGTATATTTATGCTCTGTCTTTCTTCTTTTCTCTTTTTTATACTCACATCATCAACAACACGCTTCCATAACCAACCAACCAACAATAAACAACAAAACAAACTCTAACCTCTGTACAAAAACGAAACCGAAATCCGAACCGTGTAAAATACCGTGTGACCATGCGACCACCATGGGGCTGTACAGGTCATCCCGGCCTTCCTCGATCCTACGGGCTCCTTGTTGATGGGAGGACCCCGCACCGGGACGCCCATGCGTCTGGTTAGCCCCGCCCCCGTTCTCGTGCCCCCGGGCGCCACCCGTGCCGGTCCCCCGCCCCCGCAGGGCCCACAGCTCTACCAGCCGCAGCCGCAGACGGCCCAACAGAATCTCTATTCGCAGCAGAACGGCTCCAGTGTCGGAGGTAAGTGATTTTTACATATTATTTTGAAGAGGAAAAAACGTGTTATTTAGGCAATATTAGGTCTCTGCGTTGTGCAAAAAGCATCCAATAAAATAAGGTTACCTTTTTGGCATACATTACGTATGAGTAATATTTCGTAAGTCGATAGCGAACACTTTGATTATGATTAACTTATTTGAAGTAAACGATTTAAGCAATGGTGTTGGTCCTCAGAATTAAATGTAAGTTACCTTATGCTTAAAATTTACTAAAATAATTCATTTACAATCACTGTGATTATAAGAGCTCAGCCAAAGTTATTTTGCCCAGTGATTAGCGACACAAATTGTAATTAGTGTAAAGTGTGGCACATCTTCATCAACATCCTCTCCTTGTACAGCATAGTTTATGTATGCATAGCCATTTATCTTTGTTTATCTAACAATTCTCTTTGTACTCGAAGGATCTCAGCTCATAAACAGCAATATTCGTGCTTGCCAAACGCTTTTGGATATGTGTCTAAATAGTAATAACAGAAAAGGGGAGTAGTTGTCCTTGCAACTTGTCAGCACTCCTGCAATTTATAATTTCAAATTTTCATTTCGATTATTTTGCTGTGCTGCTCTACATTTTAAATGTGCAGGCTTATTAGGTTAGCGGTACGAAAGAAACTTACCCTTGGCAACTTAGTTGAGGGAATGTTATTTTGCCAAATAATTTAAAGCGCTTAGACCTCTCCAGAAGTTTTCATATTCCCAAAGCAAGATATTAAGGGCTCCCCAAGTAACAATTACAGGGCATACATGAGTTTGGCATTACCTAGTCCAGAATGTATTACACCATGGAAAGCCATGAAAACCAACTGTTTGTGTCAGTAAATTTCCCTGTTTTCATACATATCTAATGCACAGAAGAGCCATCGAGGAGAAAACTAACAACAATTGCATGCAAGCACGCAAAATGTTATTATTGCCAATGCTCCGGCAACTTCGGCTTTCAACTTCAACTATAATGCAACTACAACGAAAACAACTGCAGAACTCCCGACGACTGACTCATGCAATTTCGAACGTAACGCGATGAGTTGGGGAAAACTCCATGCCGAGAGGGAAAAATAGGGGAAAGGGTTGCGAAAACGTTTCGCATTGCAACTTGGATATTTATGCCAGTTTATGCATTGAAAATAATATAGAGTTCACTGAGAGCGAACAAAAAATGTGCACTCATTAAAATAAAGTTTTTTTTCGTTATTTTTAAACTCCTAAAAATCGGTTATCGTATTTCATATATTCTAATACCCCGCATAAACCCTTTGTTTGCTATTTATGTTGTCCAACTCTCGAAAAGTTTGTCTGTGTGATTGTAAATACCCAAAAATAACAAATTACACAAACTAGAAGCAAAATGTTTGCGATGGCTTATCATATTTCTTGCTGCAGAGCATTTGTTGTAGATTTATAGAATTTCAAATTATAATTAATATGAGCAGTTGGGCAATGAAAGTTTGCACTTCAAGCGCTGTAACTTTTACGAATGATTTAAAGAGCAAGTGGAAATAAGTTTCTTTTAGTTGCTTACTTACTTTAATCGCAGCTCACGGAAAATGTTAAAGTTCCTTTAACCCCAAACACACACGAGCGTTGCGAACATCAGTCGTGGACAGCGCCATTAACTCCATTAACAATCAGGCGAAATCAATTATTACGCTTTCCACCTACCGGTTTTTATTTCCCGACCGCATGCAAAAACGCTCTTTCCATTAACGGAACAAATTTCCCGGAATATGGGAGTCGAATCCGTCTGACGGTCGGGAGCTGGCATTATTATGTCGTTAATTCATTTTGCCTCATATGGCAGTTTAATGAAGTTTCCAGTTTTCTCTTCTTGCACGCTGTTGTTCCACACGGCGTATGAGTGATTACGTATTTTAATTTTAATTTTTTTTTGTTTTTTTTCCGCTGCCGTTATTACTGAAATTGTTTTTAAACGCCGGAATTTTAAGCTCGCCCTTTAAGACCTGCGATCTGCAGGAGTCCTCCAGTTAAGAAATCCCTTTCGGATTTGAGTGGAAGCCCAATCGAATGCAATCCGTTGTCGAGACCGCAAGTCAAGTCCTGACATGCTTTGCGTGGAGAACCGTGATGATGCCGGGTGATTAGACTGAGGGCCTCTCGAGGAGTGTGCCACATTCACGGATCCACCTGCACATGTCGTACTACCAATTTGGATTAGTTGCACTGGCAAAAACTTATAAACTGGTGAAATAGTGTTTGCACGAAAGAACATTATGGAAGAAGTTATCTTTAAATATATAAAAATATTATAAAAACTAAATAAGCTTCCAATACTTATTCAATATAATTTGGTAATCATTGGAAGTATAAATGATTCCAAGAGCTTTAAAGATTGTCGCTCAACCAAATAATAAATTCAAAGACTTAATCCTTAAAGAGCAATTGGTATCACATTCCTCAATGACGTTTTTGCCCCAAGTGTAACCATTTCCACTTGCACATTCGCATCTCAATTACAATTAGCACATGGCGCCCACACAGTTTGTCCTCCGATGGCACAAATCCCCACTAACAACTGAAGCCGGCAGGCGGCCTCATCAGCCACCCACTCATTATGTTGTGCAATCGATGCTGTACAGTGAACACCCTCGTTACCCACCCTCCTTCTAGCTGACTATCTGTCTCGCTGTCTGCCTGTCTGACTGCCTGACTGTGTGCAATGTCAAAAAGGCTTTTTAATGGAGATTATATTGTTTTAAGTGGCTGGCTGAAGGAGGACGACGAACAGCGGGGGGCACGAAGGAGGAGGATGCTACCAATAGCACGAATCCCCATTCTGCGTCAGAGACAAGCTGCAATTACAAACGTTAATGCGCCTTGGCCTGGCCGAAAGAAGAAGAAGCAAAAGAAGAGGGGTGGATGGGTGTCAGGCGGCTCAGTGGATTGGAAATGGAGGAAAACGGGGCGGAAAAGAGGGAAAGCTGCTTGACTTTGCAACCGCCAAACCCATTTCGGGCATTGCCTTGAAAACAATGAGGGTAGCACAACAGAAGCAGAAGCAGAAGCAGAAGCAGCAAAGGCAGAAGCAAATGCAGAAGCAATAGCGGCAGGAACATCCTCCTTTGCCTGCTAAATTATTATGTACACCTTTCGCATGTTGGCAACATGTGATTGCATCACACACGGGGGTGCTGGAAAAGTGAAAGGCCCACCACCACTACCATCACTTTTACCGCCATCATTGCATATCGAAACCACCACGCAGCCACCAAACCACTCTGCATACAATGCAGCACATTGTTCGTCCTGCCAGCAGCTGCTTTATCCGCCTCCTCCGGCAGCCGCCTCCTTTCTGCGGCAGCCTTTTGTGCAAATGAATTCGTTTATTTTGTAAAATGTCAATTGCTATGCTGGCTTACAGCACAGAACACAGAGCACATAGCACAGAACACAGAACGCTGGGGATAAGGGGTTAACAGGAGCAGGGGATCCTGGCCGGATCGCAGGCAGCACACGGTTGACACTTGCTGCGTTGTCGGGAGGTGTTGGTGGCCGTGTGTGCACTTTACGCTTAATGAAAGTCTCAATGATGTGTACCACACGGCGTATGCGTGACACAACTCAAATTAAATCGGAAAAAAAGGGAGAAAAGTTTGATGTAATAGTGCAAGGACTTGCACTGTAAATTTAATTAACTCTTTATCTTTGTAATTTCGATTCGCTAGTTGGAAGTACTTCTCTATATTTTCTAAACTACAAATTACTTTTGTAATAATGATTGATAGTTGCAATAAAATCAACTTGGAGTTTATTCGAATTTAAACAAAATTAATTTACTTTTATCTGTCTGCAGCAGTTGCTCGGATTTAATTGCCGGCTGCAACTAAAAGTTCTGGCAGTAAATGGGAAATCCCGGATGCAATGCTTAGTTTAATGACAGCCAGCGGGAAAGGCGGCAAAAGTTTGTAATTCTTGCATTTAAATTGCAACTAATTTGGCGTCTCCCGACGGCGAAGAAATCGAGGGAGGGAGAGGACTAAATTTCAAATACAGACGGCGGAAAAACACAAACAATTTGCGTCCGGGAAAGTGTTTGGGCGGAGATTTCGACGGCTCCGCTCGGCGTATGTTTTCTGTCTGTTTATTTTATTTCCTGGGCCTGCGTTCGGTGGGGTTTTGGGTTTCGGGTTTTGGTTAGGTGCGTGTAGTTGCACAATTTAAAAGGGAATTATTCATGCAATTTGTGCTGGGCGGAGTGCCAACCAGTGGGTGTTGGGAGGTGGGGTGTTGGATGCTGGGTGGTTTTCGGGGGTGCAAGGGTGGTGGCACATTTTCCATTCCCTTCTCTAATTCAGAGCCTGCCCGACGACCGTCTGTCTCAGCTCAACTCAACTCGGAGTGAGAGCTCTCCTCCATTTGGGATACACTTTGCCAAATGAAACTGCAGCCACGTGGGACACTGATAAAAAAAAATACATTTCTGTTCTAAGAACAAAGGAATAAATGAATTTCCATTTATTAAATGTTAAATAGTTTGCAAGATAAGATAAACTTTGTCGTTGTTGATGAACCACATTCTGTATTAAATTTATTATCTTATTAAATCTTGTTTAGACAAGATTTGTTTATGTAATTTAACACCTTTTTTCCACAGTGCACATGTAACACGGCTGCTGCGTGTGTGTGTGTGCCTTGTGGGCGGTGGGTGGCATTAAAAGACGCCAAGTTTATTGCAGGCGACATTCTGTGGTTTATGCACACGTTCCGCAAACAGAAAGGGAGCGGCAATGCGGAGGAAAGGAGACGGCACTAGACGCGAGACGACACTTTGCCGCTCGTCCTTAGCTTAATGTAATGATTTTATGAATTATAAATGCACACACGTGCACATTATGCACAAGTCTCGCTCGCTCGCTCACTCGTGTATTTCTGTCCTCGTCGCTCCTCCCACACAAAGGGGGGAGGGGAAAAAAGTGAAAACGCATTAAAACTGCGAGTCATTTAAATGTCGAGCGAAAGGTCGGCGGGTGGAAAGGTGGGTGGTGGGTGGGTGGAAAGGAAAACTATTCTCGGCGCGGGCAACTTTGTAAGCGCTGTTAAGTAGGCTATGAAAAAACGGTTTAAGGGGGCATTATATGAAATGTAATTAGTGCTAAAGCGCGGCTTCAAAGTAACGGAAACCGCGCTTTAATTGCTTCTGAGTTCTTAAGGTTTTTAAGCAGTCGAGTGCGCTTAAATGAAATAGATTAAATAGATTAAATAGATTACGCAACCCAGCAACCGGCAATCTTGTATCGCAAAAGTTAAGATATTATATTTGAATTTACTTTTTAGCAATGCAATCAAGTTGAAAGCCTTGCCCACATTTCCTTTTCCTCGAGGAAAATGGAGTCATTTTCCCTGCGTTACTTCAACTATCGATTTCTTGGCTACACCTGCTAACACTGCTCCACTTTAGTTTGCAGAAACAAACACCGGCATTGTATATTATTTACCAACACCATTCCGCAACTTTCAACAAATTGCTTAATAACTCGGTCAACAAATTGCGCACACTGTGTTGACATTTACAACACTCTCCTTGCGCTGCCTTTTCCACTCCCCCTGGGAAGCCACTCGAGTGGTGCAACCACCCAAAGCCAGCCACCCACTCACCTGGGGCAGCCGGAACTTTCGCAACCCCTTCGCGCAGCTGTTGTTGCATTAGCAGTTAAATAACTTAATGTGTCCAGGCAGCGTTTATGGCGCACTTGCCGCCCCTCGCTACAAATTTGAGCAATTAATTTGCACCTTCCCTTTTCCGGTCGCCAAAGTGCAGTTGAATCGCAGGAATTGGGATTGAGAAAGAATCTTTTATGGTCGGAACTTTCGCTTTTGGCCGGGTCACACATTTCCGTATCATGGCTCGCAGGGAATACGAGATGCCTGCAAATCCCTCAAAGTCACTCTCTCTGTCTCTCGTTCTCTGCTTTCCCCCCGCTTAGATGGCAAATCAAATGCCAGTGACAGATTACGGCATCAATCAAGTTGGCACCGTCTTCCACCCAGCTACATCCACTTATTGTTTCCGCCCACTCGTATCCTTTTACATATCCTCGGAGATTGCAAGCAGGCAGGCAGGAAGGCAGGAAGGCATCAGGAGCAGCAGCAGCAGCAGGAGCAGCAGGAGCCTCATGTGCGCGCACCATTAATGCTGTACATTATGGCTTACAGGGATGGATGTGCGGAGAAAGGGGGAAATGGGAAAGGGGAAAGGGAATGGGACAACTAGATATCTATCCTCCGCACTGCAAATGCCAAATGGCCAAGTGACTAAAACTAAGCCAGCAGCTGCGCCTTGAAGCGGGCAATTAAGTTTTACAGGCGCATCAAAGTCGCCCCTCTCTCGATTAATTACAAAACGGCGCTCGACAAGGATAATGGTACAGTTGCGTCGGGGTTTTATATCTGGACCAGCAGCCAGTTGATGTCCCGCTGATGGCTGTAAACTGAATTGAAAGTGCGGCAAGCTTAAGGGGCATTCGTAATTCCATTTGCAGATTGATTGTCCCTGCTGAGATTGATGATGCACTGCGACTTGGGAAACTATTTGTAGTTGTAGCTAACGAAGAGAACCAGTAAATATGTAAAACTTATAAATAAAAATTACGAAAAATCGGACAAAATTAAAAATTAACTTATGCTGAAGTTCAATAGGGAATTAAAATACAAACTGATAGAGGTATGCCACTTTCAAAACGGATAAATATTAACTTTTAATGAAGTACAATGGGGAATTAAAATACAAACTTATAGTGGGATGTCATTTTCAAATCGGATAAATATTAAAATAGTTATGGTCGCTTATTGTTATATTGTATATATTTTTTAAGTAAATTTTATATTTATTATTTTTTACTTATCGATCCTTTCTTTTATTCCTTTGCAGGCCTCGCCTTGAACACGAGCTCGCTGACGGGTCGCCGCGACTCCTTCGACCGCAGCACCTCCGCCTTCAGTCCCTCGGCGATGGACTACACCAGCAGCGGTGTGGCGGCGGCCGCCAACGCGGTGAACAGCACAGTGGCCCAGGCAGCAGCAGCGGCCGCAGCAGCCGCCGCCGCCGCAGCGCGTGGCAAGTGGCCGGGAGCGATGTCGGGAGCGGCGGGCGGAGCATACGGAGCCCTCGGAGCGGGCAACGCCTCGGCCAGTCCGCTGGGCGCTCCGCTGACGCCGCCTCCGTCGGCGCAGTCCTGCCTCCTGGGCAGTCGGGCACCGGGCGCCGAGTCCCGCCAGCGGCAGCAGCAGCAGCAGCAGCAACAACAGCAGCAGCAGCAGCAACTGGCCGCCGTCGGACTGCCGGCCACTGCAGCAGCTGCTCAGGCGGCGGTGGCAGCGGCCGCCAACAACATGTTCGGGTCGAGCAGCTCGCTCTTCTCGAACCACCTGGCTCTGCCGGGAACCGCAGCGGTGGCAGCGGCGGCGGCAGCAGCAGCGGCGGCCAACTCGCGACAGGTGGCCGCAACGGCAGCGGCTGCGGCGGCCGTGGCGGCTGCCGCTGGCGGAGTTGGCGGGGCCCCGCCGCCGGGAAGATCTCGCCTCCTCGAGGATTTCCGCAACCAGCGGTATCCGAATCTCCAGCTCCGCGATCTCGTCAACCACATTGTGGAGTTCTCGCAGGACCAGCACGGCTCGCGGTTCATCCAGCAGAAGCTGGAGCGAGCCACCGCCGCGGAGAAGCAGATGGTGTTCAGCGAGATCCTGGCAGCGGCCTACAGCCTGATGACCGACGTCTTCGGCAACTACGTCATCCAGAAGTTCTTCGAGTTCGGCACCCCCGAGCAGAAGAACACGCTGGGCATGCAGGTGAAGGGGCACGTGCTCCAGCTGGCGCTGCAGATGTACGGCTGCCGGGTGATCCAGAAGGCCCTGGAGAGCATCTCGCCGGAGCAGCAGCAGGAGATCGTGCACGAGCTGGACGGACACGTGCTGAAGTGCGTCAAGGACCAGAACGGCAACCATGTGGTGCAGAAGTGCATCGAGTGCGTCGACCCCGTGGCGCTGCAGTTCATCATCAATGCGTTCAAGGGGCAGGTCTACTCGCTGAGCACCCATCCTTACGGCTGTCGGGTGATCCAGCGGATCCTCGAGCACTGCACCGCCGAGCAGACCACTCCCATTCTGGACGAGCTGCACGAGCACACCGAGAACTTGATCCAGGACCAATATGGCAACTATGTCATTCAGCACGTGCTAGGTGAGTGATTATGATTGCAAGCCTGAAGAATCTTACTAATTTACTTTCCTTGTTTGTAGAACACGGCAAGCAGGAGGATAAGTCCATTCTGATCAACAGCGTTCGCGGCAAGGTTCTCGTGCTATCGCAACACAAGTTCGCCTCCAATGTGGTGGAGAAATGCGTCACCCATGCCACTCGTGGCGAACGCACTGGTCTCATCGACGAGGTCTGCACCTTCAACGACAAGTGAGTGCCTGGAAATTAGCCACTATCCTTACCCAACTAATCCCTTACTTATTTTTCCTTCGCCAGCGCATTGCACGTGATGATGAAGGATCAGTATGCCAACTATGTGGTCCAGAAGATGATCGATGTGTCGGAGCCGACGCAGCTGAAGAAGCTGATGACCAAGATCCGGCCGCACATGGCCGCCTTGCGCAAGTACACCTACGGCAAGCACATCAACGCCAAGTTGGAGAAGTACTACATGAAGATCACCAACCCCATAACGGTGGGCACAGGCACCGGCGGCGTGCCGGCCTCCTCCTCGGCGGTGGCCGTCAGCAGCGGAGCCGGAGCTTCGGCGTCGGTTACCGCCTGCACCAGTGGCAGCAGCACCACCACCACCAGCACCACCAACAGCCTGGCCTCGCCCACCATTTGCTCGGTGCAGGAGAACGGCAGCGCCATGATCGCGGAGCCCTCCTCGCCGGACGCCTCCGAGTCCTCGTCCTCGGTGGTCTCAGGAGCTGTGAACAGCGGCTTGGGTCCCATTGGACCCCCCACCACCGCCAACGGTGTGCTGTAAACAGAAAACAGAAAAAAACAAAAACTAACAAAAAAAGAAACAAAAAAGAAAAAGAAAACCAGGCAGTCAAAGGATGGATGGGCAGAAGCCATCTGAAACATCCTTCTCGAATCGCAGAATAGTTTTTAGGAGCCGTAGAGCTAAAGCATACCATAAACAAAAGTACATATAAATGTAAACTAATTTATTAAAAAGCAGCGATAAATGGAGCTGCTCTCGGAGATTTGTAAAGAGAACAACACACACGCGCCAAGCTAAGGAATCACGCTGGTCAGCTAAAAGAAAAGCAAGCAGCATGAAACTGAAACTAAAATTTGTATTTTTACGAACAAAAAAGAATAACACTCTCACGAAAGAAGATTTCAAAATATTTATACAATGCGCTCGCATGTTTAATTTGTAAAAAAAAAACACAAACACACAATGATGAAGGAAAACAGAAAGCGTGATTAAACGCGAAAAAGAAAACACAATGAATGTAAAGTAAAATGTCGAGGAAACCATTTTGTCTGCGTACACTTTCGTTGTAACTTTGTATAAATTAATGATTATATAGCAAGTCTATCTGTAAATGATTAACGTTTCGACTGTAAATTGATAAGAGGACAACTGAAGAGCCGGCGAGCTAAGGAATGAAGAACGTAGAAGAGCGGGCTGCATGAATAGGCCTAGAATTTATAAGTGCAGACAGAGGAACCATTTCAAATAAAAAGAAAAACATACATTATTACGAGGGATAAACAGCAGAAGCCACACTTAGTGTAGTATGTAGATTAAAACTGTTTTTGGAGCCAGCAGCTACCAAGACACTATGAAACAGAGACACACGAGACACGCCCACGCCCCCTCACGCACACTCGGATGCATACACCCACACAATGAACGACTCTTCAGCCCATTCACGTTGCTTTTGCACTATGTAAAAATTTTGTATAAAAAAAACCAAACTACAAACCATGTAAACCATGTAATTTTCAAATGTTTCACTGTAAAATGTATACATACTATATTTTGTAAATTTTTTTTAAGTCGCAAGTAACTCATACATATTCTATTCTAAACTGCACGCATGTATTTATAATTTTATACATATTAGCTGGCGTCCGATCGTCAAGGATCTGCAGTGATTTTGGTGCGTTGGTGCGCCAGCTAAAACAGAACCTGTTAGTCAAGTAAGCCCCAACTGATGATTGGATTTTAAAACTTTAACCATTAAATAAACAAAATTTTTTCCAAATTATTCCGCCACCCGTTTACGTTTGCTAGCCCACCTTAATGTATGATATATGTATAAATATGATTTTAATGAAGAATTTGCTTTCTCAACCATCTGCACACTGATCAAAATCAGGTGGAGAGTTACCTTTGTTATGTTAGACAGAAAGCGCTTGTTGCTCCCTGCGAAGCTTGAAATGCATTCGCTGTGCGGCAAATCATTAAAATGTTAGCCCTTCCTTCACGTAAGTGTATAAATTGTTTTAAAACGTCATCGAAACACTTGTAAATTGCAAACAAAAATTGTATATGTATACATACGAACGAATATTGTAAAAAGTAACAATACCAAGAATTTTGTACATTTTTGATATACATTTAGACTACTTCGCGACGCCTTATTCCAAATACTAAAATACTGAAAATATTGAAAACGAGAGATGGTAAGAAAAACGAATTTAGACTTTTTTGTCGGTTTCGTCGAAACACACAAAAATCCAATGTAAAACAATTTTTGGAGATCAATGTAAAGTGTATTATGCATATTTTTGTACACACAAATTCGTTGTCGTGTCGTTGTTGTTGTCGTCGTCACCGTCGTCGTTGTCGTATTTTGTATATAACAAGCAAAGGATACCAATCATTGAACATTTGTAATTTTCTGTACATTTCCCCCGGCCAAACACTCACACACACACACATCCCGTAAACCCGTTCCACCCATAATCATCCCACATAACCCCTATACCCGTATTATCCTGTCTCTGTACAAGTGAGCGCATTTCAAGCAACGGCGCAAGCAGGGCTCGGTATTATTTGTTTGGTATTTTTAGTTATTAACTTGTCAACTGCCTGTCTCTAGAGCGCAATGCACTGATAATTTTAATTTAAATAATCCATAGATGAAGATTGTATTTAGGATTCTCGAGTTCGATACGGAGTGAACAATGCAAGTAGAGATGCTTTCTGTAGACTAAACATGCTACACGCCGTGTACATTTGACGTGTAAAATACACAGGACACCCACACTCACACTAACACCTACACACAACACACACACACAACACACACAAACTCAAAGGACACAGCAAGCTGCTTAGCTGTAGTAGTTAGTGTAAGCCAGCAAATCCCTATAAATATTTAAACATACATATATACACGCATATAGAGTTATGTACTACACTTAGTTTTGAACTTGACGTGAGGCAACGTTTTTAAAAATGTATATGTAAAATACATGTGTAGAGTAGCGGAAGTGCTGTGGCACAGTGAAATTTACACGTAAGCTGGCGTATTCTACACACGCCCAGTTTTTACAGTAACAATTTTTTGCACGCATGAAGAACACTTGAGTATACAAGTCGAAAACTAAAAAACTAAAGCAAATTCCAATTTAAATGGATCAACATTAAACAAAAAGAATTGTAAACAATGTAACTTAAATTGTACGAGAATTCCCTGTAAACTTGTAACGAAAAGCGAAGCGGGCAAGCAATTTTTGCATGCCAAAGGCCAACTCGGCCGGGCATTTTAAATTGCAAAAAGAAAAGCAAAACCTGGCTGCAGCAAATTGTTTAAATTTCTTCGCCAACAAAATTGTAAAAACAAAAGTAAAGCCCAATACTGAAAAAGGGCCTAAACATAACCAATATATAAAGTAAAAACTAAACATACAGCAGAAGCAGAAATTTGTAACATTTTTTCGAAGCAGAACATTGTAAACTAAGCTAAGGACATAGCTAAAAACCATACTCTAAATAAAACATTTGTAATTTGTTGTAAAAAGGATGTAAGGAATGAGGGAAGTGAAAAATTTAAAGGCATGAAATGTGCTAGAGCTGGCGTCAAGTAAAACTATAAATTATATATAAATATAAATATATATTAAAGCATATACATACATATAAATATAAATATACAGTAAATAATTAATTACGAGAATATTTTGTAGTTACACACTCGAACACACGGAAAAATTCAAATATACAAACAGAGCGAAACCTTTAGTTTTGTAAACGGCGAGCGATTGGCACAAGTTATATAACTGAAATTTGGACAGCATTGCATTCGAGCATTTGATTTAACTATGCATTAGACTCTTATGTTTATTATTATTATACAAAATACGATTAATGCTAATTTCTTTGTGAAAAAAATAAAACAAGTTTATTATGTAGCAAAAAGCAAACGTTTTATTTCTCAATTCGACCCAATCGATTGGCCCTTCTCCACACTAGAAAACACACACACATGGTTTTTTTTCAGTTCGAAAAACCAAATTAAAGTTAAACTTCAAGTTTCAACAAATTGGCTTCAATGGAAGGCTGCGATGACTAGAAATCTGAAATCAAAATTGATATTATAACGGCATGCCATTAAAGAGCATAGCATTACATTGAAAATAAATATAGATAAATAATATACACTTACCATAACCTAAAGCCCTTCCAAAACCACAAAAAATTGCACAGCCAAAAGTGAGCGTAAGGTTCGAGGCATTTTATACGGCGCATTTTTTTATATATGAACAGGCTAGCTGTCTATATGATATGTATACCCAAATGATCCACTTTTATAATGAGCCAGTAAGTGAACAAGAAATATTTTTTTATCAGCCTTGGCAAGCTAGACTTTTACCAGGCCGTAAATTTTAACAAAATTATACATACCTACAAACAAGATTACCAAAACCTTATGCCCGATCTCCTAAACCAAATCGAAAAGAACAGCAAATTCCATACCATACCATTTTCAAGTAGTAGAATTTTTCCAAATTGTAGAAATGTAAACCTTTATATAAATATATATAGATTTGTAATTGAGCTCTCAAGTTGGGGTACTAATATTTCTATACGATACAAATCGACACCATAAACTCCTAAGTTGGTCGTTCCTTCTAGCGCGACTTTGAAGGTGAACTGGATACAGTAGTAAAACTCATGTAGAAAAGCAGCAGTAAAACATAAACCTAACTAAAAGTACACAAATATAGTTAAACTGTATATAGGGAAAACCAGGCAGGCACAAATTTTAAACTAAAATCTGTCGGTAAGTGGAGGGTCTTACTTGAAAGGAGTTGTATTGCCCAACTTCAGCTTCTTTGAGGAAGTGAATTTTGAAACTTGGTAGCCAAAAACATATAACCTTTTAAAACTGAAGATGATTCCGTTAGCTTTCGATCGTCCACTTTACCATGATGCAGTTGAGGAGCCCGCTCTTGACCAATGCTTGTACTCCACTGTATTTTGAATGCCTAAGCCCCAATTAAGCCACACAGAAAAATCAGAAGAGGGAGAACCTTATAATAAAAGGACTTAATTTCAATTAAGAAAGATATTAAAAAGAAAAGCATAACAACTTATTAGCCACATATGTTCGTATGAAGGATGAACATAACTAATGAAAAACTTGTAACTAAATACTTCTACATATTGAATAAAAAGAAAGATATTAAAAGATAACCTCTAGCCGTTTGTTTTCCACGACAGGAATTAACAATGTAAGAGCTCAGTTATTATACTCTTGCAAAGAGTATTATAATTTCAGTCAAAAGTTTGCAGCGCAGTAAAGGAGACACGTCAGACCCCATAAAGTATATATAGTATTATCGATCAGCATCAGGATCTGAACCTTCGACCCCTTTCCTAAGTTCCAAAAAATGGGTTAGCTAAAAATTGACATAAATTCACTATCAAAGAATTTTTAAAAAATCATCATAATGGTAACTAATTTATTCTTGTTTTGTAACCTTATTTCAGGACACGACTGTGACGAAGAACATACAGAAGCCTGCTGTGAACTGCTCTCCCGACTCATCCGGCAAATCCACATGGCATCAGCATAGGCAGCGAACGGGGATACATCGTTGGATTCTAAATTTAACAATAGTTAATTGGCTAAAACATGTACAGGATAAGCCTAGGGAAAAGTTAAATGTATTATGTTATTTTATGTTATAATTATGTTATATATATGTAAAATAAACTTGAACTACCAAAATTGTAGCATGCTTTTGGGGCTCATACAAATTTTTCTGTTGCTTACTCCATTGGAAAATTTAAAAAATGTGTAGCATACTTTTGGGGGCAATTGGAAATCCAAAAATATTAGCCACCTACTCTTGCACTCTGTTCGCCTGGTACTTCAAAATTAAGTTTGGTTGAATATGTTGGTTTTTTGCTTGTGAACATTTCCATAAAAATGTGTAGCATACTTTTGGGGGCTCATACAACATGTTCTGTTGGGAAAATTTAAAAATGTGTGGCATACTTTTGGGGGCAATTGGCAAATCTTAAAAAGATTTGCCACCTACTATTGCATTCTGTTCGCCTGGTACTTCAAAATTAAGTTTGGTTGAATATGTTGGTTTTTTGCTTGTGAACATTTCCATAAAAATGTGTAGCATACTTTTGGGGGCAATTGGCAAATCTTAAAAAGATTTGCCACCTACTATTGCATTCTGTTCGCCTGGTACTTCAAAATTAAGTTTGGTTGAATATGTTGGTTTTTTGCTTGTGAACATTTCCATAAAAATGTGTAGCATACTTTTGGGGGCTCATACAAAATGTTCTGTTGGGAAAATTTAAAAATGTGTGGCATACTTTTGGGGGCAATTTGAAATCCAAAAAATATTAGTCACCTACTATTGCATTCTGTTCGCCTGGTACTTCAAAGTGTGGTTTGGTTGAATATGTTCCATTTCAACAAGAAAATTTGTTCCCAAAAAAAGACAGAATTTTAATAGTTCCAGTTTATTTTACATGTATAATACATATAATACATATGAATATTTCCTAGGCTTATCCTGTACATTTTATGACAATATATGTTTAGTGAGTCTTAGATGCGAGTCTAGTGAATTAACTAAATTTAGAATCCAACGCTGTGTCCCCGTACGCTGCCTAGGCTGATGTCATCTGGATTTGCCGGATGAGTCGGAAGAGCAGTTCACAGCAGGCTTCGGTCTGTTCTACGCCACAGGCATGTCCTGAAATAAGATTAGAAAACAAGAAAACATTAGTTATCATTAGTAATTTTCTTTATTTTTTGGCCGATTTTTGTATAAAAAAATGTATACTTTGGAAGATATAGGGCTTCAAAGATTTTTATCAATTACGTCTTAAAAAAAAATCTTAAAAAATTTGTTTTTTAGGAAAGCACTACAGAATTATATGCTTTAAAATGCCCACCCTTTACATTTTTGAAAAATTTCAATGTTCAGGATTTACAAAACTTAAAACCTAAAAAAAAAAAAAATTTTTTTAATCGTCTGCCGACCCCTTAAAAATAAACTCTTCGAAACACAAATTTACAAAATTGGGTTTGCTGAAAATTTACCAAATTTCACAGTTCTAAGTCCATAACTTTTCTAATTTTAATCAGATTTTAAAGTGACTTACCTCTAAATGTTTGTGTTTTAATTCTCGCTTTACTCCGTATAACTTTGCATCGATAGTTCAGGTTAGCGAGACCCATCAAACTCTGGAGTCGCCTCTGCAGATGTCGTTGCCAATAAAGCCTATAAGGATTGAAGAAATATCTGAAGTTATCCAGTCCTTACCGAAAAATAAGGCTCCAGGAATTGATAGAATTTGCAACGTAACGTTGAAGGCCTTGCCAATAAAAGCGATTCTATTTATAGCTTTAATATTTAATGCTATTATTAGGACTCAAGTGTTCCCAAAGCAATGGAAATTAGCAGCAATTCAGATGATCCACAAGCCAGGTAAGCCAGAGGCTGATCCTGAGTCTTACCGTCCGATAAGCCTCTTATCGTCCCTGTCCAAGTTGTGGGAGAGACTCATTGCCAATCGAATAGCAGTTATCATGAATCGAGACAATATCTTGCCAGACCACCAATTTGGTTTTCGAAGAGGACACGGCACTGTGGAACAAGTGCATAGATTGGTGAAACATATTTTGCAGGCCTTTGATGACAAAGAGTATTCCAACGCAGTTTTCATTGATATGCAGCAAGCCTTCGATAAGGTGTGGCATGTTGGACTTTTGCTTAAAATCAAAAACCTCCTACCTGCCCCCTACTATGGTCTTCTGAGATCCTACCTAGAAGAACGGGAGTTCAAGGTCAGAGTTAGGGACAGATACTCTGATAACTATAGAATGAGAGCAGGAGTACCTCAGGGCAGTGTGCTTGGGCCGCTGCTTTACTCTTTATATACAGTGGATATACCAAGCCCAAACAGACATCACATGATAGATCCTTCCAAAGCTTTGATTGCTACATATGCTGATGACATTGCAGTCATCTACAATTCCAGATGTCGGAGGGAAGCAGCAAATGGAATACAAGAATACCTTAAGGATCTTGCTGCTTGGTGTAAACGTTGGAATATGAGAATCAATCCGCAAAAAACTACGAACCCCTGCTTTACACTGAAGAGACTTGTATCTAACACCCCTGAAATCCAGCTAGAGGGAGTCAGTTTGGAACAGCCGTCGCAAGCAAAATATCTTGGTATCACACTGGATAAGCGCCTTACGTTCGGACCACATCTGAAAGCAACAGTCAAAAAATGTAACCAAAGGATTCAGCAACTGCGTTGGCTTACACACAGAAGGAGCACTTTGCCGCTGAGATGCAAGAGGGCAGTATATGCATTCTGTATCCTGCCAATCTGGCTTTATGGTATTCAAATTTGGGGGATCGCAGCCAAATCGAACTACAAAAGGTTACAAGTGTTGCAGAATCGGTTTCTACGTACCATTACTGACTGTCCCTGGTATGTGCGTGGCACGACACTTCACAGAGACCTAAATCTACACACTGTGGAAGAACAGATTGGGAGACACACAAGCCGATACCGAGATAGATTAGGAAGACACCGCAGCTTACTGGCTAGGAATCTACTCCCAGCGAGACCTTTGAGGCGTCTCAAAAGGCAAGGCTTTGCCAAGACGATAAGGAATCAATAAGAAAATACTATATATAATCCTCTTCTTAATGCTGAGGTTTGGTTTACTTTTCTCATTGGTGACACCTGTGTTGTTAAGTACTTTAATTTGCTGTACAGATTCTGCACTAAATAAATAATAAGAAAAAAAAAAAAAAAAAAAAAAAAATTCTCTAACGAACTGCATCATTAATAGATTTTTTTTGTGGCCAAATTGTTTTCATTTTTTATGAAGCTTGCCAAAGCTAGCTTCCTTTTTCGTTTTTGCGATTATTTTATAATCTCATAATAAAAAAAAACATAGGAGGATTAACACAAATGTTGTGCCGCGTAGCTGTTCACTTTCTCTGCCATTAACTGTTTTTCTCGTTTATTGGCGAAGGAATGCTGCACTGCCTCCAAAGTCAGGGCAATACATTGCCTCCGGATAAGTCCGAAGGTTTCCGCGGCCAGCAGAAACTCCTTCGTCAACGTAGTGTCAAAGACTCCGCTGTCGTCTGTGCAGATGACCTTAGGTGCCTCGGCTTCCATGATTCTCTTTAAGTGGTGCTCCTTTAAACTGGGCACTGTTCCGGATTTGACGTTGCTAGTTAGGCAGCACTCGATTGGTATGTTGTTATTTTTGAGATACATAATGTCCTTGGCGTTCAAAAAGGTACCATGTCCACAGCGCGACATTCCAAACTCTAGCATTTCCTTAACCTCCGAAGGATTGTCGATCTCCGCACAATGTAATACAAGCTTCAAACCGTTTTGAACAGCCTGCGAAAGAATGCAACGAAATTCCAAAAATTTTCCTTTGGCTGGGTTGCCGCTAAAATCAATCCCTAAGATGACATCTGGATGGGATTTGGACATTTCCACAGCCAAAGAAACGGTTTCCTCTGCCACTTCCACGGGCTCCGCTCGATTAATTGAGGGTAGTAGCTTGACCAATATACCCGTGTACTTTTCTTTGGCACCCTCAATTGCCTTGATCACGTGCTGCAGGTAATCCCTCCGCGAATAGCTTTCATTCGCTTTTGGAGTCGTTCTCAATTCCACATATTGCACGTTGTCCTGGGCAAAATCCCGCACCACAAGCTCCGTGGCATATCGCAGACCCTCCGCCGTGGAAGTCAACTCGTGCACGAAGGCAAACTTTGCAAAGCAGGCGTCCAAGTCCGAATCCTTTTCAAACCGAATGAAGCGCGCGCACAGTTCCAAAAATTCCGGAGAAGCGGATCCGTACAAGTGCTCGGCAAGATCACGTAAGCTATTGATTCCCAGGGAACCGTTAAGGTGAGCATGAAGCTCTACTTTGGGCAGTCCTTTCAGAAAATGCTCCATTCTTTAACAAACAAACAATAATAACAACTTTGTTGAAATGCTTATCAGCCGGTGTGCAACCAGTGTTGTACATATAAAAAAGTTATCGGAAAAATGGCTAAGCCTTGAAGAAATTATCGCTCTCAGCTGGTCCACACATCGATTACAGAAAAACTAACCTTGGTAGCCCTGGCAAAAACCAAGAAGAAGCACAGTTTGTAAATATAGATTTTCACGAACAATTTTTTTGGAAACAGACTCACCATGTCGGATGCCCACTTGGAAGCACCTCCCTCGGTGCGTCTGACAAACGATGACTTCCGCAAACTCCTGGCCACACCCCGTGCTCCACCTCCTGGCTCTGCAACTAGTAGCGCTTCCGGCGGATCCTTGGCCACTGCTACTTTTGCCACGCCCTCCTCTGCCCCTGGAGCTGCAGGATCCAGTGGCGAGAAGAAAAAGGGCCAGAGCAGCAGCGAACGAAACGATCTTCGGCGCAAAAAGAAGAACTTCTATGCCGCATTGAAAAAGCAAGAGGATGTGAAGCTGCAGGAGCTGTCCGAAAAGTACAGGGATCGTGCCCGTGAGCGTCGTGATGGCGCCAATCCAGATTACGTGAACGTGAGCACGCCGGGACATGGAAGCAGCACCAATGCTTACCGAGCCGTCGCTCCAGATATGAAATCTGGAATCGATGCCCAGGAGCGAAGAAGACGCATCATTCAGGAGTCCAAGTTCTTGGGTGGTGACATTCAGCACACCCATTTGGTGAAGGGTTTGGATTATGCACTGCTGCAGAAAGTGCGCTCCGAGCTGCACTCCAAGGAAGCTGAAGAGGAGGAGATTGCTGCCGCAGTGGCCAGGGAGAAGCTAGCCGAAGCAGCTGCTGCCGCCGAGCAATTGGAAGCGGAGCGTCGCGAATCTGAGGACATCAATGCCATAAACGGCGCATTGGCCCGCAACATTTACAACCTGGTCCAAGCTCGGCGATCGAAGGAAGTCCCTCGCAATGAGCTTTTTGCTCCAGGGCGGATGGCCTATGTCATCGACCTGGATGATGAGCTGGGTGAATCGGATATCCCAACAACGCTGAAGCGGTCCAAGTTCGAGGTGCCGGTGGCACCGGAGGATGTGGCTACGTTGACCACAAATGACATAGTGATCAACAAGCTTTCGCAAATCCTCAGCTATCTGCGTGCCGGTGGGCGCAACAAGAAGAACAAGAAGCGCGACAAGGACAAGCCGCTCTTCTACGAAAAGGAGGTGGAGAACCTGCGAGGATCGTCCAGCGGTGGTGGCAGCAGTCGCCATGCCACATCATCATCCTCCTCAAACAAAGAGGGCAAGGCCGCTCCAATGGGCGACAATATTTACGATGATATTGGAGAGTACAAGCCGTCCGCCTCGCGAGGGGATCGCAACCGTCAAGAGTCCGGGAAACCTGCTAATTCCTATTTTGGCGATGCTCCACCAGAGGCGGCGGAAGAGTCGCTTATCTCCAGTATTCCTCCACCACCCAAGATATCGAAGGCCATGGCGTCACGCTTTGCCGAACCCGAGGGATATGCCGAGTGTTATCCAGGTCTGGAGGAGATGAACGACGCTATCGACGACTCGGACGATGAGGTGGACTACACCAAGATGGATCTGGGCAATAAGAAGGGACCTATTGGGCGCTGGGACTTCGACACACAGGAAGAGTACTCTGACTACATGAGTACGAAGGAGGCGCTGCCCAAGGCGGCGTTCCAATACGGCGTCAAAATGCAGGACGGTCGGAAGACGCGCAAGAACAAAACCGAGAAGAACGAGAAGGCCGAGCTCGACAGAGAGTGGCAGAAGATCCAGGTATGTATCCAGGATAGTATGGTGGGGCGATACTTATGTTAAAAAAATAAATTAATTTCTCGTATCTTCTTAGACAATTATTCAAAAGAGAAAGCTCCCCAAGGATGGAGGAGGCGGCGGTGGTGGAGGCGATGAACCCGACTACAAGTCCGCAAAGTACTAGGAATTCTTGAAACATTATTCTATATTTGTAATGTAGTTCTGTAAAACATTAAATATAAGTATGCGCGTACTTGTATGATTCTTACATACTCTCAAATATATATTTTAGCAATGTTATCACTATTTTAGTTGCTACTGGAGTGGGAGGTAAGGGCCGGGTTCTTAGGGAGCTTGGCAGGTTCACTTATGGACTATGTGCGGCACTGGTGCAGTGGGAACCAGAACTGTAAGACCGGTAGCGCAACGCTAGAGGTTTAATTGCATCGATTAAGGCAAAATATGGAAAAGCTTCGAAGGGATTTTTGATAATCAAGTAAAATCGGGTGTATCAGTTGGTTGCACTTCTCTTACAGTCCCAAAAGCCGCTGCATGTGATTCTTACTTCCTGTGCGAGCTGCATTCTATTCAAGCTGAATGGGTGTGCACCTAGTGCTGCTCTCTAATTTCTAACGCTTCCTGCTTACTTAAATATATGACACTGATTAAATGTAATTACCGTCGCGGGAATGCTAACCTTAATCACTACGCTAAGTCCAAGTGAGAGGGTGGTGTCTAGGTGTATAAACGGGGTCGCGGAGGATGACTACCATCCATCTTCGGAAAAGCCGAAGCTCAGCCCGTCGCACTGGCGAAATGGTTCGAGAATGTGAGAAAATCAACGGAGCAAAAACAAATATATTGCAATTTTTCCCAGCTTATGAAATAACAATTTCAACAGTGAAAATTGTTCTTGGGTAAAGTAATGTTTGAGATTCAGACATCTCCAAATTGATTTTCCTTTGAACTTGCCTGTTGAATAATTTTCTTGTAGTTACAAAATAAATACAAATGTGAAATTATTAATGAAGAAATTTGGATAGGACAACATAATGGGCTGGTCAGATAGCGAGTTCGCCTATATCTGCATATTTCGGATGCTGCCAAACATCCTCATCAGTGACCTTCAAGAAGCAAACACTGCACAGAAAAACGGACAATCGGACCGGAACAAAATCCTGACTAGCTTAGCTACTTGAAACACACACACACGCAGTGCAAAGGGACCGGCGACTCTCTTTGGCTTGCATTCCGGCGAGGGATTTGGGACTTGGGGGGATGAGGATCGGGGCTTAGAAAGAGTGCTGCTCTAATGCATATATTAAGATTTATGGGGCCTTCTCCAGCCGCCTGTTGCTCAGTCGTGGTGCCAGCTTCTGGCCATTGTCGTCGAGTTCCTCCTCCTCCGCTCCACCAGCTTAATGTCTCTGACGCACAAGTCGTGCTTGGAGTTGCTTGCGAAGCGGATCACCGACTGGGTGCTCACTTGTGGAACATGACGCAGATCCAGCCAGATGAGCCCATCGCACTTGGCCAGGTGCTCTAAAGCGTTCTCGGACACGAGCCTGCAGGCGCTCAGATTCAGCTCGGTCAGACTGGCGATAGCTGTGGTGGAGGTGCCTATTTGCGCCACGCCCGCATCCGTGATCCGCTGGCAGGAGGAGAGATCCAAGTGCCGCAAGTGCGGCAGCGACTGGGTGATGTATCGCACAGCCACATCGGAGATATCCGTTCCCGCCAGCTTGAGCACTTTGAGATCCCTCAGTCGCGTCTTCGAGTCGCTTAAGCCGGGTCGAGAATCCTTTGGTGGCGAGAGGATGTCCCTCACGGCAGCATCGTTCAATCCCCGCACAAAGCTTAAATCCAACGTTTGAAGCGGTGGGCAGCTGCAGGTGTGCAGCGCCAGCACCGCCTGTATGGGGCAGTTTTGCAACGAGAGATTCTTGAGCGCCGGAAGGCGGGAAACCAGCCACGCCAACTGCCGCTTGGCAATCTGGGTCCAGTCCAAGATTAAGTGCTCCGGCTGCCGGCGCACAATCGCCGTCAAAAGCGACGCGGACATTTTGTGCTCAGAGCAATTCATTTTCTTCCACAAATCGGGATCAACGGCAGCGTTGGACCAAACCTTGCACACCGAGCAGCAAGTGACCAGCGTGTCCTGCGGCAGGTATCGGAAAATGATCTTCAGAACGGTGGGATCCAAGGCCAGGTTCTGGGAAGAACTGTGGTGCTGATTGCCCAGTCCATTCGAGCCGCTCAGGCCTCCGTTATTGATTCCTCGCTCGCCGTTTCCACCCCCATTGGAGTTGGCTCCACTTTGGTTGCTTCCATTGCTGATTCCATTGGTGGCCGATGTGCTGCCTCCATTGCCACTGGATGACGAGGATCCGGTTCCACCAGCTGGTCGCACCACATACTGCGGTTTCTTGAGCACTCGAGTGGACGAGTTCAGCATTTGCTGGGCCAGCTGCGACCGAATGGAGTTCTTCTTGCGGGAACCACCGCCTCCGCTACTGTTGCCCCACTGATTGGTGGACACATTGGCGGTTATTCCTCCCCCGGCTCCCTCCGCCGAGGAACCACATGGTGCGTCGTTACTCTCGTGCATGCTGCTGCTAACACTGGTTCCATCGTCGCTCTTGCGCCGCTTTCCTATCTTCGACTCGACGGCATTGGGGGAGATTCCCGGTGATGGGGTGTCGCAGCTGTTGTTCCGCTCCGTTTTGACCTCCAGCTGATGGTGGCGCTTCAAGCCGTGCTTCCAGTGCGTCATGTGGGTGCTGGCAGTTCCAGTTTCCATCTCCGACTCACTGGTAAAGACAAAGTCATTGTACTGGCCCACCGGGGGCGGCAGCAGTGGATTTCCCTCCGAGTGGCCTTCGCTTGCCACACCTGGTCCATGCGAAACGGAAACGCGTCGCACTTCCGAGGACTTCTGGCGGGCGCGAAAATGACGGGGCTGTGGTGATAAATTAGAGATTAATAAGATACCGTGTACACTATAAAATAAACTCGAATTCCAACCTTGTAATCGTAGTTCTTCCCGGAGCGACAACAGCTGGGACACTCCCAGCTATTGGGCAGATCCTCGTTAACGATGCCCTTGGCATCCGCCGCATCCTCTGTGCCGTCCAGCTGGGAGAGCGCACAATCCGGGTGGGCGATCTCGTAGCACACGGAGCACTCCATCAGCGCAGAGGGCCCGTCGGCGGAGGCCAGTTGCTTGGTCTGTGGCGAGACTGGTGTCTGGCGCCAGCCATCCAGGTGGCAGTACACACATTGCGCGGTCACGGGCAGCATAGGCGACAGGCACTGTCGCATCATGCAAGTCTGCTTGGCACGACCCGGACCACCGAACTTGACCATGTCCATGCAGAAGGGGCAGGTGCCGCAGTCGGAGCGCTGGCAGGCGGCGCAGTTTTTGCATCGCGTTCTCCGACGACGCGGTTGCCCGGTACCAGTCAGATTCGGCGACAGTTTGGCCCCACCGTCTCCTGGCGAATGGCAATTGTCCATGCTGGGAATTCCTGCGACTGCTCCTCCTTCACTGTAGCTGGAGCTGGTGGCGATCACACTGATCGCACCGCCTGCTCCTGGGCCAGGTCCTACTCCTCCACCAGTGGGGCTGTGACTGCTGCCCACAACTGTCGATCCAAGCGATCCCGCCAATCCTCCACCGTTGCCGCTGCTGCTGCTCGCAGCGGCTGCCACCAAGGCGGTGGCCAAATGCATCTTCTTGGGTGGGCGGTACTTAAGAGTATCCGTAGGCAAGACAAAAGTGGCCTCTGTGCAAATACAAAAACGTATTATATTTGGGTAGAAAAGTATATGCACATAACTCACCTGGCTGCGATCCGTGGCCAGTAATTGATGCTGCGCTCCCGTTTTCCAACTGCTCTTTCTTCATCACCCCATTGCTGTACTCGATGCCAACTCCCATAGCGATGGCTACTCCCACCCCAGTGGATTGAGACGTGTCCGATTCAGCCTCCCTGGCCCTTCCCGCCTCCAGTTGCTGTTGCTCCCGTATAACCTCAGCGTTCTTGCGCGCTATTTCCTGTTTAATCTCTTGCTTCACCCTCGTGCGATCGTACAGCAAGAAGGGCGGCTGCGAGCCAGGTGGGGATTTTAACACAGATACACCTGTGACGGCGAGATCTTGTTGGTCCTTGCAGTGCCGCTCCACCAAAGATCGAACGTCTTTGATCAGGGCCACGGGATCCAGAACCAAGCTGGGCACATTCTTCTTCTGCGGAGGCAGGTCGTACAAGTACATCACGATCTCCTTGAGTCCGAAGAGCTCGTGGTGCGTAAGGTGGGTGTGCGGCCGGGCGGCCATTTCCTCCTCGCTCAGCGAGGGCTCACCCTCCAGGTGGGAGTGTCCCAGGAGCGTGTGGACGTAGCGGGCGAGAACGTACCACAGCATCTCCGTGAAGAAGGGGTAGCGGAACTTCTGGGGCACCTTCGTGCTGTCCTCCACACTGGCTGTCTTCAGTTGCTTGACGATGCCAAAGGAGTGCAAGAAATTGCCCCCGAATACAAGGGATTGAGTGGGCGTGTAGACAGCATGTATCCATCCCGTGGGTATGAAGAAGGTGTTTCCTGCTGTCAGATAAACCCGAGCACACTTCTCCACCGTATCGCCAAAGAAGACATCCGCCTGTTTGCCCGAAAGCACCCACTTTTCGTACAACTGAAGATTGCGGTCCGTGGGGGGAATGAGCCAGAACACTTTGCTCCCTCTCAAGATATGATACCAAACGGAAGTCCCGCCGAAGTCAATGTGAAAGTCCGTGTAGCAGTTTTTCACCGACATCAGGCAGTACTTCTGCACCTTTGGGTACATCATGCCGCCCAGCAGGTTGGTGCCCTCCCGCTGGGCGTCCTTTAGCTGCTTGGGCCAAACCACATCCACCCAATCGATCTGGCGCACTATCTCCGGACTCTGGACGAACCTGTCCAGGCGGGTGTGCGAGAATTCCAGCGAAATCACATTTAGCAGGCGATCCTTTTGCGGACTGTCGTAGTACTGCTGCCACTCCTTCATTGTCATCTGCAGGTTCTTCTGCGTATTCACGTCCATGACGTCGAGGAGTCTCCTGGATCCGACGCAAAGCCGCACATCGTTTACGGAAAACTCCTGGGGATCAGGCATCCTTAGACCCAATCCAGCCTTGTCCCGGAACAACAAGGGGATGTTAAAGCCGTGCTGCTGTAGGAAACTGTAAAGTATCAAGGAGACGCATAACGAAATCAGTCAAATGTTGTGCTAAATGATGACCACCGATTACCCAGCGATAAATACTGCATAAGCTTGGAATACTTACGCGACGGTGAGATCGCATCCGCGCATCTCTCGCACCATTCCCGCTTGCGCGAATTTTGAAGATTCAAGCTTCTCGGCGACGCTGAAGCCCCGCGTTCCCTCGCCATCCTCGTCACCCAGTGACCATTCCTCCAGGTAGAGCTTGCGCTGCTTCCTCTCCCGCTGTGAAAAGAGAGTGAAGAGAAGAAAAGAGATTTGATTGAGTTGGGTTCCGTCTGAAAAGCGTTTGAAGAGCGTAAAGTGATAAATGCCTAAAAATACACCGTCTTATGGGAGGGCGCTGCCTCTGCCGCTGCCAGCGACTCTGCTGACGCCATCAAAATGATTCACTTGCTCCTCTCTTCACCACAGTGATTGACTCTCTCAGCCCACTCCAACCGCTCATACGGCCCGTGGCCCTCGCCTTCACTTTCTCCCATCGCCTAGAGGACTCTCCGGTTTTTGAAATTTCGTTTTCATTTGCTCGCCGACAGGGATGCCCACATTTTAAAAACTATCGAATCAAAAACCAATCCATTTTATCTATTCATTAGGCCAGCGATATTTGGAACAACATTAACACTCAGTAACCGGCGCTTGTTATGATTGATTGACTAATCACCTGAATAGGCCAAATGCCTGTGGGTCTTAGATTTACTATCGGGCAACACTGTGGGGTCTAATTGCAGAGCGAGCAAAAACTGAGAGCAAAATAAATTAAAAGAGAGCGACTAAGTGGGAGAGATTGGGAGAGCGAACGGGCGAAAATATATTTAAGCAACATGCTAAGCTCACTTTTTTCACTTGGCCGATTTTTATTGGAGCTACTTGTGCGTTCGAAACAATAATTGAAAAAATATTTGGATACTTGATATATTTACCAAGAAAATATTCCGAAAGGGAAAACAAGTTTTTGTGATCGGTATGATTTTGATGGTTGGACCGAATAGCTTTTCCTATACAATTCCGATTTAATACGTTTTCAGCTATGTTCTAATTGGCTAAACTTTTTCCATACATTTTTAGGAGACTATTTTTTGTTCATATAGTTAATAGCAGGATAGAGTAAGAGAGATGAGTAAACAAATATCTAATCACTTCAAAACAATAATTTCAATATTCTTATTCCTTTTATTTTCTCCACTAAAGGATGACAGCACAGCTTGGCAAAGGGCAACGGGATTCAAGTTGTCCACCATGACGTGAACCTCCCTTCCAACTTTCCTCCCCTGCTATTATTATAGCTGTCTCCCTTCAGTGCGCATGCACTTTGCATGCGAATGCCTTGTTATTTTTTTCGTGGTGTTTTTGCACTGGTGGTGGTGGTGCATCGCCGGCAGAGAGTAAGCGAATCTGGGAGATTACGAGATGCGATGAGATGAGAGACTGTTGCTCCAAGGAGCGGAGAAGAAACAACAAATATGAAATACGAAATGCATTGCCATGTCTCCTGCTTTGAGTTTATTTTGGCCGCTGCAAGTGGGGTGCAAGGGGTGGACACACGGGGTGGGAGCGGTATGCTTGCAACGAAAAATCTATAAACGTGGATGCGCCTGCCCTCGTTTGTGTGTGTAGTTGTTTGTGTCCGCATGTGTGTGTTGTGGCATATCCTTTTTAAGCGGCTTGCCCCACAGAAATGTTGAAACTTGTTTGGCATGTTCTAAACGATTTTTAGTGACTTTTCATTGTGGCCATGCTGTTGCTGCCGCGCGGCTGTTGTTACTGTTGTTTTGTCTTGGCTGAAAAGCTTGTTTTGGTGTCTGGCCGATTAACAATCGGCAGGTAGAAGAGGAAGCAACAACAACGGCAACCGTGACCACACAGAAAAAAAGAATCGCGTAAAATGTTTGTGTAAAACTTCGAATTTAACAGTAGTTCTTCCTTGACACTATGTACAAATGACTGGAGCGTATAGCTTTAAACATCCAAAAAAGATTATGAACGTTTAAAAATTGTTATCCCAGAAACTAGAATTTAAATAACAAATTTAAATGTTTTTTTTATATCATTAAACAGTTTAGACACCGTGTTTAATCTGTTTTTTTCTGTGCAAGAGGAGAAGCAAAAACAACGATATTCGTAACCACATAAAAAGTTGCGTGTAAGACAGAAAACCAAAATCCAAATCCAGTCAAGTGGTTTCGTATTCTTGTTGTGGTGGCGTCACCTTCGCCCCACCACCTCACCTAATCCCCCGCCCATCAGGTGGCCACCTGGGCTCCCTAATGTATTCTATTTAAGGTGCTAATTGCGGACCCTTATCTGCCATGTGCTCCGCGAGCTCTCTTTCCGCCCGCTCCATCTCTTTTGATGCGTTAGTCACCATAATGAGAGTTCTCCCCCCACCCCAAACCATACATTTTTAATGGGCGTTCGCTCTTCTCCGGCGGCGTACTACTTCAATATGCATAGATAGACGAGCCGGTGGGAAAATTGGCGAGATTACGGACTGTTTAGAATACCCTGCCCTACGATTTAATTACTACTTTATGAAGTCTGATAATGTCACGGTTTATTATTTGCCTTAGATTGTGTTTTTAGACACAATAACACGCCACAAAATACCCTACTTTTATCTCAATAAAATTAAGTAGAGTTCAATGTTTGCAAATAAATTATTTTTTTTTGGTTTATTACTTGGCAATAGTTTCATTTAACATTTACAACGGCAGGGTATAAAAAGTGTAGCAGCTGCGGAGCGGGATTCCGGTGACAAGTGCTGCCAGGAGGAAATTCTTCGTCACCGGTTCACAGCGAACGGAAAGCAACGAGCGCCAGCAGCTGCTGATCCAATTTTGGTGCTAATCAAATGCGCAGGCCCAGAGAACTGTGAACGTGAACTTAGCAAGTTGGCCAACGGAATAAAATCAGTGAGGGACCCCCTTGAAGCAGAACCTCCAAACGACACCCACGCCCACGTATCACTTTTCAACACAGGAAAATTAGCATCATACTTAAAACCCCGTCGCCGCTTAATTTTTTTTTTTTTTACCTTTTAAGCGTTGAAATGATTTACAAAAAAATTATATTTTCATATATTATAGAAGATTTATCTAATAGATTTATTCGTTCCCAGAACCGTTTCTCTTTGTGTAAAGCAGTGTCAACGTCAGCATTACTCCCGTTCTCCCTTCTCGTTTCCCCCCTTCTTCACTGTATGTAAATATGTTGGGCAACAACAACGCAACAATGCCCTGTTATCTACGATATGGAATAGAAACCGGAGCAGAAACACACCACACACAAACCCACCAGCACCCTCGCACACATACCAATAACAAATTGAAAACGAAATGCGAGGCAAACAACAACAAAGGCAATAATAGCGAGAAGAAGAGAATAACAAACAGCGAATATGGCAAATAAAGCTCATTGCTTTCGGTCATGCGGCCCCAGTTGAGCTCCAATGCTTAACGGGCGCAAAGGAAAATGGAAGAGGCGAAAAACAGAGGAGCGGGGTGGGGCGCTCTTGCGAGCATGCATTTCATTTCCACCAATTAATGATGAGTTTTACGTTCGCTTCCACAACCGATTAGCTATCTCTCGCTCGCACTTATTACAGATCATCTACTTATTTATTGGGGTTTGGTGGGCTTATCAATCACGGTTACAGGTGTATTTCCGTATGGCGCACCGCCCACGTCAGAAAATTGAGACCTCGGAAATTTTATTATAGTAGCATAAGTAAATGTTTGTAATTTTATATTTAACAAGCAGTTTTTAGGTTGGAAAGATGGGCTTTTTATAAGAGCAATAACAGATTACCGCTGCTATTTTCCTTTAAATTACTTAGGAACTCCTAAAACCATCAATTTTTAATAGTTATTTTTTCGAGTAATCACTGTATTTTTAAAAACTTGGTTTCCAATTGAAGTCCTATACATGGACAAGAACAGGAAACGCCACATAGGAAAGTACCATCGTAGGGTGACGGGGCTCTATCGGTTATTGATAGTGGGCGAAACAGGGGGAAGGCACTTAAGGGGTTGGGGGGCTAGTACTCACCAGTTGACGCCGCTGCACGCCTTTCGCATTTGGACTGGGATTGCCGTTGCCGCTGTTGCTGCCGCCGCCGCCGCCGCTGCTATTGTTGTTGCTTTTGGCAGGCGACGACCCCGTTTCAACGGCGGTGGACATCGCTGCCTCTATTTTTTATTTTTTGTTGCTCGTTTTGGTTCCACTCGAAAGATTCTATTGGCCAGGTTCAACTGCAAATCACAAAATTGGAGATCAAGACGATGCGTCAGACGCTTAGTGGCGTTTTCAAGCAGTTTTCAGTCCGTCGACGCCGCACCAACAAACTAATTACGCTTATTACTTCACACACATTGAACGGCCAGGGAACGCACACACACCCACACACAGACGGACCGACGCGCGACACGACTTGCTTGCTCTCACTGTTGCCGTCGATTGGGGGGCAGAAAGGGAGCGACTCGGCACTAGGACTCAAACTTATAATAGATGGGGGCACTGAACACTGAGCCCGCGGCGCGCAGAAGAAACACACCACCAGCCCAGCCGGCAAACTCACCTCGCGGCAAGTTCAGAGGAGCAGCTCCCCACCACGTGTGCCGCTGCCCTGCGAGAGGGGGAGAGCCGCTCGGAGAGAGCGCAAAAACAAACGAGCGTGGTGAATTTGGCGATGCTCTCTTTCGTGCATCGGTCAACGTGATGTTTTGCCATTCAACAAAAAAAACGCTCACTTATCACGCTCCACGTATATTCGCCACTTTCCCATGAACTTGTAATAAGAATTCTAAATTTGCACTTCGCCTCGTATCTAGTTTTTTTCAGATTTCCGCCGATGCGGCTGCGATTTGGTCTCTGCCTTTCGCCCTGCGATTCGGCTTCTCGTTCTTTAAGTTACAATCTTTTCACTTGCGCCATTAAGTAATTTTAATTATAATTAATACGTATGGCTGTCTATATGGGGGCGGGCGACGAACCCAGCACAGAACAGCACAGAGAACTCACGCACTCGATTGCCTTTGTGTATGCGAAACGTACTTGCCAACCATTCACCAGGCTCAATAGGTTTTTAAGCGAATAGAACCACTTTCCGACACACTCGAATCTTTTCCGTACGCGAGTCGCTGAAAATTTCCGGGACCGGACAGCAGCGATCCAACCTCTTCAACAATTTTTTTTCGTTTGATTTTTTTTGTGTAACCGTGTCTCGAGGTGGCAAGAAGACACAAGTTTCCGAAATGGATTGGTTTTTCACCAAACCCGAAACCCCTGCTAGTGGAGACACACACCTTGTCTTTAAACACACTCTTTATCAGAGACACCATCCAAACGTAGCGAATACATGTTCCTAACTTATTCGGTCCACCTTCTTATCTTGCGAATGCACCTAATATATTCGATATTCCCTCCTATCTAGCGAGTACCCACTCCTATGCGAACAGTTACTTTTGAAAATTCCAGATTTTTCTGGAAAGATCGTTTTGCAGATACTTCAAACACATAGAAATAACTAGAAATATTTTTCATCTGTACACCAAACTCAAGTTCACAGAAAGCAGTAATACATTGAATCCATTTAAACTCATCTATTTATTGATAAAATAATACACAAAATAATTAAATCCAAAAACAAGAACTCCTAATGAAAGTTGTAGATTCAGCTTTTCGGACTTGATAAACTCCATATGTATGCATACTTTTTGTACCCTTTTTCTGAAAACAGCTTAAGACGTTCAAGTTTACAAATATGTATGTAGATTAAAAACAATTAGTTTTTCCTTAAAGTTAGACTTAAGCCAGGTCCTTTCACGGCCGCCTTCAAAAACTTCTAGGCCCACTTTTAAAACGAACGTTACACGACTGGCCTCTCGAATGGGATCACATACATCTATTTTCATTAGTAATACAAAGTAAGGAGAGGAGTATTCTTGCATGCTATCATCTGTTCTTACGGATACGGACATACAAATCTACACTTTTACACTTATGCTTTAGGAATATATGGCTAATGGCTACAGGTCCTCGTCCATGTGCTCTTGCTCAGACTTGTTAAGGTTCACACTGCACGTGTTGTTGTTCTCGAAGAACTCCAGATCATCGTAGTCGTCCAGCTCCTGGGCGGCCAAATCCCCGACCATCGGTGTAACGGCTAGGGGTTGCACAACTTTGGGTCCGGGCATTGGGATCTGCAAGGGCGACGGCTGCCAGGGCACCAGGGCGGTGCAGGGACGTGGTATGGCTTTCATCAGCCACTCCGGTGGGATAACAGGCGGTACCGAGCCGGGTCCTGTTGCCGGCTTTAGACCATCGCAGATCACAATGCGGTTGGCGTTGCGCAGCTTCTGCTCCAGCTCCATGGCCGCCATCTGGTAGGCGGGATTCGGATGGTGGGTCTTCCCGGTGCTCGTAGACGGTATATCGTCTGTGGCCAGTCCGCCCGTAACGCTGGCCACGCTGTTGTTGTTGCTCCCAACGGCAGAGGCGGCCACGTTAATCTTGGGATCGAGGGAAAGTCCGCTAAAGTGCTGGGTGATTCGCTCCTCGGTGATGAGCATCTTGGGCGGTCTGAAAAGGGCGCAGTTCTTAGCTATCAGTTTTGATATTGGGCGGGACCTTTAGCTTACAACACTGCCGTCGCCTGCAGCTCCGACTTCCGCTTATGCTGCCACTTTCCCAGGTCGTTCTCCGCCGGAGTACCGAAGCCATTCGCATTGAAGTGGCTGCAGTTCCCGAATCCGAACTCCATTACTCCGCCCGGAGGTGGCGCGTTGAAGGGAAAGGACTTCCGCTTGGTTTGGGGCTTCATCGCCGGTCTGTGGGCATCAGAGATTGCGTTCTTGGGCAAAAGTTGTCCAAATCAAAATAAAAGTAAAATTTCAATCAGAATATGATTTTGCGACTTGTTTTCCTCCTAAGTGATGTGGCCAGTCAGCGTTACGAAAAAATTCTGATAAATATGCACCATGGTATTTTTTTTTAAATTTTAAGGTGAGTGAAAAAATTATCTGTTCATCTATCCAATATGCTTAATTTAGGCAAAATTTATGATATAAAAGGTATAAAAACTGTTTCAGTAAAATTGTTAAATTTCAAAGTTTATAACTAAAAAATCCCAGCTTTTCGAGCATAAAAAGGTCGGCAGCCCGCTGCTTTTGAATATTCAAACGCGACAAGTGGAAAAGCAAGTGCTTCAGTTAACAATCTTTAAAATAAAGACTTAAAAATATATTATAAAATATAAAAAGTGAATCAGTGCATAGCTTAACGCTCCAATAAAAAAAGCATAACGGATTAAAAACATCAAGCACTTTAAGAGATTATAATCCATTAAAAATCAAAATGAGGTTTACAAGGTAAGCTTACTATAAAAAACATTTTACATAAAAATATTTGGACTGAATATGCCACTTTTAAGCTTATAATAATGGATAATACTTTGTAAAATAACTTTATTTTTAATATATCCTTTTAACGATTCAACGCCCCCATTGGGCAGCTAAAGCACTCGCACTTTCCTCGGCTTATCGGCGATCTTTTCGAAAATAACATGTTTTTCAACCCAAAACGGGCGCAATCTTCGCTCGAACAACATTTTTAATGACGCTTTGTTTTTCCTTCGGCTAAAAACCGACATCGTCAGTTACCAGGCGATGGGGGGTTACATCAAAACATCAAAGGCTTATCAGTCCTAGACGTTGGCTGGCCCCCTGGACAGCAAATTGACGTCACCGGACAACGGAATCTGATGCAATTTCAATCTCCTGGAAAATAACTCGTGTTGATAATTAAAAAGCAAAAACACTCTCTGAGCCATTCAAAATTTAATTAAGATCACAAATTGTATGTAGGCTGTAGAAACATCATTTTCCTGTTGCCTTTTTATAAAAGGATTAGGCAAAGTGCAATTTTACAAAATTTAAAAAAATTGATTTTCCGATGCAAAGAGATCATTGTAGCTCTCAACTTTTAACGGTAGGTGTGAAGTGCCTCGAAGCTTTTAAAAATAAAACAGCTGAAACTTCTAAGTCGCGCTCTCTCGCTCACCCATTTCACTTTGCAAAAGCTTTTATCCAAAATAAAAACAAAAATCCGTAGTTCTGCAACACGTGCGGGGGCTTATTAAGTGATCGGTTGTGGATACTCTTTATAGTCGATTCGTATCCGGCAATCCGTGCAGTTAAAATTTTCCAGCAGGAAAATTCTCCAGCGACACAAAGCAGTCACAATAAAGGTAAAGCGCAAGTGAAAAATAACAAAAATTGGATCTGTGTAAATGTGGTTTTTAAAAATCTTTTAATTGTCGTTCTGCTGACACGTTTATTTGTGATCCAGCCAGCAAACTAGTTTTCCTTAGTTACAAAAATACTATCTATAGCACACATTGTTGGGGCCTATCTATTCATAGCTCCAGCCCCAGACAGAGGCTTGAAATTAATAAGTCAGGACCCCGATTTGTTTATGTTTTCCCTGCTAATTTATAATCAGAATAAACAAATCCAACTGATAAGATGAAAAAGCACGGACACACCCACACTAACAAACTAATGGCATGACAACAAGAGGAAGAGAACAACGCGAAGTGGAGGGGGTCAAGTTCTGGGTTGATTTACCTCATCAAAAAAAGTGCAACGAAATCGTAAAAATATATACGAATTGGGGCCTGGCAACAGGTCGGATAACTTAGAAGTATCCAGTTACCATGAAAATCGAATTGCAATTAAGTGCATGATTAAATTTTGCCTGTGTGCAAATTGGTTATTGAAACTTTTCCCACAATGTTGCGACGTTCCCTCAGAAGCATTGCGTTCTCAGCTTCTCGAAACTATGTCGTCAAGTCACTCTACAGGTGCGTACTTTTATAAAAAAGTGAATCCGATCGGAATAGAAAGGTGATTTAAAGCACACGAGGAAAACAAAGCGTACATTAGAGATGCGTCCGTGATGTTATTTTGTAACAGAAAAAGCCATTTTTAATTATAAACTGTCTTATATGATGTAAGTTAATTAAGAAATAAATTTGGGAACTATAAAATATAAATTTATATAAAACAGTAACGATCTATATAAGTAAATCTAGTTTTAGTAGCAAAAAAGAAAGAGTCACACGTGAAGCAAGCTAAAACTAAATCACGCGTTCATCTTTCAAAACAGCTGACCGCGAAGTTGCCAGCTTTTTCAGTTTGAGGACCGTGGCAACTTTGGGGCTGACGTGATTATTTAAGTGTTGAATTAAGAAATTTGAATTAATTACGTGAATTGTACTTGCCGTGAAAAGCTGACCCGAAAGCTCAGCGCAGATAGCTTAAACCTGTTATCAGCCAGGGAGCGTTTCGCTGTATTTTTACTTGTTTTGGTGCCAGTGCTTCGCTCATTTTCGATCCAACAGCGGCCCACTAAAGTTCCCCGATTTGCTGCGCTGATATTTCACATACATATGTATATGTGTATCTTACTCAGAAACTATATTGGTGTGCGAGTGTAGTGTGTGATTTTGCTGTGTAAACAACACCCGCGAATCCAGAATTCCGCGTATATATATAGTATAGCGAGTAAAAAAATCACACAGAACGTGGGGCCTGAAAAACCCGTGAGTCATCACGACGTGGCCCCAGCAGATAATTTCCCGTGCGACGGAACATCGGGGAAGTACCTAAAACGAATGGTCAACGAGCCGATTCGACGAAGCTCGTTTCGATCATTAGCGTTTTGCTCTCCGAGGGCAGCGGTTCAGTTTTCGACTTGTTAAGACGCAATTAAACGGAACTTTCGGATACAAACGATCATGAATCAGTACTACGACCTGGACAAGGGCAAAAATATAATGTTCCTGAACGACGCGTCCAGTACCAGTGGTTACAGCAGCGGGAACTCACCCACCTCCACCACCCAGTCCTTGTCCCCCGCCCACTCGCCCGAAACGATGGCGCTACAAACGGACTTCGCCAACTTGAACTTGCCAGCCGGAAACTCACCACAGCCTCCACCGCCATTGTTGAATCCACCATACCAGCATCAGCTGTTGAACAACGGCGCTCTGTGCCAACTGGATGCAAGTAATTTGATTAATTCCACTGGCGTGGTGAACGCCACGAATTTTGGCACCATGTACATGGATCACCAGTACTATGTGCCTTCCTCGGCTGTGGAGCCTCCTGGTCAGCACTTTGGATACCATCAGAACGGCCTGAGCAGCGGCGGCGGTGGCAAACACGTGCCACACCTGAGGATTGTGGAGCAGCCGGTAGAAAAGTTCCGGTTTCGGTACAAGAGCGAGATGCACGGAACACACGGATCTCTCAATGGCGCCAACTCGAAGAGGACACCGAAAACCTTCCCGGAAGTCCAACTGTACAACTACGACGGACCCGCAGTCATCCGGTGCAGTTTGTTCCAAACCAATCTGGATAGTCCCCACTCCCATCAGTTGGTCGTGCGCAAAGACGAACGAGATGTCTGTGATCCGCACGATCTGCACGTGTCCAAGGATCGTGGTTATGTGGCCCAGTTCATCAACATGGGCATCATTCACACTGCCAAGAAGTTCATCCGCGATGAGCTTTTCAAAAAGAAGCAGGATCGATTGGTTTTTCAGATGAATCGGCGGGAGTTGTCCACCAAACAGATTCAGGAGCTCCACCAGGAGACAGAGCGGGAGGCAAAGGACATGAACCTCAACCAGGTATTTAAACAAATTCCTTTACAAAGACTATTTTACTGACATATCTCCGCCCATTTAAGGTGCGTCTTTGCTTTGAGGCCTTCAAGATCGAGGATAATGGGACTTGGGTTACACTCGCCCCACCCGTTTACAGTAATGCGATTAACAACCGCAAGTCGGCCCAAACCGGAGAGCTGCGCATTGTCCGGTTGAGCAAGCCCACAGGCGGAGTTATGGGCAACGACGAGCTTATATTGCTGGTGGAGAAAGTCAGCAAAAAGAACATCAAGGTGCGTTTCTTCGAGGAGGACGAGGATGGCGAAACTGTATGGGAGGCGTATGCCAAGTTCCGCGAATCGGATGTCCACCACCAGTATGCCATTGTGTGTCAGACGCCTGCGTACAAGGATAAGGATGTGGATCGCGAGGTAAACGTGTCCATTGAGTTGATTCGTCCCTCCGACGACGAGCGTTCCTTCCCACCACTTCCCTTCCGGTACAAGCCACGGGACGCCATTGTGTCCAGGAAACGCCGACGCACCTGCTCCTCGGCGAACAGCAGCAGTTCCGGTAATGTTAGCTCCAACAATTCCCTGGATCTGCCAAAAACGTTGGCTATGGCGCAACCGCCGAACGGATTGCCCAACTTTTCACAACATGACCAGACAATAAGTCAAGAGTTTGGACGCGAAACGCATCTCGATGATTTGATCAACTCAGAAAATTTCCGCAAACTCATAGAAAACAACTCTGAAGACCTGGAGAAAATTTGCCAGCTGGACATGGGCGAGTTGCAGGCCGATGGCCATGGACGATCTGAAATGTCGACGGGCCGAAGTCTCACCACTAAGTACTTGAATGCAATATTCAAGATCTTCGATCAGGACCGTCGAACGGCGGCGGAGTCGTCGCGTCGTCGAGTCGAGGAGTTGTTTACAGATCACGCTCTTAATAACGACAATAATGACACGCTTCTGCACGAGGTGATCAGCTATAAAAAGGACAACTTAAAGTTGGCCTTTAAAACTCTACAGGTGATGAACTTTTTCAAGTTGAGGGAGTTGGTCAACAGCGCTTTGAATGCAGACGGGGACAGTGCGCTGCATGTCGCCTGCCAGCAAGATCGGCCGCACTACATTCGCCCTTTGTTGAGCCTGGGCTGCAGTCCCAATCAGCAGAACCACGCGGGTAACACCCCACTGCACTTGGCCGTTAAGGAGGAGCGCATTAACTGCGTGGAGAGCTTCCTGAACGGTATGACCAACGTACGATTAGATCTGTCGCTGAAGAACGACGACGGGCTGACTCCTCTGCATATGGCCATCCGGCAGAACAAGTACGATGTGGCCAAGAAGCTGATCAGCCACGATAGGAGCTCGATGAGTGTGGCCAACACAATGGATGGTAACAATGCTCTGCACATGGCCGTGTTGGAGCAAAGTGTAGAGCTGCTGGTGCTGATTCTGGACGCCCAGGGACAGAACCTAAACGACATCCTGCAGGCACAGAATGCAGCTGGCTATACACCGCTGGAATTGGCCAGGTACAAGGCCAACGAGAGGGTGGTGCAGCTGCTGGAGAAGGTTTATCCGGAGAAGAGTGAGCTCGCCATGACCTGGATTCCACGCAAGGTAAAGGAGGAGATCGACTCATCTTCGGACGAGAGCAGCGATGCTGGTCAGCTAGAGATTAAGTCCGAGGATATGGATATCAAAACTGAGGACTGCGACTCCGTAGAGTTGGATTTAAGCAGCGGGCGTCATAGACGAGAAGAGGAAAGCAGTGGAGACACCGAAATGATGTCGGATCCGCGGCACAAACTGCAGCTGCGGCTGAGGGACAAATCCATTTACAACCAGCTCAGCTCCCTGCTGAACAAACCAGTGGAGCACGGACCGGATGGCCAGCTGCCGAAGTGGAAGCTCCTTGCCCGCCAATGCCAGTTAGAGCAGTACACCTTCCTGTGGCTGGATGCCGACGGACTGTTGGATCACATTAAGGACAATGCTTCCAGTGCGGAAATCGCCGCATTTGGACGCGCCTTACATACGATCGACCCGCAGGCGCACGCACTTTTGGATCGAGATTTATTATAGACCTTAGGTTACTTCTCCCCATATACACCCCATCCGACTTTCATAAAGCTTAATTTTGTATTGAACATGTTGATCAATAAAAGTACCTTAGATTGTATTTATTTTTTAATATCCTCAGAGCGAATACAAACATAGGAATAGAACAATTTTACCAAATATAACGTAACTTCACTTCATTTCGAATTGCTCCTAAATACTTTGATTAAAAGACAGAAATTATATTCTGTTTGCTATTTGGAATTGTTGCCTGTAACAACAATGAGCATTGCCCTTAATGAGATCATTAATGGAATAATTTTTCCAAACGATAGTGAATAATAACGCTGCCATTAGTAAGAACATTCCTAGAACGGGGATCCCCACTTAATATTTTTGCACTACCACCCGCAATTCACAGGGTGAATCACACGATCTATATATGTATATATGTACATATTTGCGCCCAAGTGTGAGATCTGGGGGAATTACTGCAACGCAACCGCATTGATGGCCGGGGATTTTTTTGAGTGGCCTTATCTATAGACGACAATCCAGGTTTATGACCTTGCTTACATTTAAGAGCCTTTTTATAACAATATTTTCGGATAATTTTCTTTATGGAATAAAATGAAAGGTTACGAGTTGAAAATAACTACTATAACGATCGTAAATAAATTTTCAAAAACAATATTTTGAGCTTTTAACATGATTGACTTTGCTTTTCCGCTGCAGCAACATGGCTCAAATCATCGATGGCAAGGCTATTGCCCAGGAAATCCGCTTCCAGTTGGGCAAGGAGCTTAAGCAGTTCGTTGAAGAAGGAGCGCCGGTGCCTCATCTCACGGCCGTTATTGTAGGCGATGATCCGGCTAGCGAGAAGTACGTGGCCAACAAGATGATTGCCTGCCGGGAGGTGGGCATTTCAAGTGAGACAAAGAGGCTGCCCTCCTCCACCACGCAGGAAGAGCTTCTCCAGGTCATCGCCGATCTTAACCAGGATCCGCGGGTGAACGGGGTGCTGGTGCAATTGCCGGTGCCGGAGCACATCAACGAACGCACCATCTGCAATGCCGTGAACGTGGACAAGGACGTGGATGGGTTTAACGAGCTCAACATTGGTCGACTGGCTCTGGACATGGATGGCATCATTCCAGCCACGCCTCTTGCCGTCAAGACGTTGCTGGAGCATCAGAATATCGAGACCCATGGACGTAACGCCGTTGTGGTGGGACGCTCCAAGAACGTCAGTCTCCCAATGGCAATCCTGCTGCACGCGGATGGAAAGTATGCCACCAAGGCACTGGACGCCACGGTGACCATCTGCCACAGGTACACGCCTCCCAAGGAGTTGGCCCGCTACTGCCGCCAGGCGGATATCATTGTGGTCGCTGTGGGCAAGCCGGGTCTGATTACCAAGGACATGGTGAAGCCCGGTGCCTGTGTCATCGATGTAGGCATCAATCGCATCAAGGACGAGAACACCGGCAAGTTCAAGTTAGTCGGAGATGTGGACTTCGAAGGTGGGTGTACTTGATTATTTTTTAAAAGCGGCTTAATATAAAATCTTTTTTTTTTTGCAGAAGTTCGTCAGGTCGCCGGCCACATCACTCCGGTTCCTGGCGGTGTTGGTCCCATGACCGTGGCAATGCTTATGCAGAACACCCTAAAGGCGGCGAAGAATCAGTTCTACGATCGCAAGAGCTCTTGAAGATCGTCTAGAAACTGTCAACGAGTAGTCCGTGCTTCGCTGGCCGAGAAATAGTATTTTTTATTTAACCCGCTAATCTATAGAGAGTAAAGTTACTGACCAACTGCTAACATGACGATTGTTTAATACACATAAACCAATTTTGCTATATAAAAACGGAGATTATGGAATCTGTTTTCGATTTATTTTGCTTTATGGCGTTGGCTGGGAGCGGTACGAAAAACGTTGTTTGAATTTGAACTTTTTTCTAACATTAAGTTTGCTTTGAAAGAACTTTGATTGCAGCCAAGTAAATGAATGACTTTTAACTTTTTATTATCACTAAAAATACAAATTAATTGGTTTCTGATCAGTTTGTTTTATAGTTTACATTGTACAAGTCGAAAAACAAACTGTTTCTCTTATCCCTTAATTGCCTGCGGGCCTATTTCCCCGTCGGAGGCCGACTGCTACTATTGTGGATGCTAAATGCAAGCTAGCATCCTGGACAAAATCTAATGAGGGTCTTGGGAGGATCAATGGACCCAGATTCGGTCTTTTTTTGCGTATAACATGCTTGCGTTGTGTACTGAGCGCAAAGAATAATGGTAACTAATCCAGAGTGGTTGAGGGAACGGTGCAGGTGTCATCATCGCAAAAATATTTTTCAGCAGATAGTTCGAAGTGTGCGGTTACGGCTAAAACCGCAAATCGGGCTTGTACTTCGCCATGTATCTAAAACAAAATAAGTGTTATAATCAATTTAAAAAACTTCCTGTTGTCATGAATGTTATAAATTTAACTATAAATGAAAAGATGCTTATTAAATATGGAGGACCCTTACTTGTCCAAAGTTTCCCAGAATTTGCTGAGCACGGCCCGATCCAGATGCCTTTTGTTTTGCGAGAGTCGCAGAAGTGTCACAGACCAGCGCTCCACGTTGGAGTCCAATTTTAGCTCGCTAAAGCACAAGTGAAACGCACAAACTGCAAAAGGGTACAAATATATGTTAGTTAATAATGAAGAAGAAAGATGAACGATACTGACTCTTTGAGAATATCTCGACCGGATTCCCGTCCCAGGGCCAGCCCTTGAACTGCCACTGTGGCCCCATAACGAACACAGCCACCACCCTCTGCCAATCCTGTTGCGAAAGCTTAATTGGATTGTCTATCACCCGGTAAGACACTGTTTGATTGTTCCGTTTGCGCTGCAAAAAAAGATTATGAAGTTATAGAGCCTTTGCCGGTGGTTTATCTGGTTAAGTAAGTACCTGAAGCAGTACTTCGCTGTCGCGCTGGCAGCCCTGCAGCTTTTTCTCTGCGGTGGACATGAATCGCAGGTCCTGCAGGATGTCCTTAACGTTGAGCATGGTAATGAGGCTTGTGTTGGCAGACGGTATGATGATGATGGGGGTGCGCGAGGGTCGCTTTGTTGGTCCATTGGCTGGCAGCTGGCGAGCCTGGGCCGTGGGCAGCAGCTCCTTAGGCCGTCCGACGGCTGCTCCAGGTAATCCACCAGGTGCTCCTGGCAGATTGTTTGCCTGCGCCTTACGTTGCGCTAGAGAGCCCTCTGTCACGGACTTCAGCGACATGCCGTGGTACGTTCCGAGTGTGTCGATCTTGAAGCCCTCGGTCTCCTCCTTCTGGCGATTAAACCTTTCCTGATCGTAACGATTGTACTGCGAGAGCTGCGGCTGTGGCTTCGCTATCCGGGTCGGCTCTGGCATCTTGATGGGATTGGGCACCTGGGGCCGATTTCGTCCCTCTTCGCGCACCTTTATGCCCTGCAGCATGGCGAAGATGTTCTTCGCAAATATCTTTCCCGTGCTCTGTAAAATAGATGTTCGCGTCCGCCACTGCCGTTCTCTGCTAATAATGTCCTTTGTCGAGTCCACATCGTAGTCAAGAATAGCACGGAGATCCGTGCCCATAGTCTCATCGTTGTCTGTCCGTTTAATGGTTGTACGCTTGTTGGCCAGACGCTTGGCCTTGATGGCGGCGATCTTTTCAACGGACATCGTCTCGGACAAGGACTTGATGTTGTCCATGTTTACGGCGGTCTCCTTTTGGTTGACATCCCAGCGAGCGGCCAGTTGCTCGCGCACCTTCTGCACCTGGGTCTCCTCGAAGCGGGCCTTTTTGGCGGCCACCTCAACGCTGGAAGGTTCGCCCTCGGCGGCACGTTTCACCTGGGTGGGAATCTCCAGCGGTGCGCTCTTGTCGATGCTGGCACAGGTTGGTGTCTCGCCATTGAGATAGGCCAGAAGTTCCTTTCGATCCGGACGATTCACGGCGGGTATGTCCTCTGCAGCACATTGGCGCACATAGACCGAGTGCTGCAGCATCACATTCTTGAGCAGGTACAGCAGGCACTCCAGCGTGTAGTACTCACGTGGAGCACCCTTCTTGCCGGAGCTGTGAAGAAATAGAAACGATATGGTTACTTTTACTTATTCTGCGCGTTTTTCTGCCCTACTCACCCATATTTGAGATAGTTGGTCTTCACGCTCTTCGGCCAGGAAAACTCGCCGAAGATGATCTGGCTGTCACGCTCGACAATCTCCTTTTTGTTTATGTTGTACTGCCGCAGCAGACTCAGCGGATCCGCCATCTTTCTGCCGCGTTTCTCTGTGTCTTCAGGCGGCCGGAGTGGGTGAAAGGTAGGGCACTGGTCGTCCCGTAGCTGCTATGCACTTTCTTACCAAAGAAAGCTAAATTAACACGCTCGATTTCCTCTTTTTATGGCATATTTTTCGCGTATTTTTTTAGCAGAGGTTGCGTGTAGCGTGACCGCCGGCGAGGTGACGGAAAATACCAAAAAAAATAGTTCGCAAATCACCGCAAAGCGTGTGGTATTTATTTGTAAGGCGGGAAGCACGGCTTGAAAACAAATATGTTTAAGTTACGCTTTTAGTTCTTGGATCACAATAGTTTGATTAAAGTATATAATCACAATAATTTAATTTTTAAACTTAATTAAATGAAAACATTTTTTCAATTGAATATTTTTGTGAGCTTCTTGGTATATTTTGCGAGCAGAATTTTACGCTACCGCGGTCACACTGAAAAAAAGCCTTGCAACCGGCAGCTCCATCCAAAATAACAATTAAATGAAGCTTTAAAATGCATCGTAATTAATGTGTACAAATCTGGAAGTAAACTAGTCTTTCAAAAGCACATGATCGGTTTACGGAAACCTCAAAATCGTGGGTTTCCGAGGGCTGAGGCCACGTGAAAATTCAATGCCAAAGAAGTTGTGTGTGTCCTAGTTGTTGTGGCTTTTGTTGCTGTTCTTTCTTGTGCCTTTCGGGAAGCGGAGACACAGTTTGTGATTTAAACTAAGCAATGGGTCAGTCGGCAAGTAAAATAGGTAAGTAATAGAAGTTTTAATTTCGTTAAAATGACAGTTAAGAAAGTTAAAGGTTTAGTGGACTAAGGAGGAGTTCTGTGGGTGATTTGAGAAACATAAATTTAAAACCAAATATTTGAGCTATTGGAATCTATAGTACAGTTGTAAGCTCGGCTTGCCTGTCAATTAAAACTATGGGCATTCCAATAAGGTTTGTGACCTTCCCACCACCAACACACACACATGTTTGTTGAACAGCTGTTTCCCTATTAGAGATGACAATCGCAGGTTTCGTGCACATGCCGATTGTTCCGAAAGTCGGTTACCACTATACAGGTGTGAAACCTACCTGATAATAAATTGTATGATATATTTTTAACAAATCAATAAAAATACAGTTGAAAATAAACATTTTACTAAAACTCCCCAAAAATGTCGTGCTCAGTTACTCCATACTGCTTGAGAAAGTCTCTTGTCGTTGCATCCACTTTTTTCTGTTGATCAGGACTTAATTCGTCCTTGTACGAGCCGACAATACCACGCCGAATAAATCTACAACAAAAGCAATTCAAAGATTAAAATCCGGGAATTTAAAGCAGAACTTACTCATAGTTATCAGCAGTTTTTCGAACCGTTTTTATAAAGGCAGTGGGGTTCCCAAACTTGCTACCTGAAAACAGAGCTTAAAATTATTTAATTCCCTAGTTTTTTTATTAATCACCTTTTATGTTTTGAAAACTCAAGTGGTTCAAAAGTTTTTCCATTTCATTGTCGTTCAAATCTTTGCACTCCAGAAAACGCGATAATCGCTTAACGACATCTTTGAGATCTCGTTTCATTTCCTCATAGGTCACAAAGAAAATATTTTCGTTTTCACGCATTCTATAAAAGTCAATAATATGTGCCCAGTATGATGTATACAAGATTTTATCAGCAACAAACTGATCAACGTAATCATCTAAGCTGCCCTCCCAATGGAACAAGCCAGTCATATGATGATACGAAGAGACCACAACATCCTTGGGGTTTCGACACACGTAAATAACCTTCCGTCCTTGGGTCCAGATTTGCCGGGGCAGTAGTTGTGCGGGCAAGTGGGATTTTATCAGGCGAGAATCGCCTTCAAAATTATTGCACTCGTCTATTGTATCCTTACCTTCCTCGTCAATGGAAGAATACCTTTATCACATGGGAAGAAAAAAATTAATTAAACGCGTAGTTTCCTTTGGTGAACTTCTGAAACAATTCAAAACTTACTCTAGAAAAGGACTCCGTTGAAATGGAAAACTGCTTTTTGCTCGCTCAAAGTTCAAATTATTAAGCAGGAGCCAGGCCAGTTCTTGCATCCAAGTTGTACCGCACTTCATGAAAGTCACCACAAAAACATCACTTTTCCTCGTTTCAAAAGCGTCGATCCTTTGTGCAAAATCGCTTGAATAACCAGCTGGAAGGGTGCACCAGCGTGCTTTCCAATCCTGCTCTAGCGGCACCCAGTCAGGACCCAATCCTTGTGGTCCGTTACACTGTATTTGAATCATTGGCATCGTGGCCGAAGAATCTAACGACCTACTCGTATACATAGCGGACAAAAAAGCTCTTAAAAGTCTATCCAACGTTTGCCAAGCAACTAACTCTAGTTCGTGTTAAATTCTCTGTAGGTAGGGGGCAAAATTAGTCAAATATAGATTTCACACCGAGATACGGCTTATCATCCTTCACTTATGTAGGTTTTTAAATGGACTGCTAAAATAAGAATAAGTAACTAAGATAACATACAGCAATTAAAAACTAACTAGAGGGGCAGCTACGACTTTATTTTATAGCGATCTCTTATAATCGCGTACTTAAGTATAATAATTTTTATAACAGGTTTAACCTGACAGTTAAACAACATCCATTTTTTCACTCCCGAATTTTAGGATATCATACCGGTAAGCCAGCTTAAAAGCCATAGAAGTAAAAAAAAAATTACGTGGTAAAAAATTGAAAGAGGGAAAAGGTTCCTATCCTATTCTGGAAAATCAGTTTAGGGAGCGAACTTTAACGTACAGGTGTAGTTAACGGGGGTTGCAGGGCCAAAGTTACCTGCTTACCACATCGTCATCTAAGGGCCTCCATCAAATCGAATCAGCTTCGATTAGGCCCAAGATGGCCACGCAGCTGTAGACAATAAATTATAGAGTTTACGGCATAGATTTCTCACAAAACGAGCGCAAGAAAGGACGAAGGATCGCACAAAGGCGGAGGAGAGAAAAAGTAAACCCCAATAGGCGCTCCGTTCAGGTAGGATAACCTGAGGGAGTGGTAACTCCCTGACCCTGAGACAAAAACACATGCTGTGGGCCAAAAACCCGCCACGACCCTCTCTCTATGACTTGCCAAATGTCCTGTCTGCATCTGAGTACTCCGTAAGGTAAAGGTAAAGGTATGTGCAAGGAGCAGATCTTGTGTTTTTCGTGGGACAAGGCAGTTTTTCCATTTTACTGGCGGGGAAAAACTGCAATGTGAAAACTGTGAAAGCCGAAACCCCCAGAAAAGGCAAACATTTGGCCAGCAGAAAGTATATTGTTCTAACGGAGCGCAGCTTCCCTCGCATGTGTTGCATTGGTGGTTATTCCTGGGCGATGTTGATATTTGATTAGCGTTCGCATGCGAGGATGCGGAAATGGGAAGTGGATGTGGATGTGGAAGTTGAAGTTGCCAAATGCATCCCCGAGTCCCAAATGAGTTTCCTTTTGTTAGATCTTGATCGGATACTTGGGACGAGACCAACTGCTGTCGCGGATATCCAAAAAAAAAAAAAAGTAAAGGATCCAAGCCATGAGTTAACCAAGATAATAAGTTTTTTCCATGTTTTTTTTTTAATTGTATTTAGACTTGAAGTCAGATATCTCGCGAAATAGCTTACAATTTAAATGTATTTTAATTGCTTGCAAATAAGTACTCCTTAAAAATTGTATTTAAAATCTTTTTTCCCGAACTCTAATACTAAGCCAAACCTTATAAGGAGAACATGAATCGTTTACAATACTTTCGATTCCTGGACACCAAAAATATATCAATATGTACAGTAGTGGACACGAGTTTAGCACACTATGCAATCCCCATTTTTGAGCTCCAATTTCACCTTTCCCCGGAGATTTTTCGAGGAATTTTTTTACGTACGTTTGCTCTATTATTAGGAGAACATGCACCGTTAATTTTGTCCCAATCGCTTTTACCGTTTTCCTATACCAAGCCTCTGAACCTAAATACCTCAAAATCAGGCTGGACACCAGTTTAGCACACTCTTCAAATTTTTAGTTTTTTAACAACGGCGGTCTCGTTTTTTTTGGTTAAAGTTAACTGATAATTCATGTTGTCATTAAGAGAGAATAAAAAGATGTGTTTGCAATCCCACCAGCTTCTAAGTGCTTAAAAGGACAGCAGGAAGTCATCCAGACTCTTAAATCAGCTGGAAAAACGATTTCAGAGATTTCTAAAGACTTAAAATGTTCCCGTAAAATGGCTTACCATGCTCTAGGACATATTAAAATCAATCAAAGTACCAAACCCACCAGGGCAAACCCCAGATCCCGAAAAACATATGAAAAAAGAAAACCGACTTATCAAAAGTGTTTCTGAAAAATACCCTTTTAACGGCTCTAGAACAATAAATATCATCAATATTTAATATAGATTTATACTCGAGGACTGCAAGAAGGCGATGAAATAATAAAAATGTCCGAGGGTGCATAGCTTTGCAAAAGCCGCACGTATCCAACAAAAATTTGTATGCCAGATTTCAGTTTGCAAAGGAGCATTTGAAAAAACCACTGATTGTTTGGAAAAACGGTTTTGGAAAAAAATATATCTGATCGATCTATCAGATCCAAATCGATAAAACTTGGATTCATCTTCCCACAGAAAATTTTTCCAAACAATCAGTGGTTTTTTCAAATGCTCCTTTGCAAACTGAAATCTGGCATACAAATTTTTTTGGATACGTGCGGCTTTTGCAAAGCTATGCACCCTCGGACATTTTTATTATTTCATCGCCTTCTTGCAGTCCTCGAGTATAAATCTATATTAAATATTGATGATATTTATTGTTCTAGAGCCGTTAAAAGGGTATTTTTCAGAAACACTTTTGATAAGTCGGTTTTCTTTTTTCATATGTTTTTCGGGATCTGGGGTTTGCCCTGGTGGGTTTGGTACTTTGATTGATTTTAATATGTCCTAGAGCATGGTAAGCCATTTTACGGGAACATTTTAAGTCTTTAGAAATCTCTGAAATCGTTTTTCCAGCTGATTTAAGAGTCTGGATGACTTCCTGCTGTCCTTTTAAGCACTTAGAAGCTGGTGGGATTGCAAACACATCTTTTTATTCTCTCTTAATGACAACATGAATTATCAGTTAACTTTAACCAAAAAAAACGAGACCGCCGTTGTTAAAAACTAAAAATTTGAAGAGTGTGCTAAACTGGTGTCCAGCCTGATTTTGAGGTATTTAGGTTCAGAGGCTTGGTATAGGAAAACGGTAAAAGCGATTGGAACAAAATTAACGGTGCATGTTCTCCTATTAATAGAGCAAACGTACGTAAAAAAAATTCCGCGAAAAATCTCCGGGGATAGGTGAAATTGGGGTCAAAAATGGGGATTGCATAGTGTGCTAAACTCGTGTCCACTACTGTATATACATACCATATATAATATACAAACCATGTGCCGTTTCCATCGGACTCTCAAGTGCTTGCGCAATTCGATTTTGGGTTCTGTTCTCTTCAATTTTCTTTTGTGTTCCCTGGATTAGTTCGGGTTTATATATCCGAACTCCACAACTGCTCCTTACCCATCTCCTTTTTCCTTGGCCTGTCTGGGTCCTTTCCCTCTTATTTTCCTTTGCAGCTCCTCTGCCTTCTGCCTGTGACCCGTTTGCATATGTCGTTTTCTAATTAAACACTGGCATTTGCTATAGTTTTTAATTATGTGTATATTGATCGGTTATCGGCGATCGATGTGAAGAGCCAAGTAATGCTCAGCTGTCCTCCTTTGGACAGCTGCCAAACTCTAACTTTCCTTTGATTTTCTAGCTATGTAGCTTTTTTATTAAATTATTCATAAATTCTGATAGTTTCTAATCTATTTCCCAATACCTATCATTGCACACAAAAACTGTTTAATTCATGGACCTTTTCAATTCAATATATCGTGTAATTAAACCAATTCGAGTAATAGGAACTTTTTAATTAAAGCCTTAAATATTTATGTATCTGTTTTTATCTATAAGTTGTCTTGAAGGTGAAGTTCCGTTAGAATTGAGGTAGTAATGATAAGAAAACCGTAGATATGATATGTATATGAGCATTCCAATAGACGACATATCTGTTACTCGTTTTATGAACGGGGTGTGATGTTCTAGATAAAAAGTATACCATAAGTTTTGATATTTTGACCCTACAAAAAGAGAGCGCTGTTATTGATTAACGCTTTCAGACAGATAAAATCGAAGTGCCTTTGGTTTTATCATATACATATACTATACGATAATTGTTAAAATAGAAAGTTTCTATTAGAAACTTTTACCATAACTACAGGACAAACTCATAAAATGCACAGCTCTAACATATTTTTTATTTCTAATTTTCCCTTTAAAATTGAAATAGTTCCCTCAGATCTGCTCACTCACTTGCCGTGCAAAATCATCATTTGGCATTTTCATTAAACGCCTGCCTAGGTCAATTCTCCATAGACAACGATTTCGAATGGCAGCAGGGATCTTGGGTTAAGGAACTGTTTGAAAGGCAAATCGCTGTGACATTCTCAAGACAATGGGCGAAAAAAACAATTGCCAGGCCCAAGGTAAATGCGGGTCTTCGGGATCGGTTGGCCAGCAACCCTAAGACGGAGTCGAGCAAAATGAGCGATATATTCTTGAGCTAGATGTTGGTGGGAGACCAATCAAAAAAGACAAAGTTTGCACTTGTGGGGCACATGTGCCATATTCTAAATTTAACCACGAAATGCTTAAAGGGGAGCGAGCAATCCAAAAAACAGACTGCAGATATCTCCCCCATCGAGGCGACAAATGCAAATGGAAGCAGATGTCTGCTGGCAAAATATGAATATATAAAAATAAATAGTCGTAAAAAGAAATCGAACCGGGCCGTGGAAGTAGATCAACTTTATCAGCCAAGGCAACTGGCGCACGTCTTCTCTTCCTTTTTTTAACCTGGCACGTGGTCGGCCGGCTTCCTCTTTCTCCTCCTTCAAAATCCCTTTCTACCCGTCTGTCTGTCGCTTTGGCTATGAATTTACACCTGGAATTGGCAAACAAACAGAACGGAACCGATGGCAAGACAGCGAGGGGATACAAGCTAGAGTAGAGCAAACCCTTTTTCAGGTCCTTTTTCAACTGCAACTGCAGATGGACACCATTTGTTGATGTTCGATACAGTGAATATCGAAACAGATGAACCACTTTTAAACGTGATTAAGTCATAGCTTTTATTTTCTGTTATCTACTATAAGTAAGAAATTTGTATACCCAGAGCATCCAAAAATAAAACATTACGATCAAGTAAAATAATGTGCCTTCCCTGAAACAGTGTGCCGATATTCACTGTATTCTTTGACAATTTTGGGGTTGTTTGTTGGACTCTTTTTTCTGGTCGATGTTTGCCGGTTTCTGTTTCGCCAACTTCACCTTCTCCGACCTTTTTGCATTTTTGCACAACGAACAACAGGAGGGGAAATCGGGTAAGCAGCAGCAGATGTATTTCCAGGACACACGCCTGCTGCCAGGATGCTGAATATGCATTTCCACTTTAATATCAAAATTTAAATGCTTTCTGGGCCCGTCTTGATCCCTTCCGATCTTGAAAATTGCATCTGCTGTGAGGTCCGTCTGGTTTCGTCTGCTGATGCAGGACAAAAAGGACGAGCATGCGGAGCATGAGGAGCACTTCGCGCAATTATCATCCTCCGTCAATGGCAGCGTGGCATCTATAGAGGATAAAAGATGATCAGACGCCAGACGGCAGTTATCCTGCTGGCCACAAAACCTTAAGTTTAATAAATGAGACCACAAATAGCATGGGTTCCAGACAATAGGTAAAAGCTTACTTCTGCATTGAATCTTTATCAATTTATTGCGATATTACGGATTAAAAATGCTTAAAGGGCCTTGAAGTATTTATGGTTGATTAGCGTACATATGTATATATGCCCTATCTTTAACTTTCCTCGTCTACAATTTTAAGCCTATGAAGCTGGCACGTAAAGTTCACGATCAAAAGCATTAGAACAATTTAAACAGTTTGCCAGTTATATGAGTCAAACCTTTTAACCCCTCCGAAAAAGAAAGAATTGCTTTGAACCTGGCTGAACTACACACACACTTGCCCACTTTTACACAAAGTCGAGGGGAACAACAGTTAGTGGAGATCAGAGCAGTTTGGCCAAAAAACCATAAGCAGGCCTAGAGCAACAACAAAGAGACCAAGAGAAGCAACAGCAGGAGAGGAATAGGAGGAATCCCCGATCAAGGTGCAGTCAGAGGCATAGAGGTAAATTATAAGGGAGGACAAATACAAATACACGCGAATGGCAGGCACAAAGCGAAACCGTAGTAGATAAGAAACAGCTGCGTCCCAGGTTTTCTCTCTTTTCTCTCTTGTACGCTCTCTTAACCAATGGTGACATCTTAAGAGCCAAATAATAAAAACTCCTGATATTAAAAGAAAATATCTAAAAATATTTGTTAAGAATTTAGTAAAAAGCGTAAATTATATTTTCATTTATTGCAGACAATAATTCCAATAAGGGTCACAAAGGGACGAAAAATATTTGGATAAAGAACTATAGTTTTTGAACCTTGCAAAACGTAAAAATTTAAAGATAGAAACCAAATTCTTATTATTTTTAATATAAGGATATACAAAATCGAATTCGATGTTCGTAAATTTCAAAAAATATCTTCATTTTCACTATTTAAATATATGTATAACTTTTAAAAAAGAACAGTTTGTCGGTAGAATTTCTGCACACCAGAAGTGTTAGCGTCGTGGGTGAACATTTGGGAGCGGGAAAGAGAGAATTTGAGAGCGGAAGGAAGAGAACTCGCTCGCAAACGATATCTGAGCTAGAGCTGGTACAAGAAACGATACTATCGTTGATGGTTTTATGTGAGCCGTCCGAAGCTATAAAAGGCAGCAGCACCACTTATTTGTTGTAAAAAAAACGCAGCGAAAGGTTGTCTCCGTCGTCGTCGGTCTCTGTGCTTCGTTTGTGTCGTTTCGTTTCGTTTGCCTCCGTTGCGCGCAGACAACCAACAAAATTCAAAATGTTTTAACGGATAAAACCAAATTCAAAGAACTTTTAACGTTTAATTTAATGCCAGATAAAGTCGAATTCAGCTTGTCGATTTTCATTAGCATTTCGCGTGTTCGTTTAGTTCAAAAAATTTAAAAACCAAAAAAACCATTATCATGGGTTTGTCGGATATACCAGCCAACTACATGCAAGGCAGCCACCCCCACCTGAACCTCCATCCGCAGCAGCAGCACCACCAAAATCAGCAGCACTTGCAGCATTTGCAACAGATGCAGCTCCATAACGCCATGCCCACGCCTGCTCAGCAGGCTGCGCAGGTCCTGGCCCTGGAAAGCAACGAGCTGCTTATGAGCACCAAGGACAAGCTCTCCAGCAAGAAGAAGATGCACTTGCTCAAGAAGATCAAGAAGCGCTTCGGATTGGGTTAGTAGTCGCATTAGTACCGAAGATTTGGGTTCAGGAACCAAGGAGCTTGTTATTTTCTTGTTCGGGGTAGCGGTTTCCATGAAATGTTAAGTGAAGTAATTTTCAGTATTGCCTAATCCATTTCTTGTAAACTTGCTTTTGATAAAAAGTTTTTTTTAATTAGCAAAATTTAAATTTCTAAAGTTCTGTAAACTAAACAATGGGAAATGGGAAGATCATCTAATTACAGCGTGCGAAGTTGCTCGAAATACATAATTCACCGATCGGGGGAGCTTTGCTTTTATCTCCGGCGGTTCTCACATAATATTAGCATGTGGTCTGACCCATCGCTCATTCATTCATTCAGTTAATTAATGCGGCAAAGATAAATAAGCTAAAATACAGCCAGCCGCAAACGTTTATGCATACATTAGCAGTTTGAGTCTCAAGAACAATAGCAAATAAAGAAAGATACAAGCTAAAAACGGGAAAGTTTGCGATTGTTTAAAGCAAAAAGCTAATGACTTTGTGTTTTAAAGAGCACGCACAGATCGCTTTTGTAATAGTAATCGCTTTTCTGACTAAATAGACGCAAAAAATGCCGAAACAAATATAAATGTGAAATTCTTTGAAGGTTTCGTCGGCAGAATTTGACCTCGACACGACTTCTTCGCCGGAAATGTCAGTTCTGGAAACTGCAATTTTCAATCGCACCGAAAAAGAGTCCATTCCCCCAAAGTAACCACAAATTGATCAAGAAGCTTGGGGATCTCGAGTTGAAGAAAATACCACCACCAAAAGCAATTTTCCCAAGGAGCGATTATGTTTATCATAACGATTATCTGGGCTGGGGAATTTGGTATCTCCGTTTGTTGTTTTTGGCTTTGTTTTTTTTGTTTGGTTGCAAGCAGCTGAGCAAAAAAGCGAAAAAACAACAACTCACTTTGTTGGCTTTGGCTCAATTGCATTCTCCTCTTGCTACTCTGTTTTTGGTCAAAAATGGTTAAGCAAAGCAAAGTAAAGCAAATTCAATGACGCATAGGCAAAGATTCTTCTACTTTTTTTTACTGTTTTTACTTGCCTGCTGCCAACAGTTGTGTTCGTAAAAATAGCGGTTCGGACTCGAATTGTACTTTGACTTGAGCAAGTCGTGTGTTTAAAATATTTTGCTTGTTATATTTTCTTTCACCATCTGCTAATAGTAAATTTAACGTATTTATAAAAATACCTTTTGCTCAGGACTGCTCAAAGTACAGCATTTATGTATGAATCTAGTACTACGTTTTTTACCCCTGCTGTTTTTGCATCTGCCTCATTCAGCATTTGTTGTTGCTTTCTTTTAATGTGGTTGCCTTTACTTGAAATTATACGCGAAGCGCCGTTGCCGCCGTCGGCAAAAACAAACCCAAACGCAAAGGTAAAGACAATGCGCAAACAAAAAATAACGATCCGCGGAGAAGAAGAAGCAGGATCGATCGAAAGGAGAGGAGAAGAGAAAAGAGGAAGAGGTGTGGCTTTGAAGTTGAAGTTTTGTGTTGTTGCCTCTCAGGCGTTTAAGCTCGCGATGGTTTATGTTTTATGTGGCGGCTTCCAATCCGTTTGAACGTGTGTTGCCCATCGGTAATCAATGAAATTACTTTGTTGTTGTTGCTTTGTGGCGTCAGCTGCTTTTGCTTTTTTACCTGCATTTTCTATTACATGCCGTAGTTTGTTGTTGTGTGTTGGCATGCCACGTTTGCTTGGCTAAAAAGTTTATCTGCTCTTGGCTTTTACTTAGCTTCTCACGGTTTACTTTTCGGAATGGTGGGCTTGTTGTGCGTGTGTTTGCAATTGAGCGCTGCCAACTCGCCTTTGAGCCTATATTATTGGACATATTGTCACACGACCTTCGATTGTTAGCCAAAAGTAAATAACAACAGTAAATGCACACCCCCGCTCGGAGTTGGCTTTTATATACACTAGAGGGCAAAGTAGTAGTTCTAGGAAGTGCTTCTGTTTAGGTCCTATAAATTACTTTACTTACCAAGATAAGTTATACAACAGACCTAGACAACTTGAAGCAAACTCTCAGATAATGAGATGTACGTACATATATTCCTTATCTTCGCAAATACCAACCCCATTTTGACCGCAACTGTAGGGAAGTGCACTCGGACTTCAAACATCTGTTGCGATATTCCCCTTTTTCTACGTCTTCTTTTTCAGTTGTTCTCTCTTCCCATTATGAGGTCATCTGGATGTGTCATTCGTCCTATGGTCATTTTGTTTTTGTTGTATGTTGTATGTTGTAAAGCTGTGCCATTTCTAATTGATAATTTTGCTCTACAGATAACGGTCAGTGCAAAAAAGCTTATCTCCTGCTAGTGTGGTTAAAAATGATTGCGGTATAAATAGAAGTTTTTAAGTGTTGGGGATATACACAAAGATCTTCGCTGTGTTGTTGTTCAAAATAGCTACACCGCGACCCACTTGTTTATCAGTTATTGAACCAAGTTGGCAGCTTGAAGGAAAGTACGGTGCATATTGCTCAGAATTAACCTATATATCTTAAATAAATTTTAAAAGTTCTTATTTGCTTGTCAAATTTGTAGTCAAATATTTTATATTATTAATTCAACAGCTGAAATCTATATTGGAAATCCCTTTTAATTGTTACAAATTAAAAAAATAGTTTAAATTTTAGGAATAACCTCTGTATCAACTTTAATTTTCCTCATGACCCAAATGTAGTACAAAATTGTTAACATTTTGTCTTGGTCGGAGAGATAACAACGCATAGCACCCCACAGATAGAGATAAACTAGATAAAAACGCTTCGCCGCAGGGTGTTGCAACTGGCGCAAGACAAAAGGCGCAATCCAGGTAGCAGCAGGTAAAAATATGGCTCTATATAGTATAGGAAAAATACCCGGTCCAAAAGCAACTGTAATTAACTCACGCAAAGTAAGATGGAGAGATATCCAAAGGCATCTTTGGGTCAATTTTGAACGCCTTTTGGGAGGGCGTGTTTTTAGACGGGTTGAAGCGGGCGGTTGGTTGGTCTGTTGGTTAGGCATAAATCACCGTTGATTTTACTTGGCCTGAACACCTACGGGTCTATAATCGGTGCCTGTGTCCACAAGCAGCTGTTCGTTCGGCTATCCATCCATGAGCAGATCGGGTTTTTTGAAATTTTGTTTTTCGCCTTTTACGTTTTTGGTCCGAATTTCGATCAGAACTTTAATGTTATTAATATGTACACCTATTTCGGAAAGAACTAAAACTAGATTTGGTCAGCTTTGCAGCTGTTCGAGGTATTTAATATGCTAAATATTGGGAAATTTGCATGGTTTTGCTATAACCCTAAATGTTTATGGCTTACACGATAATACTGCAACCAGTGGCATTAAAAACTATCAGTTTAGGGCCAAAAACACTTCAAGAGCCTTTGTCAGGCCTTGTAATAACAATGTTATAATGTAATAATGATGTGTTGCTATCATAAGACAACTCTTCAAATCCATTCCATTCCACTCAGGTCAACTCCACAGTCATTATTGTTGGCTCCCTCTCAACGCTTGAGTGATTTAATTACACAAAAGAGTTTTGAGTTTTAGACCAGGGGAAACGGGGCTCTTGTGCAGTCAAGTGCGAGGAAATGCAACTATAGGAGTAACAATCAACTATATGTGTATATAGTACTCTTTTATATACATCTATGTATGTGGACCTCTTCTCTGGCCCTTTGCAGTAATTGCAACGCTTCGATAAACAGCAAGCCTACAAAGCGCGACAAAGCAAAGCGGAAGAAAGCCGGGCTTATCGTTTCTGCCTCTCGAACGTACAGTACTGTAATGAATACTCGGAAACTGTTGCTTGCTAAATAATCAAGTTGCATTAGTTTGAAATATATTTAAAAAATGCTTGTATTCCTCACAAGATACGTACAATAATTTATTTTCTATGTTAAGGCGTAATATTTCCTATTTCTTCTATCATATACGACTTGTTTTGAAGAAAGCCTCAAAACTCTGTCTTCATAATGTTGTTTATTGTGTGCTTTATGTTTTCTTTGCTTCCTTATATTTTAGGGTATATATTTAGATCGTTTTTATGCCTATTCGGAGCTGAACACGTTCGGTTCTTCTTGGCTGGGGCCTCTTGCATGCTTCGACGCCCAAATAAAAAACCCAACCATACAAGCGGTGTTTATATATATCATGTGCATCGATAGAGAGGTGCTCCCATTCCACAGAGTTCGTTGTTTCTGGGCTTGTAAAAATAAACATGTAAATTTGATTTGGCCACCTACCCTTCCTCAAATTGTCCCTCTGTATACTTTTCCCTATCTCTCTCCCTTTCGGTGGCTAATTATACTAGAAGGGGGGGAACTGCGCCTCATCCGGGAGTTAACAACTAATTCGTTTGTGTAGAAAGGGTGAAAATTTATATCGAACAGAGAGAAAAGTCACCCGGAGGCATTGAACCCATCGAGAGGTGCGACCAATATGTAAGGTGGATTTTTTTTAGCTCTTTAGGGGCTTCTTTTTGAGTCATTTGTGGAATATGTAAGTGAAAAAGCTAACTAAATGTTTGTAATACCTGGGGAAATGTAAAATCCCTTACTTGCTGTTGTGAAGCCCCGTGATTATGCTTATCATAATAACCGAGATAAAGAAACTTTGGCTGGGAATAACAGTGATGCGTATTTATTGATTACCCCCTATTTACCTTATCGTTATTTAGATAAGCACTCATTAAATTTTGATTGATTTAATTTAACAAGGTTTTGCAAAGAACTAGATGGTTTTTATTTAGGCTCGCCGCTGCTGTGATTGCTTCGGTTTATTTTCCGATGTCGTCTTGTGGTATCAGATTTCGCTTAATCGCATGAAAAGTGCAATGTACTTGCGAAGAAGAAAAGCTGCTCAGACACAATAACAACTGGTTGCAACAACTTGGCATAGTTTGACCTCTGGTTTCATCGCTGTCAACGCCGCCGCCGCCGCCAGTCGGCCCCTTTTTCCGTTGTGTAATTATTTTTATTATATTTGCCGAGTCTATGTTATCGTCCATTGTTGCTAGTCTTCTAAAGTTACCAGAGAGAAGGGGCAAAACCGGTGGGGAATCCACACCAGAAGAGAGAGTTCCTCGCTCCAGCAGCCCGTGATGAGTGGATCGCAGTGCAATTTCCGCTGCACTGGTCAGCGTTTCAAGCAGAACGGAAGTGGTTTTCGCATCCACTCAATGGGGCTTTCCATTGCAGTCGAACTCTGATAAGTGGATTTAGCTGTAAATCAACTGAAAACTGGAAAAAGGTGATATAAAGTTTAGTGGCAATGTTAGATCGCACAGAAATTTTCGGTAATTGAAAGGTATCAATTAGGAGAAGAAAAACTTTTATTCCGAAAACCAGAAAACTTTCATACTTTGCCGCCCCACGCAAATTGTTTGTTTGTGAGCGATTCATTAGCATTCATTAGCTTAATTTATCTATATTTAAGACAAGAAAGTGACATTGCTTTTATTGCTGTGAGAATTGTTTTACAAGCCTTTCGAGAGGCACTTGTTCAGATCTCAAACTCCGACCAACGCCCGCCTTTACTGCCCACAGTCTAAGCCAATCTATAACTAACTAACAAACGACCCACACGCTGTTTCCTCAACTAATTTCACTGATATGTCGAAAATGAATATAGAAACACTATGCGGAGTGGCCAGATACGCTTATAACCTACAATCGGCGTGGGTCGACGATCCATTGACAAGCCCGTGGAAGTCAAAAGCTTAGTCCAACTCAATCCGACTCACTCACCCACTCACTCGTTCTGACTGATTGCCGCGCTGCAAAACGCCGATAATTTATGCCAAATGGTTGACCAATTGATACCATTTGTAAATGATCCATTGATCCACTCGCCAAGCCGTCGGTCTCTTTGGACGAAGGCCCCAGCGTTTATGGGACACTTCCGGTGCAATTAAACGACCTCCGGCGTGTTAATTGTCCGCACACGTCCCCTGACTCATGCACGTGGGCAAACAAGAGCAGGAACATTCAGGCACGTGACCTGTGACCTCAATCGGTGCAAATGAGGGAGTTCAAGTGGGCGGTGAAGGGGAGGAAGGCAGTGCTTTGCAGGCCATAAAATAATGAATGGCTTTTTGTGTAATTCGGTAACTGTTTATGAAAGGTAAAATTATTTCAAGTTGCAGCACCCAAAAATAATCATTAATTTTTAAGTGATTTGCTAGAACAGCTCGTAATTTCCAGATTAACTTCACATAAGATCAACTTGTAAGCCTTCATTCAGACATCAACGTAATCTGGCTTTAATGATCGCCAACTCAACTCACGAGTGCCAATCGAAATCTAATGACGTCGGCTCAATGGGATTTTGAATGTTTGGAGATCTTCATCGGATCGTTAAAATGATTTCGCCTAACGATGGCCGCACAATCGCCGCACCGATTGCTTCACTGGTTTTGATTTCCTTTTTTTTTTTTTGTCCGTGCTCGGGGTTTTGTTTTATGACACCTGCATGATTTTCACATTTTCCACCCGCTCGATCCGATCGCTCAGCTGCAGCTTCTCCAGTTCCCCGGTTCTCCAGAGATTCGGGAAGATCCGAGCGGCGGCGCACTCTCTTCTCGCAATTACCGAGGCTTGTTACAGGTTTTCGGTGTTCGGCAGCCGCAAATTTACTATATATCTCCTATATATACAAATTTGGAGTCGTGGGAATTGTCTCTACAGTGTTTGTGTTTGATTTTTGCCCAGTGCTCAGCGTGGGAAATGTTTTGCAGCCCGCTCGCTGTTGGCGAATCCAAAGACGTCGCTGAATCCGTCCGCGCCGAACGGTAAATCAGGTTTTCCTTTTTGGCAAGCTACGAAAATTTGCCTGCAACTGCGGCAAGATCGTTGGCAGTCGATCGGATGCTCCGCTCCGGTGCTTCGTTTCTCCCATTCGGGCCGCGTTTGGGAACCTTTTCGGCGGAGCGGCCAACTCCAAACGCATCATGACCACCGAAAGTTTGAACTTTTCATCTCCAGATGTTAGTTGGCCAAATTATGTCGAAACCTGACGATCGGCATTAGGGCGATGATCGGAGGGCCTGGGAAAATGCGATAAAATAATTGTCTTTCTGTTGCTAGTTTACTTGAATGAAAGAACCCTTCCGGAAAATGTTTAAAACTGTGTTTCCAAACACACTTTTCCCTGAAAGATTAAATTGTCTAATTAATATTGTTGCCTAGTTGACAATAGTTATTGTACTGCTTTCCTTCCCAGCTTTTCCATCCAACAAAGCTATCGCTCATCGTTCATAAATTTAATGTAATTAGTTATCATGGGGCGGAGATCATCATTAAAGCCTCGAGCGGAGACAATCGCAGCTCTTAATTAATTGTGGCCAGGCTAATTGAAAGTATCGACGCGTCGCCTAAGCACCGTTTCAACTGGGACTTCAGGGAAAAAGCGAGCCGCGTACTCCATTCATTCATTCATGCCAGCGAATTGTTGTGTTAGCCCCGCTGCAATTCCATCCATTGACTGACGACTGTCTGGGTCTGGGCCGATAAAAAGTAGGCGTCGCCAGTTGGCCAGGCTGGGGAGACGACAACATCCTGCAGCTAACAGCTAATAGGCCCAATCCAATACACGTATACGCGTACTACGTGATTTCCTACTTCCTCGTCGCGGTCAATTCATAAATATGGATGGATGGATGGTTGGATGGTTGGCAGTCACAGTCTTCAGGCCAGGCTTTCTCCCTCGTTCTTCTCCTTCTCCTCCGGCTTCTGGGATCTCCGAAGCCGCGCTCTTTCTTTCCCTCAGAATGGGAGCCACCGGAAGCTGGTGCTCCCTTTCCACTTCCTGCAGCGGAAGCACTTGAGGATTGAGGATTTTTCGGGAAGCAGACGACAGTACAGATTTCGTGTGCAAGTCATTGGCCCTGTCTGAGGATTAAATTTCAACCCCGAAGACACTGAGGCACTGCGAACGAAGCCCAGGAAATCTTGCAGATAGCCGAAGCATTTGTATCTTGTATCTGCTGTCTTACAGGGTTTTTCGAAATTTGAACAGCTGCAGACTGTTGAACTGCAACCCCTGAGCGATCGAAAACGTTAAAAACTACCCTCGAAAAACGGGGACAGACGCTCTTTAGGGGTAGTTTTACCTGTTCCAGCCGTACAGCTGCTTTCTTCTGACCTTCCCACTTCTTGCTCGGCACAAAGGCAGCCAGCAAAGGGAACCAAGAAAAAGCAGAAAGGAAAAAGGACAGCTGCCACATGCCGCTCCAAAGCAAACACATTGATCTCCAGTGCCACGCGCCGCATATCAACATGGTAATCACCATCAACATCAGCCTCATCTGCTGCAGGTCCTTCGCCAGGTTTCTTATATAGTAAACTAAACTGGGCTTTATGTTTTTTCAACGCAACTGTTGGCATGCCGCCGGAATCGTCTGATGTTCGGCATTCCTGCAACCTCAAGAGAAACCAGTCGCCGTCCTAAGAGTCCTCTTCGAGTAATTATTTATATGGCCATATGGATCGGTTGTAGACTTTTTTCCAGCGCCGTCTTCTGCTGTAATTGTCAGCAGCTGCTGATGTGTGTCGATTTGCAAGGTGCAATAATTAAGCCAATTTCGGGAATACATTTTGAGGATTCCCCAAGCCATCGGATGTCACCGAAGGGCTTCCCCATTAAAGTGCAAGAAATTCACAGTCAGCTTGCCAGAAAAACCATTAAACAATTCTAACAAACATTCTCTTAATTAAAAGAAAATTTAACAAATTCTGTATCTGAATTTCAGTCATTGTCGGATATTTTCAAAACTCCCCTAGCTACAATAATATTTTCTTTTCCTTGAAGAAATTATTGTACTTCATGCGTTTGTGACTTCGATTTTCCAAGAAAATATGCCACCAGCTGGCGATGACCATGGTAAATCCTTTAGTGAACCTTTTTGTCTGAGCGATTACTGCACTTTTGCCATGGAACTGATCCCCAAATTGAATAGTTCAATAGTCTTCAGTCCAGTCACGTGCCTTGTGCTTAAAATCCAACTAAATTTGGGTCTTGGGTTGGGGGTTATTGACTCGCCCGGAAGATCAGTTCAGGCTTCTGCGTAATTCGATCGCGAGCACATGGTTGAACATTCGGCTACCTGGAGAAATACATAGACATCTTTTGAAGATGCGTAATTCGATCTGGCTTTGGGAAAGATATTTTAAAACAATGTGGCTGAGATGTAACTAATAGATAGATGAACTGTGGAGGCAGCCATTTGTTGAAGGCGAGGAATGCGGCTTTGAAAAGATCTTAATCAGATATAATAGGAAATATGGGATACACTCTTTCTCACAACTTAACTAACCAAACTTTCGCCTTTGCCATTGCAGTTCGCCGCTCGCCCTCCTCATGTCCTGGTCCCAACAACCTGCCACCTCTGCAATTCCACAGCGTCCACGGCGACAACATCCGGATCTCGAGGGACGGAACTCTGGCCCGTCGGTTCGAGAGCTTCTGCAGGGCCATCACCTTCTCCGCCCGCCCGGTTCGCATCAACGAGAAGATCTGCGTGAAGTTCGCGGAGATCTCGAACAACTGGAATGGAGGCATCCGCTTTGGATTCACCAGCAACGATCCTGTGACGCTGGAGGGAACGCTGCCCAAGTACGCCTGTCCGGATCTGACGAACAGGCCCGGTTTCTGGGCGAAGGCTCTGCACGAGCAGTACTGCGAGAAGGACAACATACTCTACTACTATGTCAACGGAGCTGGCGATGTGATCTATGGCATCAACAACGAGGAGAAGGGCGTCATTCTGTCCGGGATCGATACAAGGAGTCTGCTGTGGACGGTGATCGACATCTACGGCAACTGCACGGGCATTGAGTTCCTGGATTCCCGCATTTACATGTACCAGCAGCAGCCGGCTTCGATGCCGATGACCGTTGTGCCCGCCCAGCAGCAGCTGGTCCAGCCGACTGCCAACGCCTCTGCCGCCCTCAATCCCCACCACCCGCACCAGCAGTCGCGGAGATCCCTGCCCGGCCACACTGGAGCCATCGAGCACGACCTGGAGCGCCATGTGATGCCCTCGCTGCAGTCGCTGCACTTGGCCGGAAACGGAGGCAGTGTGGCTAGCGTGGAGCAGGCTGCCATTGCCCACGATCTGGCCAACGGGCTGCCTCCTCTGCGCTACAATGCCAACGGACGCCTCATCCCCGTGCCCTTCCACAACACAAAGGGCCGGAATGTGCGGCTCTCGCAGGACCGCTTCGTGGCCTCCCGCACCGAGTCCGACTTCTGCCAGGGCTACGTGTTCACTGCCCGTCCCATTCGCATCGGCGAAAAGCTGATTGTGCAGGTCCTCAAAACGGAGCAGATGTACGTGGGTGCCTTGGCCCTGGGTCTGACCTCCTGCAATCCGGCGATGCTGCAGCCCAATGATCTGCCCAACGACTCGGACTTCCTGCTGGACCGCCCCGAGTACTGGGTGGTGAGCAAGGACATTGCGGCTGCTCCCCAGCGCGGCGACGAGATTGCCTTCTTCGTGGCGCCCAACGGCGAGGTGAGCATCAGCAAGAACAACGGACCCGCCGTGGTGGTGATGCATGTGGACCAGTCCCTCCAGCTGTGGGCCTTCCTGGATGTCTACGGCTCGACCCAGTCGCTGCGGATGTTCCGCCAGCAGTTGCCCAACATGGTTGCGTATCCCTCGCAGCCGCAGGTGAATGTGAATGCCAGCAGCTCTTCCGCCTGCAACGCCGCCTCGACTTCCCGCATGCTGCCCATGACCGAGTCGATGAGCAGTCTGAATGCCGGAGCCACTGCCAAGCTATTGCACCATCCCTCCCAGCTGAGTGTGGCCCAGAGCACGAGCACCCTGGCCTCAGCCGGCGGAGTCAACGGCAGCCGCATGATCAGCATGCCCTCCAACGGAGACATTCTCCAGATCCAGCCGAACGGCGGCGGCACCGTGCTGGTGGTGAACCTGCCGCCGGCGAGCAGCTCGCACGACATCAACGGCCAGCTGGCGGCCAGGCCCTCGGCCACGGTGACATCCAGCGGGGTTCTGGCCGGAGCCTGCTCAAGCGGAACCCTCATCAGCACCTCCAGCAGCCAGTACATTGAGGTGAGTGTCCTAACCCCATTGCCTAATCTTTGATAGCATTCTAACGAATCCACATTTTTCGTCGCTTTTGCAGCCCGTTGCCAACAGCACAAGCAATGCCGGCAGCAAGTGGAAGGACAGCCTGAGCGACCAGCAGAGCACCGATTCGAGTGCCGAGTGCACGATCTGCTACGAGAACCCCATTGACTCGGTGCTGTACATGTGCGGACACATGTGCATGTGCTACGACTGCGCCATCGAGCAGTGGCGCGGCGTGGGCGGCGGCCAGTGTCCCCTGTGCCGGGCGGTGATTCGCGACGTTATCCGCACCTACACCACGTAGAAGGGACGCCGCCGCGGCTTCCCAGCCAAGCAACCTTTACTCGCAATCAAACCTACTAACACTGCACACACCACATCACGAACACAAGTTGTTGCATTTTAAACGCAATCGCGCGCAAAAGAAAAAAAAGTATTGGGGAATAGACATTGTTTTTGCAGACTAAAGATGAAGTAGTTTAGTTGATAAGGATACACATCTGTCACCTAATTTATCCTGTACCATCTACATGTATGTTTAATTTTTTGTGATGTTATAAGTAAGTGCGCCGAGAGCCAAAACTATGTATTGTTCAATCAAATCGATTTATCTATCTACCGTTTTAAATTTTTTGCAAGAGTTAAACCGCGCTCTCATGCGTGAGGTATACTATTAAACCAAAGTATTGTATAGGAATTAGTTGTATTTTGGATTCAAATTGGGAGTTGTTGCAAATTTTCTTAGTTTTTCTCCATTTCTAAATTCCAAACTATGTGCAAAATTATCAAACACGAAATTACGATTCTTTATTTGGTAAATAATCATTTTGGTGCTAAATGTTTTGAAATGCAAAGAAAAAAATTGTTAACGGATTTGAAAAGTTATGTTTAAGCTTGCAGCAACTACAAATTAATCTTCTTTGGCATGAAAACAAAAGAAGCAATTACTGACTACTTTCCAGCAAGGAAACGCTTGAAATTTCCTAAACGCCTTGGAAAAGCGATATCGACAGAACACAAATATATCTGCAGCACAAAATGTTGAACAAAGATTGATCAGATTAATACTTATGCACGAAAACCAAAATCAATAACTGCAAGAGCGTGTTAAAATCTAATATTTAAGTACTTAAGTTAATTTCTAGTCAACGAATTATGCTGAAGTTTAATCTAGACCTGGACTTCATCCTCCAACAAAGACACCACACAAAAGACGTATTAAGCACGCTAAGCAATTTTAATGAAGCCGCATTTTAAATTAAACTTAAGTAGTGCACGTATTTTAAAGCAGATTTAAATATATTTAACTATAAACATAGAACAAAAGACTTGTATGTTGTACCAACAGCTTAAATGAAATATGGAAATGAAATGCCCATCTAAATCAACCATGCAGTTAGAAAATTGCCAATAATTAATTAACAATACCAAGCAGATCAAACATGAAGGACAAGAAAAGCTGATAAAACTTTACCTAAGATTGTATTAAAACTAAAAATGTAATAAGTAAAAAAGCAAAGAAATATGCGAATTGGAGCGCAAGCTTACTATTTTTGTTATAAGTACGAATCCGGATAGGGATAAATGAAGACATGTTATTGCCACTATTAATAATTAACTTTTAATTTTTTAAAGAATCATAGTTGGTAACAATACGATACTGCGCCTAGTTATGACTAAACATTTAAATGTATTTATGAAATTATATTTGATATATGTAAGAAAACGCAATGCTGTAATACCATTAAATACTGACAGAAATATCAGAATGTTGGCTTGTTTTTATTATTTTTTCAGTGGGAGTGGAGTATGGGAAATCTAAATTGTGATAAAAGGTTTCCATAAGAGAAGTTGTTTGGCATTTATGGAGTTTTTAACACTATTTAATATATAAAAATTAATATATAAAATAAGAAAAGAAAGCAGCCTCGCCTTCCAAGTTCTACCGTTTCCCAATTGCCGCAAGTCAGCGACGCTCATTTGGAGCATATTAAACCGGATATGGGAGGACGGAATTCGCTTGGTTCGGAGGGTGAATTCGCTGGGTTCGGTTTGTGTATAAGCTGAGGGGAAAAAACCCAATGCTGCGATGAATTGAACAGTTAAAAAAAAACATACTATCGTTTGTGAGCCCGATATTTTTGCAGTCACGGTCACACTTCACGCAGTAAACAGAGATTTTATCGTGTAGTGTAGAGGAAAAGTACTGAATTTATGGTCAACGGCGCATTAAACCAAACCAATAAAAGTGTCTGGATGAACCAAGAACCAGCGCGCTCCTACCAATTGTAAGTATTTCCCTTAAAAGCGAGGGAAAAGGCTTTGTGGGCAGCCAGCGAGTACACACACACGCACGACGTAGACAAATACTTCCCCTCCCCTCTTTAATTCCACGAACCTTTTTTCCGCAGAGCACAGGCGACCCAAATTACGACGAGCGTTTTCTAATTACGCATTCCAATCATGGACGAAGCTAACATACAGGACAAGGAGCGGTTCGCTAGCCGCGAGAACCACTGTGAGATCGAGCGACGACGTCGCAACAAGATGACGGCCTATATCACGGAACTCTCGGACATGGTGCCCACCTGCAGTGCTCTGGCCCGCAAACCGGACAAGCTGACCATTCTTCGCATGGCGGTGGCCCACATGAAGGCTCTGCGTGGCACTGGTAACACCAGCAGCGACGGCACCTACAAACCCTCCTTCTTGACCGACCAGGAGTTGAAGCACCTCATCCTGGAAGCGGCAGATGGTTTCTTGTTCGTTGTTTCCTGCGATTCCGGAAGGGTTATCTACGTCTCCGACTCTGTGACTCCCGTTCTAAACTACACCCAGAGCGATTGGTACGGCACCAGTCTGTACGAGCACATTCACCCCGACGATCGCGATAAGATCCGTGAGCAGTTGTCCACACAGGAATCGCAAAACGCCGGCCGCATCCTGGACCTCAAGTCGGGCACTGTAAAGAAGGAGGGCCACCAGTCTAGCATGCGGTTGAGCATGGGAGCACGACGCGGATTTATCTGCCGGATGCGAGTTGGAAATGTGAGTGCAGAAACCATGGTCTCCGGGCATCTGAATCGCCTCAAACAGAGGAACTCACTCGGACCCTCAAGGGACGGCACCAACTACGCCGTAGTTCATTGCACGGGGTACATCAAGAACTGGCCGCCCACTGACATGTTTCCCAACATGCACATGGAGCGAGATGTGGACGAAATGAGCTCGCATTGCTGCCTTGTGGCCATCGGGCGGCTCCAGGTGACATCCACGGCCGCCAATGACATGAGTGGCTCGAACAATCAGAGTGAGTTTATCACGCGTCACGCCATGGATGGCAAGTTCACTTTTGTGGATCAGCGTGTTCTCAACATATTGGGGTATACGCCCACTGAGCTCCTAGGCAAGATCTGCTACGATTTCTTTCATCCCGAGGACCAGAGCCACATGAAGGAGAGCTTCGATCAAGTGCTCAAGCAAAAGGGACAGATGTTCTCGCTGTTGTACAGAGCCAGGGCTAAGAACTCGGAGTACGTCTGGCTTCGCACTCAGGCGTATGCCTTCTTGAATCCCTACACCGACGAAGTGGAGTACATAGTGTGCACCAACAGCTCTGGGAAGACAATGCATGGCGCTCCTTTGGACGCAGCAGCTGCTCATACACCCGAGCAAGTGCAGCAGCAGCAGCAGGAGCAGCATGTTTATGTCCAGGCTGCTCCCGGAGTGGACTACGCCCGCAGGGAACTGACCCCAGTGGGCAGTGCCACCAACGATGGCATGTACCAGACGCACATGCTGGCCATGCAGGCTCCGACGCCGCAGCAGCAGCAACAACAACAGCAACAGCGTCCTGGATCCGCGCAGACCACACCTGTGGGCTATACCTATGACACCACACATTCTCCGTATAGTGCTGGGGGACCCTCGCCATTGGCCAAGATCCCCAAGTCGGGCACATCGCCCACACCTGTGGCGCCAAACTCCTGGGCAGCACTGCGTCCACAGCAACAACAACAGCAGCAGCCCGTGACCGAGGGCTATCAGTACCAGCAGACGAGTCCGGCCAGGTCGCCAAGCGGTCCAACCTATACCCAATTGAGTGCCGGAAACGGCAATCGTCAGCAACCGCAGCCGGGAGCTTATCAAGCAGCTCCTCCGCCACCGCCGCCAAATGCGCCGGGAATGTGGGACTGGCAGCAGGCTGGAGGGCACCCGCATCCGCCGCACCCAACGGCGCATCCGCACCATCCTCACGCTCATCCCGGAGGTCCTGCCGGAGCAGGTCAGCCGCAGGGTCAGGAGTTCTCGGACATGCTGCAGATGCTGGACCACAGTGGGACGACCACGTTTGAGGACCTGAACATCAACATGTTCAGCACGCCGTTTGAGTAATCCCAATACCCTCCCGATTCCCCTTTCCCTTCCCCTTCTTTACTCCCCACTTAACCTGTGTCTCTCTCAACCACTGTTCAAGTGCAATCCATCTTAACATTGTTGAAATAATTCAGCCAAACGCATGCAAACTGTAATCTCGTAAATAGCATTTTAAGTACATAGCCGTAGTCACGTACACGTCTCTTGATAACTTTTATTTTTGTGTGCTATGCCTTCTTTACTTCCACCTGACATTTCCATAACCCCGCCCCGCCTGCACTTAACCCGCTCATTGGCCGTGTAAAAGTATTTACAATTAAAGTAACGAAAGGGAATAAGTTCATCGCGAGAGAATATGAATTGAACTTTCTCATCGATACTATAGGATTAATTCACGTGTGACACGCTTTGTGCAGAGTATTCTTTTGTATTTCTCATCAAGCATTTTAAAGTTCATGCAACATATACATATATAAATATACAATCCGTAGTCTAATATACAAAAATGTATAATTGTAAGCTATACAAGTGCACCACTTACACTTTTTCGCCTCGAACAACCAATGACATTGACACCATTTCATACTAATTTTAGCTCATTTTCCGCCAATGCAACCAGAAGAACTTGAGCAAACAATATACATATTCTATATACATATACACACAAAATCGCTTCATGTGCAGCTTTTCATTTTGTGTTAATTGCAATTCATGCAGAACGAAATCTTTCAAGCTCAATACAGTGGCGCTCAAAACTAAATCGCACACACAACATAAGACCATTTGATGACGACAAGTTCAAAAATTAAATTAGTTAAGGCCAATCCAAGAAACAAATTTAAAACAATTCTTTAGCCGCTAAGTTTCAAACAACGATTATGCTTAAACCTTTGTGTATTGAGTATTTTGAGTATTGAGAACAAATATTTCGGTTTTTAATAAAATTAAACATAATGTACTACAACTATGAATGTAACAATTTTTATGAAATCTAAGTTTCGACAGATTTCACTTCGCTTATCGTTGCTTTGTTTATGGGCTTTCCTTAAAATCTTTGAATTTTTTCGCTGGATTGTCAATGGGGGAACCTTCAGAAGTGGTCCTGCGTTTGCTAACCTCGCACTCTTTTTCCTGATCCTTCTCATCTTCACTGGTGTCACTCTGTTCCGCTTTGATTTGATCTTGCCGCTTCTTACGGACATTTAGCCAAGACATCATGGTTTTGTTCACAGGTTGCTTCTCAGGTTTAGCCGCCAGTTCAATAGGCTTGTTGCACTCCTCGCTTTTGTTTCGCGAGTTGTTTACCAACTTGGATACCCTATGCCATTTAAGTTCAGTAGCTGGACGCAGAGTGGCTAAAGCTTCCGCGTCGCTCACTCGTTTGAAATCCAGCCAATTCTGTGATAAAATAAAATACATAGGTTTAAAAGTAAAACAAAGCAAGACCTTTTCTTTACTTACGTTCATCTGCTGCTCACTTTCGAGGATCGCCGGCATGCGGTAGTGCATCCAGGACATGATTTTGCTGGACTGGAAGGTGATAATACTATAGCTGTACATCTTATCGCCGCTTTCGTCCTCCCAGACATCAAAGAGTCCTGCCATACGCAGCAGCTTCACATCCTGGGGCGACCAAGTGGTCTTATCGTATATCTTGACATCGGCAGCTTGCGGAACGAATACTAAGTAGGCTGTTCGCTCCGATGGCTTTTTGGCGGGACCGGCAGTTTGCCACTCATAGAAGCCCTCGCATATGACCACACATCGCTGACCGCGCTTAAAGGGCCCCCGATACAGCTTTGAGTCCATTAAGTGCTCTAGCCGGCAATTGTTGGTGGTCAAGCCATGACGTCGGTAGTCACCCTTGTGCCAAAACGGGATCATGCCCCACATCATGGGCACGACCACTCGGGCGCACTTTTGATCCTCGGCGTCCGAGAAATGAGCTGCAGACACGATCACAGGCGTTATATCGGTGGGAGCTATGTTGTAGGAGGCCTGATAACGCCGTCCCAGGTTAAACTCCGCCCGCCACTCGGGTGTCTCCATTTTCTCTTCCTCCTCATCCTTGATTGTTGCATTTCCCTCGGACTCCGGCTCCTTTTTAATGCTTTTCTTGGGGTATTTGCAGGCACATATCACCTGATCTGGATCAAGTGTTCTAAAAAGAAGTTTAGTTGTGCTTTTAATAATAATTTTAAGTACCTACAGGCATGTGCGACCACACATTGAAAATGAGAACTAAACAAGTTTTGATAAGTAATTAATAATATTAACGATACATTTTTGAACTAAAAATGTAAACACATATGTATATATAAAATACAAAAAAAAAAAAAAAATACCAAATTTCTCTGATAAGTAAAAGTACTAAACTCAATTTTAAAAAAACTACATAGTATTTCGATTTGACCAAACTTTGGTCTCTGGTCTCACTCTGCCGTAAAATTACAACAGAAACAGAGCGGCGTTCTAAGTTTTCTGTGCATTTTAAAATAATTAGAGGAAAATGGGCGAACGCTACAATATCCACAGCCAGCTGGAGCATCTGCAGAGCAAGTACATAGGAACAGGACATGCAGATACCACCAAATTCGAGTGGTTAACAAATCAGCATCGAGACTCTTTAGCCAGCTATATGGGACACTACGATATTCTCAACTACTTTGCCATAGCTGAAAACGAGTCTAAGGCGCGTGTCCGCTTCAATCTCATGGAAAGGATGCTGCAACCATGTGGGCCACCCCCAGAAAAACTAGAAGATTAAGCAATTTAACTGAAAACAATAAAATGAAGGAAAAACTATATCAATCTTTCCAGGGGTGGATAGTCAGCACCATGTCGGTATTTTTTTTTTTTGGGTATTCCGAGCCTAACCGTGCACGGTTGCACTGCAGGTCAGGAAAAGCTTTTCACTCGATATAACTTATTTTCGTTTCAATTATTAATTTTCGAGTGCCAGTGTTTTAACGTAACAGTAAAAAAGCCAATGTCTCACCAAAGCAAAGTACGTCTCCGTGTTTTAACCACAAAACAAAACGAAATAACCAACTAAAACCAGCTCGAAAACGCTGTACAAGAAACTGCAATACAGCAGCAGCCACAACAACAATAACAAGTCGGAAGCATCTTGTGCAAAAAGTCGCGGCGAACAAAAGAGATCCCAGGCGCAATTGGCAATGCGTAGAACCCACATATTTGTGTCTGCACAAAGACACATACCAGTGAATGTGCCTGTTTATTTGTCGAGATGAGTGCACGAAAACGATGAATAATTTGTCGAAAAACAAGAGCAAAAGCCAGACGACGCATAAGCTTATAAATAGTGACAAACTTAAACAGACCTACTGTTATTTCCCAGCTGCCCAATCAGCCTGTCTGTCAAAGTTCTTGCAAAAGCTTTTTTCCCAGCAGACCGTGGCTATTTGCATGAACGCTATTGTGGCTGAGTTGCCAGACCTGCGCGAGAAAAAGCGTAATTCACCAACTGAGTGCTCATGGCATGATTAACGAAAAGTCTGCATATTTCGCCGTGTGTGTGGCTGCAAATGTTTATAAACAATAACTGCAATAATAAAAAGCAAAATTAATCAGAATTAGCAAACTGTTCCCAGCGAATACGGCAACTCTCGCGCATATCTGCGCTTTGGTTTTTGGAGCTGGGTAGGAGAAGAGGGGTGAGGCAGAGACGGGGGCACCAAAAGCCCACGACATCGTCGAGTTGAAAATTTTCGCGAAACCGAAAAAGTTAAAAATAAATGTTTACTGTGCAGCGGCATCGCGGCTGGGGAAAATCGCAATTAACCCCCCTTGTTCCGCGAATGGCTCAGTGTTGAATGTAATTTTTCGATGGCTGGCGCTCAATTGTATTGAATAATTCGTTGCCCCACTGAGAGGGGGGTGAGGCTGGGGGCAGGAGAGCCCCTCATTTTCGTGTGCCTCTCCACCGTTTCTCGTAAAGCAAACGAAACGGCAAAAAGAAAGAACCGTAATGGTGGGCAAAGTAGAAAGACGAGCAAAAAACGAAGGAAAAACAAAAGAAAAGAGATGTCCTGACATTGTTTGTCTTTACACCCATGAATAATCTCCTCTAAAACTAATTCCTGGAGTTGCCTCTTTTTGATTAGCGTTTAAACTTTAGCGTATTTACTTTGCCGTGTTTGCTCTGTTTCAGCTCCTCCAAATCTAAACAAATTCCTTCAATTTTCCGAATCCGAAACCCGCAAGGATACTGTATAAAACCTGCACAGAACTCGAAGTTGATAGTAAGTTAATTTAGCGGGAGTAGTTCTCCTGAACGCTAGGAAGTGGAAGCAAATCCTACTGCCGCTGCCGAATAATGAGTCGACATGAAGGTATGTTCTTGGAACCAACCGATAGAACTACATATAAACGGGATAACATTTTCATCACTCAGGTGTCAGCTGCGATTCGTGTCTCAAGAGTAATTTCAACGGACGGCGTTACAAGTGCTTGATCTGCTATGACTACGACCTGTGCGCTGATTGCTACGAGGATGGCGTCACCTCCACGCGCCACCTGGTCGAGCATCCCATGCAGTGCATCCTCACCCGCTCTGACATAGAGCTTTACTTCGGCGGCGAGATGCTGACCTCGGACCAGCCGCAGAGCTTTACCTGTCCTTACTGCAAGAAGATGGGCTTCAGCGACGCCACACTGCTGGAGCACGTCTCCGCCGAGCACACGGAGACCAGTCTTGAGGTGGTCTGCCCGGTCTGTGCCGGCCTGCCAGGCGGCGAGCCGAATCTAGTCACAGATGACTTTGCCGGTCACCTCACCCTGGAGCACAGGCAGGGACCGCGCGAGCTGATTTCCTTTTTGATATCCTTTTTAAACAAATGCTGTATATTAATTGGGAAAAACGCCCAGCATTATCGCAACGAAATAATTTTCAAGATATTACGAAATTGGTTGTGTTGGTAGTTAAGCAAAACAATTTTTTTTATTTGTTTATCATATAGATTCCTATTCTTCAAAGAAATTTAATACTTTTCAAATTTTAGTCATATTATTACATCATGAGCAAAACGTAATTGTAGATAAATTTAGAATTGATCAAGCCAACTTTGTTTGCCTGATGTTTGGTTTTCGTTCCGAATGTCTGCCAGGCAAATGCGGCTAGTTCTAGTTTTGTTCAGTTTCACTTTAAAGGATTGTAAATCTTTTCGGAATTTGCATTTTAGCTTTTCTGCACTGATTTTTTTTCAACTTAAATCCAAAATTTATTACATATCTCGCATGAATCACAGATACTTTTAGATTATTTTGCGATACAGCTAGAGGCATTCTATAATCTAAATATTTCAGCCAGTTGTAAGTTACTTACTGTGATACCTTTGGTTGCCTTAACCTGTAGACAATACGACGAGCCCTCTGCCATTCGTCATGGCGGTGGAGTGCGCCGAATTCCAGGACGCACCCTCGGTGGACCACGGACGCGCCGCTCCAACATGCACTTTAGCTCATCGAGCGGCCTGTCGGCCTTGTCGCCCTCGGGTCGGGAATCGGTGGATCCCATCGCGGAACTGTTGTCGCAGCTTTCCGGCGTGCGGCGGGGTGGACCGCCCACATCGCAGCTGCAGCAGCTACAAATGCAGATGCAGTTGGATCGCCAGCAAGTGACGGTAAGGGAGAGTCCTCCACCACAAATCCAATATATTTGTGTGTATAAGGAAACTGCGACTTTTGTTGTTTTGCCTTTGTGCTTGCAATATTTTAGGCATCGCGCCAAATCGATCGGCTGCCAAGGCGTGCGCATCCCATAGTCTCAACATCGAACTCGAATGCCGCCATGGCCGAGGTGATCAGCGGTGGAGCAGGCGGCAGTGGCGCAGTTGGAAGCGGCAGTGGTGGCGGCAGCGGGGGCACCGCACCGCCCAACCTGCGCACCACCGAGTGGCCAGTGACAGCTAGCTTCTCAACATCGGCCAGCAATCATTCGCAGACTCAGTCGAGTCTGGCCGCCAACAGCCTCAATGCCAGAGAAGTAGTTCATCCCGTTGGCCAGCATACCCAGAGTCAAATGTCCACTAATCCCCTATGTCTTGTTCTGCAGGCGATCGGGACGAGCAGCAGTGGAGCCAGCAATGCCCTGGGCATCAGTGTCGGTGTTGGTGGAACGGCCAATGGCAATGGCGGAGCCGGTGCATCCGGAGTGGGAGCTGGAGCCACAGGCAATGGTGCGGCGGGTGGTCAGGGTGGCGCGGCAGCTGGCGAGTCCCTCTTGCTGGCCCAGTTTATGCAGCCCACCCTCTCCGAAGCCGAGTGGGCGATCGTGGAGAGCATGCGAGCAGATCGGTAAGTATATTCCACTAAGAAAATTATATTTTTCTGTCGCTTAGCTGTTCCCACCGCAATCTTATCCGAATCCTTTGCTTCTAGCTCCATGTTTGTGCAGTCGTTGATGCTCTCTATGCTTTGCACTGAGGCGCTGGACTTAAATGCCTCCGACGAGAGCCTGGTCAAGAGTGATAATGTAAATAAGGGGCAACAGCAGCAGCAGGAGGAAGCCGAAGCCGAGGCGCAGGCGGAGACCCTGCTGAACAACAATGCCGATGTGGAGCAGCAGCAGCCACAACCGGCGATGGTGCGACAGGTGAATCAAATGCAACAAACCTCGCCGGAGGATTTTGTGTGCGACGAGTATCGTTATAAAAACAAAAAGGCCAACACAACACAAACGAGCGCCACAGGAGGCGGAGGAGCAGGAGCCACTGCAGCCCCAGGTGGGGGTGCTAGCGGAGCTGGCAGTAAGCCAACAGCTGATAGAGGCATCGAGAGGCGCGGCGGTCGTCCACCGCCAGCGGAGATGGCCACGGGCTCGCAGCAGCCGCAGCAGCAGCAGCAGTCCTCTGGCAATCAGGCAGCGTCCCAGCAGAAATACAAACAGAGCGCTAATGCAGCGGCGGCGGCAAACACAAATCAAATTCCCGACACTAGGTAGTGCCTCTGGTGATGATCACCACGAATTGCATCAACAACAACAGAAACAACCACACCCAATGTAGCTGCAGCAGCCACAACAAATCTATCACCACCACCAACACCGCAACAGCAAAGAAATCAGCAGGCAGGAGCCGAAACAGCAGATGGAACTACAACCAACACAGCCGTTAAATTAACATCCGGAGTGGGGGATAGCTGCTGCTCTGGAGGAATCCGATTCGTCTTAAGCAGTTGCTGACGCATCTGCCGCAGCAATTTCGTCAAAAGGAAAACTATATTATGTATCGTTTATTAAATATATTAAAATTTATATAATTATAAAAAGATGAGAGGATGTGCAGCGAGAAAAATTATTGTAATCATTGAATTAATTATAATTTAAAGAAACCACAAAATATTCTTGACTGTGATTCGGCTTTATTTAATACGCAACTCTCTGCGTAAGGAAGCCAAACTTCAAATTTGTCCACATCCAAGGGCGGTAGGTCGTCCAGATCATACGCACTTTGAACACCCCTTGGTCTTAGGCAAAATAAATTCTCCACAGCACGTTTAATCTGCTGCTCGGAGCAATATGGATTGACCATTACAATGGAGTGAGCGAGCATCTTCGCTAGCTTTTTGAAAAGAAATCGATTGGCAATAAGACCCTCTGCCAGGGGACTCATCAAATGTCGCACGATCCACGGTCGAATGCGAAGCACGCTGCTGGCCAGGAGTACTTCGTCCACTAGATCAATGGAGGGGCTGGATATCTCGGTGGCGAATTCATCATCGCTATCCTCCCCGAATAGCAGGTGGAATTTGTACCGTAAGCGATCTTCGCAGCGCCAGTCGGCTTCCAACAAGCGCACCAGACAGGCATTAAGCTGCCTTTTCTGTCCGTACAGTTCGCAGGGCCAACGACTCTGACGCAGATCCACTTTGTTAATTTGTTGCTCCCTGGGAGGTGTGGCTGATGGGGATGTGGGTTGTTCTTCAAACTTTTTGGGACTCGGCAGTTCAGCGTTCTCTATTTCCTCCAATATGGCCGAGATCTGCGGGTCGTCGTTTACGGCGGTGGGTTCAATGCCAAAAATGTCATTAAGATCGGTTGGCTCATCGCCAAACAGCATGGCCAGCTCCTGAGCCACTGCATCTTCTGTTTCAGAAAAAGGTGAGCCTTGACTAGCCTGAGGTTTGTGTTCCCGAGTATTTTTCCTTCTGCGACAACTTCGACAGAGCGATTCATTTTGTGACTCTCTTACTTCTTCTGACTCTTCAAGTCTGGCCTGAAACATATCGATTTTCCGACGTAGGTCGTAGCTACCTTCAAAGACATTACCACCCTGGTCATCCGCGTCAGTCGTTTGAGTGGCTCTATCCACCAAGAGTTGTCCTGACTTGGCATAAACCTCATCCCCTCCAGCTGAAAGCTGCATTTGGTCGAAGACAACGTTGGCCAGGCGGCACTCCTGGGTGTTCCTTCGCACCGCGGCAATCTGTGGGTGCGCAGACATTAAAACTATGGCTTATCGACATTACCAATCCTTTCACCGTCTTGATCATAGCTCTTTGATAAATCTGAGCCGCCATGCATGCCTGTTTCGCCTTGTCCTCCAGTTGATCCAAGCTCGCTGGTATGCAAGCCCAGGCAGTGGGTTTGTGGCGATTCCGGGATTTGCTGGCCCACGCGCAGACGTTCTCCTTTAGCTGCCGTTCCAAATAGAGCAAATACTGCTTACGTACCTAATAAACAAAGCGAAGCTTAGCAAAAAATATTATATTTGTTTTGTCAATGACTTACCACCTCTGTAAGGGTTACAAACTCATTATTGCTTTCGTGTGTCATGCTTAGCTTCTTTCGAGTATTGTAAGTATTAAGTATAATTGACTTAGTTCATGCTGGCTTTTGTTGATAACAGTTAAGCCGGGTTTAAAGTCAAATGAGAATTTAAACAATTGTTCAGCGTTGCCACCTGGCAAACATCAGCGGCTTTACGGTGAGTGGCCAAAATGAAAAAGTCTCACTATTTATTTTTAAAAAATAGGCTCTAAAAAAATGATTTTATTAATAACGTAATATAGTGTAAACACCGGTACACTTTCTTACTTTCTTAAGAAGAAATAAATGGTACCGTATTTCTTTATTTATTTTAAAAGGGCAAAAAAAATTATCTTTTTTATTGGTTTGATTACTAGTCTATTTATTGGATTAGCTCGAATAGTAAACAATTTTTGGATGCGAACTACAATATTGAAAGTTTATTAAGATAATATTTCACAGACAACAGCATTACAAGTGTTCTTTGCTTAATTGTTATATATTTATAAACGTTCGAGCAGTCCTTTTAAAATGTAATAAATTTAGCTGCCGAGGACACTGAGCCAGTGCCTGCTTACAATGCATACATAAATATAAGAAAAAGACATATCAAACTACAATTAAGATCAGTTATATAAAAAATAAAGCATTTAACGGTCAATAGTAGTTGATTTTGCGGAGCCAACGGAATTAAATATTCCGTGTTGTTTATTACAAATCGTTATTTTGAACAACAACAAAATTAAGCGTGAGGACAAACTATTATAAATATTTGATTAATTATGTTTAAGGGCTAAACTTCTAAAGCCGCTGCCAATATTTGGCTTAATTTTGAATATCAATCGATCATCGCTTCTGTTCGATTTACTGCCTCTTTCCCAGTTAGTCCAAAAACATGTTGTCGTCGTCGAAGGTAAAGACGTTGTTGCGTGCTGGCTGGGCGGGATTTGTGGCCTCTGATCGTGTTCGGCTACTTTCCGCCGTGGTCTGGCTGCTGCTGTTGTTGGCTGGCGAGGGATTGTCTGTTCCTGTGGCGTTGCTGGCTGAGCTCCTGGTGGAATTACTGCCATCGGTCCCCATAGCCGGGCCAAATCCATCGAGCATAACGAACTCGTCGTCGGCATCGCTACCGTCATCCGCCAACGACTTCCGACAGATGGGACAGGTGCTGTGCAGGTTTAACCATGGCACGATGCAGTTTTCGTGGAAAAGGTGCGAGCAGGGCAGCTTGCGTACAGTCTCGTCTATCTTGAAGTCGTCCCAGCATATGGAGCACTGGATCTTGCGTTCTACCTCTTCGGCACTGATTTGCACATTGGGTATCTCGTTAATGCGCTGCGCCGACAATGGCGGCGGCCCTGACGTCTCCATCTGGTTGAGCATCTGGGTGACGATGGTGTCAAGGCCCTCGCGGCCCCAAGCGTAGTCCCCGGGGTTTCCCATGAAGAACATGTGCGAGTTGCCGCCGCCACCGACACCTCCTCCTCCGGGTCCGGTCACAATTTCGGCCGTGGCACCGGCTAACGGCAGGCTCTGCAAAAAATCAAAGAGCACATTGTCCAGTCGGTCCAGATTGGCTGGACGCACACGTCCGCCGGCCGTAAGACCGCCGCCAGAGCCACTGCCCGAGGGTCCAAAGCCACCTAGGTGCACCACATTGCTGTGCCGCCGGTTTGGCTCGATGGTGATCTCCAAGTTGGGCACATTACGCATGTTAAGCAGTGACACAATATCGTTTCGCAGCGACTCCACGTTCAGTTGAGATCCGCCAGATGCACTGCCCCTGCTCAGCGTGTCATGGGAGCCAGAGGATCCGCTGCCGCTACCGCTACTACCGGATCGGCCACCGCTGGAGGCTCCGGCCGCTGGAGAAGCCATCTCAGGCGCATTCGCCGGCAGCTCCTCCACAAAACCATTCGCGCACAGTGGACAGGTGAAGTCCGAGTTGGGAATGTTGATCTCCACGTTGCACATATGGCAGAAGAAGCGCTTTGGCTCCGCTGCCCGGTCCTCCACAACCATTGCCTCGGCCATCCTGCAGAAAGTCCTTTATTTACTGGCGATTGCTGAGCTCGGCGATTGTGCAAGTTTGTCGACCCACAGATGTCGTCGGTTGCCGGCGAATCTATTCGTTGTTTTGCACAGTCGAGTACAAGGTACGTGCACCTGGTTCCACGCCGGTCATTGGGTTCGCTCAAAACTATTGGGAATTTAGGGAATATAATATAATTTTTCTATAAATAAGGCCCTTTTTAAAGTGGCCCTTGGCGCAGAAGACAAGAAATCCCGCTGGGAAGGAATGCTGCGGACGGTGCTTGGTCACACCGATGGCTGAAATACGGTCATAATCGAAAGTGATGATGACAAAGTAACTAGATTGGGCATTAAACAATCTGTAGAGCTTTAAAGTTTTTTTTAGTATTTGCGTCATATAAAACCCAACTTTATGAAATTCATTAGGTTAAACTTTCAATAAACAGATTTAGCCGGTCTGAAAATAGCTGAAAGTGCAATACGTCCATCCCTAGTAGGCGCTGCCACACTTCTGTGTTTCACCCAGTCAATTTTAGCATATTTCACTCTCGCAGTCTGGCAACTCAGGGCAGAAACAAAAAGTCATCATCTCCAGGCGGCGTTTAGCATTTTGCAAATTTCAATTTTCCTGCTGATTAAATTAAGTTAAGTGAGCAGCACCGCCACCATGTCGATTCTAGCCTATAACGGAGGGTGCGTAGTGGCCATGCGCGGGAAGGACTGCGTGGCCATCGCCACTGATCATCGTTTCGGAGTCCAAGCCCAGACGATCTCCACGGACTTTAAGAAGGTGTTTCACATCGCTCCGAGGATGTTCCTGGGACTCACCGGCCTGCAAACAGACATCCTGACGGTCCGTGATCGCCTGATGTTCCGCAAGAATCTATATGAAACGCGCGAAAACCGAGAGATGTGCCCCAAGCCCTTCTCTGCCATGTTGTCCAGCTTTCTGTACGAGCACCGTTTCGGCCCGTACTTCATCGAGCCGGTGGTGGCCGGTCTAGACCCGAAGACCCTGGAACCTTTTATCTGCAACATGGACTTGATTGGCTGCCCTAATGCCCCCGACGACTTTGTGGTGGCTGGCACATGTGCAGAGCAACTGTACGGAATGTGCGAGACCCTGTGGAAGCCTGATTTGGAACCGGACCAGCTTTTCGAGGTTATCGCCCAGTCCATGATGAATGCCTTTGATCGCGACGCCATGAGTGGTTGGGGTGCCACCGTCTACATTATCGAAAAGGACAAGATCACGGAGCGCACACTGAAGACCCGAATGGACTAGAAGATAAGAGTTCCCTTGGTGATTTTGTATACAATATTAACCGAAAAACATATACAAATAAAATTTGTTTAGGTACAACATCTGATTTAATAGTTTTTATGTTTATGCATTTTTAAATGTCCGATGGATGAATTATTGATCGACCGGCCACTCAACGGCTTTCTTGGCCAGCAACATAGCAGCTTCCTCGGTTTTGGCTCCGCCAATGAACCCGTTGTGGTGCACAAATATAAGGTCATTGATGCCCGCCTTTTGGCTCAGTTCTTCGTCTCTCAATCCTCTCCACGGCGTGGGTAGGAACTTGCGACCCAGAAAGCTGCTAGGCGTTACTGGGACTCCGGCCACGCGCCAGCTATTGCCGTCGTTAAAAATGACTAGCTTGGGAACACCTTCCACATCGTATTCCTTCTCCAGATCCGCCAGGTGAGCCTTCCAGGGGCAGAAGGTCTTCAGTAGAAGAATCTCGCCGGAGGGATAAATGGATTTCGCCTGTAAAAGCGCCTCTCGAACGTGATCTCTGGCCGTTATCCAGGAGCAAGCCACCTCTACAACGTTGTCCACAAACTCTCGGCCAGCTGATTCCATTGCCTGCCGGAATCGTTCCTCGATGTCTACGCCAGTTTCCTGCCAGGACGGATTCAGTTTCCCAATGCGGGCAGACAGATGGGTAGAAATTTTGTACACAGGCTCGCCGCCCTCAAACATGGGCACTCCGTTATCGATGGCATCCAGCTCGCTGATAAAATTCCTGTAGATCTGGACGAAAGCCCGTTGTAAGTTTTCAGGCGAGAGTTGGATGCCCTTTTCCCGTTTCAGTATGTTTTGAATTACACGCTCGCCGTAGTGGCTGTAAACCAAGCCGGCGCTGCTCAGCCTAGAGAGGGTTACTTTAAGTTAGATGATTCTTGAGTGTGCATATCCTTATCTCACCTTATTACGTTAAAATCATCGCTCACCTCCGGGCGAACGGACTTAAATGTTTCCTTAAACGTTTGCTGGTGATGATCGAACCATTTCTTGGCAGGATCATAGACACCACCGACATCTACTATGATGTCACATTTTTCCCTCAATGCCTTGTCATCTCGACTCCGATAGATCTCAGCGTTTTGAAACTCCTCCAACTGCTTAAGCATGAAGCATGCCACCACCTCATCGCAGTGAAAAGTGCCGTTGTGTGTGCCGATCCATAAGGGCGACCGCTTCGGTGGAGTGCCTCCAGTCATTATTGATAGTTTTCCTTTTCACAAAAGTTTACTTTAGTTATTAACTACAATTAAACGCTGTGTTTTCTAAATTCTTACGAAAACGCGGTAAGAACCGGAGCATCTGCTACACAAGTGATGCTGAAATAGCTGGCCTCCAAGCTGACCGAGTATTCCCACCAAACTTTCCCCCTAACATCGCATCACAGTTTGGGAGGGTGTATCAGCTACTAGCACGGACTCAAACCGATCAATATAAATCCGCCTTTCTGGCCAATCCGCGGGTTAAAATATTCAAACTTGTAGTATGGCAGTACTGGCAGTCGTTTTTTAAAACGAAAAAAAAAACGGAAAAAATATAAGTCTTTTAAAATGTAATATTATTCTTTTCTTGTGCTTTTTTGAAAAAATTCAAAATTGTTTTAATCTGTACCAAGCACAGTCCATTTATTATTAAAATTCGCCTCTCACCATGGGCGTTTGTGTTGATCCAGTAAATTAGCATTAATTTGCTAATTTATTAGACAACAACTTATAGGGACCACTTCGTCATTTTAGCTGTTTATAGAAAACCGTTGGATGAAAATTCAGTAAGTCTTTGCAGCTCAAGACCCACGCATGGATATATTTAGTTGATTTAACTAGAACAAGGATTTTTTGATATGGCAGAAGCCCGTTTGCGCCGAAACATAAGTCGGCAAGTACCCGCAATGTAAGGGTTGTAATATTAGAAAATAAGATCATAAAAATCCACGGGAGCTTGAACGATTAAAAACATATTATTGACCTACTGCGTGATTTTTCTTATATAACCGGCTGATGCCCCAAGTTATTTAAATTTCACATTTCCGTTAATTGTGAGCTGGAACTGACGAACGATAATTAAAACTGAAATAGTAGTAAGTGCCAGTGTGTGTGTGCGTTAAAATAACATAAATCACTGCCGACTACAATGATCACGTGTATAAGCGCAAAAAAACCGTTTAAATTAAATTGTTGCACAGGCATTTTCCCCGTTTTCAGCATCCCACGACCTTCGAAAAGATGCGAAAGCGCGGAAATTGACTGGAAAAGGAAACATCGGTCCGATCAAAACTCGTTTCTGAACACTTCTCCAATGGAAACGCGAAGTGCAATTTGCCCCGACACCAACGTCATCCAGATAGAGTGGGGGTTTCAGGGGATCAGGCTGGTACTAATCGATGCAGACACGCTTATCACATCGTGGACTCGATTCGACCCCGGTTTCTTTCAATTAAGCTTATCAAACCGATTACGTTGGAAGTTCATTGCCACTAAGCGAAGTATGAGTTTGTTTTCACAATTACCCTTACAATTATATTTTCACACCCAGAACAAATAGCAAATGCCAAGCTAACACCTTTCAGTACCCATTATTAGCAACAAGATTTCAAGGGTATACTGCTCTCATAGCTCGTTCGTTGGAAGGTTCTCTTAAATATTGAGCTGGCATCGTTAAATATAGTTAAGGTAAGAAATACTAGAAAATAAATTTTAGACCTGGTAAAATTTGTTCTATGTGAGGCACGTTTGACAATAAATATTATTTAATGCATCTGCCTAAGAGAAGAAGGGTATAATTCGGTCGGAGAGCCTTATCCCACGACAACTTAGTTCATTTAACTTATATTAGCGCCCCTTTTTTAATAAATTACTTAATACGACAAATATGTGAGTAATGCATGAACGCGTCAAAATTACGTTAAGAGCAATTATCTGGAGCACAATAATAGATTATATGTCGGGAGGTGACGATTTTGTACTGGTTTGTATCTATTCAATTTTGCAACTATTAATAGTCCAGTAATTTAGGTTTGTGGAATTTGATGGACAGTTTATATATTTACTATATTAAAGTTAATCATTTAATTTGTTTGGTTATTTAGATTACAGACGCCTTGATATGCAAAATCGCAATTCTAACTATTCTAAAGATTTATTTATTAGAACTTAAGTGAACTAAAGTAGCTTTTCTGTGTTTATAGAGGCCGAGATCAAAGACACGCTTGACGTTCTATTCATGTGGGGCAGGTTTATGCAACTGTCATTCAGCTATTGCTACTTGTGTTTGCATCGCGTAAATAATATAAAATACGTCTTTGTGTACTCTTGCCTCAGCCTGAACCGGAATGCTTTGGGTGAACCTAAGTTGTTCTGGCGACACGAATAAAGATCCAGAAAGAATTTCACGTTTTATTATGAATGCCAGATCGATTCCAAACTGATTTAGTGGGAAGATTTAGTGGCGTTCAGTGATTAGGTAAATACAACAAAAAACAGGTTTGTCCGCGGATCAATTGTTCTCCCGCTCAATGAATATCTTTTTAGGTGGTTTGCTTTTTTTTCCTAGCCGCCGAATCTGTTACCAAATTTCCTACATTCCAATTGACACAAATGCCAAGTGAGCTTTACTTGCGTTTAATTTCTGAGCTCCGATCGGTGAGCTGAGCTTAATGGAAAGCTTGCCAATCGGGCTTTGTTGTAACGGTACAGATATTGGCGCTTGGCTTCGGTTCGGCTTCAGTTTGTTTTTACCGCGCGACACGCTCTGGTGTTAGCGTTAGCCCATAGACAAATCGGTCGCGGGAAAAATACAGAAAATCTTAAATATTTTACACCTTAACTTTAAGTAGCACGGTACAAGTTCGTTGCAGGAAAAAAGTTGACTGGCCCGGCTGCTGTGAAACCAGTTTAAAATTCGGCAAAAAAACTTCCAAAAGTTCAACACACCGATGAAACCTTTCGGAATCCCTTGAAAAATTGCCCGTATGCGTGTAATATATGTGACATCGATTAAGTGCAGTGTTTCAGCTTTGCCTGCAAGTTATTTCCGTTGCACGCAATCCTTACCCAAATCGGTATAACCCTTATTCAGCCAAAAGTCTGCGGTTCTGGCTGCATTTTCTTGGCAATTAACTAATTACATAAAGAGAATTTTTCTGAGAGGGCCCGTTGTGCAAGTCTTCGTCAAACATGATATTTGCTTTTAGTTAACAAGAAATGATAATTACGAACAAGCCGTAAAAACAGCGAAAATTTAATGCCATTTTTATGACCTAGGAATTTTAATCACATACTAAGAAAATGTATATTTTTCTTAAGCCATTACATTTTTGTAAAACAGGATGCAGAATTTCTTCCCTGAGATTGAATATTTATCATGGCATTAATGGTGTACAATTTTTTGTTGAGTTTTTTTCAATGTAGGCAAATATTGAAGATTCTGGAGAAAGGAAGAGAAAATACGAGCTTATATTTTGGCACCAGTCAGTTGGGGTGTGCCACATTAATCGGTGGGTCGCTGCGAACGTCTTTCGGTTCATCTTGAAAATGTAGTTTTAACCGGTTCCGCTGGGTTAGGTGAAAAAAATGCGATTTATTACGCATCTCATAGGCACCGTACCATTCAACCACATCGCTAACCCTATGCATCTTCGATGAACTGGTTTCCATACTTCAAGGCTTTTCTTTTTCTTTGCCTGCTTTGCATTTTCACATGACTTTGCTCATATGCATAAATTATAGGCAAATGGCCATAAATCGAATGTTTTTTGGTAAATATCTGCTAAGAGGTCTCTCCGCCAAGTCTCACGTGACGCGTGCCTTTTTAACCGGGCGTGAATTAATTCAAAACTAAATTTTTATATGTCTTAAACAATCGCAAAATTTTCACGTTTTCAAAGAGTTAAAAACCCTTTGTGTTAGGGTATAAAACGAAATTATTTTTGATTTGTGTACATATAAACACGTAACATTCAATTGTGTCAAAAACTTCGGCTCTCCCAATCGCATAATAAACAAGCTGAAAGAAAGCGGACAAAACAAGAAGACCAATAAATGTCCAATTAAAAGGTTTTTTTGTTTGTCTGCGATTTTGAAAGGTTTTGCCACTTAGCACTCGATAAATAATGATAATAGACAATAATGATAGCCAAATGATGCCTAACTAAGTGAGAAAGGCCATAGTTTAATCGGAAAGTACACACCGAGCAACGCGAAGACGAGCAGGCAGCTGAGCAAACAGAAAAGTGCATTAAGTATACGGCACGCATCAAGTATTCGCCACGATGTCCAATGGCAAGGCTGCCACAGCTGCCGGCACAGCTGAGAAAAACGGGTAAAATCGCACACTTTATATTTAGTTCCCGCTTAGACAATAAGCTATCGTTAATTGCTTGCTGAAACTAATCGAATGCAAAAACACACTTTTTCTGTTACAGCTCGCTGAACGATCGGCCATTGTTTATGCAAAATACCAACGGCGCACGTATTGCGGCCAGCGAAGTGGAAGTCAGCAACTTCCGACGCGCCCTCCCACAGTTTTTAGCTGTTAGTATTAAGAACATATTGCTATTCGGTAAATAACACAAAAATTCCAGCTACCCATTATCCCGGGGGAATGAATACCGGGGAACTACTTAGCTTTTATTTCCTCGTAAAAAGTCACATTTTAGCTGACTTAAGGAACCCACTTGTAATTATATGACCGTTAAAAAAATTCTAAAGGCGCGAAAAATAATTATTTTGTGATTTTAAAGCAGCTGTACAGTTAGTGTCACTACTAGGTAAAATATGAGCGTCCTATATTATTTACTGAAGATTCTTATTAATATTTAAGACAGCGCTTTCTTTTAAATAGCTTTTTACTCCCATCGGTTTCATTCCCCCTGACTGACACATGTGCTCCTAAATAAACATTTATTATTGCTGTATCGAAACCATATCTGTTCGTCCTTCGCAGGATATGGCATGACCTTGGGCTTCCCCACAATCGTGATACCCGCCATTCAGGGAGGCGAGGGTCGCAGCGAGACCAGTGGCGACATAGTCCTCAACAAGGACGAGATCTCTTGGTTCAGTAAGTATCCATACATCCTGATGAGATGCCAAACTAAACATTCTGACCATCAAAACTATTTATAAAGGTTCCATCAACCTGATATGTGTGCCCCTGGGATGCCTCTTCTCCGGTATTCTCACACAACCGCTGGGCAAGCGACGAGCTATGCAGGTACGTCATTAAAACCATGATTAGTTTTTTGCTGGCAACGAGTCTTGACCAAATTGAGCAATTGTAACCTCAGCTATTGGTGTAATTTTATTTCGGCTTGCACCTGAAGAGAACAAATTGCAGCTCCCCACTTAGCCGCAATCAGTGGGGGCTCATCAGTCGCTCCTCCGATTACCGATCGCTCGGAACACTGACACACTGAGCTGGAATCGAGCTGCGTGACTTTGTGGGGCTTATGCAATTATGCTTATCCAAACTCACCCACCACACACCACACACCACCCACCAACCAATCCCCTTTGTGCTTGCAGTTTGTCAACCTGCCGATTCTGGCCGCCTGGCTGATGTTTCACTTCGCGACGCGCACGGAACATCTGTATGCGGCTTTATGCTTGGCTGGACTTGGTGGCGGCTTAATGGAGGCGCCGGTAAGTGAATCCCAATCCCAACCACATTCAAATGCACCCAAGCTCATGCCTATCACGTGTGAACGGAGGGCTAAATTCCGGCTCTTTGTTTGTCTATTAATTTGCATACTTCTACGGCAGGGGGAATTTCTTTTTCCACCACTTTGTGAATTTTTAGCTAGGCTGTAAATCAACTTAGCTCAAAACAAATTTCTGGGAAAACTTTTATATACCTTTGCAAAATAATTTAACATTTACCCTATTGAATAGCTTACCAAATCACACTGGGCCTCCAATTCACAGCTGTTTATTTCAAGACTTTATTAATGACAATTGTGTTGCACACTGACATGAATTAGAATATTTTGGTTGAGAAAAGAACATTATAAAATGGTTCTCAACCAAAACTTAAATTATTTATTGAGAAATTAATATCATATTTAAAGGACTTTAAATTCTATTTGCCTTTTGGGACTTTCCTGTTGAAGAGCCGACATGTAAGTTGCCTCTAATTTTTTTTTGCGGCATTCCGAGTTGCGTTGGTCCTTTTCCGCTGACAGTCTTTCCTGCGATCCTCCTTGTATCGTCGTATACAATCTTGTAGAGCTGATCGCCATCTTCGATTTTCCTGTTAAAGAGACAGGTGAAGTGCCTCTTGTTTTTCGATTTCAGCATTCCACAGCCCAGTTTTCTGTTCTTCTCGAAGATCAGATTGCCGAACGACCTCAGGTGATCCCCACAGGATGCGGCGGGGAACTTCTTCACATCGTAATCGTGCAGATCCTTATAGTGATCGAACCACATCTGGAGGAAGCCGATTGGGGTGATCTCTTCGGAGGAATTGTTGACGAGCGCGAAGTCTGTGGACTCGCCCACGTCGTCGTAGCGGAACGTGTTCACGCATGCTCCGAAGGAGTGGTCGTGGCACTGGTTCGAGACCCTCATCGCGATCACGGACAGCTCCTCGTCCCAGGTTATGGCCGGTAGCTTCACTGCCCTCGGCAGCGTGCCGAGTCCCCGCTCCACTTTCTTCCGCATCTCGTTCACGGTGCTCAGTATTTCGTCTCGGTAATGGTTCATCATTATGCCCTCGTGGCTACCCCCGCACTTGGGGCCCCACTAAAGTTTGAGTTTAGAAATAAGCTGAGTTTACTATCTGGGGGTTACTTACAAAGCGGACGCTGCAGGTTATATGCATTTTATTTCCGGGGCAAAGGTTTCCATTGCAGTAATCGAGCGGCTTGTAAATACCTAATTAGAGATCAATTGGCTTCGCTTGCTCCCACTAGTTACCTTAATTGGCGCTTTATAATTCTTTGTCTGCGTATATTTTGGCCATCGAGTGCGGTAAATAACGGTGCATTGCATTCCGATCACACGGAGAAAAATTATGAACAGTAGCATCGTTTTCGAAGATCTTACTTCTACTGATTAAATTCATATTGAAATGGTTCGTGGTGAATAATTCAAATTTAAATGCTTAAAATGGGTGAGAAAAATATTTGTTTTCATGACGTATGGTTTAGGTTTGAAAGACCACAGAGAAGATCGTCACATACGGCGATTGCAAATTAACGTTCAGTGTGCTAATGTCAATTGTTGAATGCCACTCTTGATTGCATCCAATGACCCACATTTTTGTTAGACAACAATGTTTTACCTCGCCAGTTCACGTTGTGGTTTTTTGACGACCTTGGCCAACTCCTTGAGAGCTTTGGCTGCCACTTGCCACTTGAGATTGCCACAAGCTGCTAGCTGCTGGTATTTATGGTTAAGCCACTAACTCCTCACATTCTGTGGAACACCAAAAACATCAAATTTGTAAAAATTAATAAAAGAAATTTTAAAAGGATTTCTTTTGAATATGTTTAACCAATTTCTTTTCAAAAACATTATTTAAGAGCTTAGTTCCATATTATACAATAGTAAAGTAGCAATTAAAACTGACAGAAAATTGAGTTGCATTTGAAGTCTTGGTGTTTAGCTTTTTGTTGATTATCGCAGAGGGTTAACCTCACTCGAATAACGACTCACCTTGCTGCTCTGTGTCATTGCAGGTGCTCACCTATGTGGCCGAGATCACGGAGCCAAAGTATCGTGGAATTCTATCGGCGCTGGGTACCACGTGTGTCATCACAGGAGTCTTCATCCAGTTCATCCTGGGATCCCTCATGGACTGGCGGAGTGTGGCGGCGGTGAGTTCGGCCTTCCCGGTGATCACCATCATAATGCTGTGCTTTGTGCCCGAGAGTCCGGTCTGGTTGATCCGGGAGCAGCGATTCCGGGAGGCGGTGAAGTCCTTGCAGTGGCTGCGTGGCTGGGTGCCGGAGCACATGATCGAGGCGGAGTTCAATCAGCTCTACGACGAACTGATCACCCAAAAGGCTATCGAGCTGTCGGCAGATGGAGTGCCACCTCCTGGCCAACGAAGGACCTTGGGTCAAAGGCTGCGCATGTGGCGGAAGAGGAGCTTTCTGGTGCCGTTCCTCCTGGTTTCCTTCTCCTTTTTCACGGGTCACTTTTCCGGAAAGACCCCGTTGCAAACGTATGCAGTGCAGATTTTCCACACCCTCAAGGCTCCGATGAACAAGTACCATGCCACCATCCTTCTGGGAGTGGCTGAGATGCTGGCCACCATCCTGGGCGTTGTCCTGATCCACTTCACCGGAAAGAGGCCCTTGGTTCTGGTCTCAACCGTGGGCACTGGTCTGTGCTTCTTCGGCACGGCCACGTATGCCCACTTCCTGAGCGAAGTCCCGGGATTCACTGTCAACAACGTGGTGGTCAACGCCTCCTCGATTGTGCCCAAGGAGGGCATCCTCTCCCAGGAGAATATTTCCAGGATCTTTGAGAACGAACAGCAGGCCATCAGACAGGAAACCGAACGTTTCACCACTCTGCTGCCGGACTTGGAGACAACAACTATGTTCGAACCGGAAACCTCTAATCGCAGTAAGCGAGAGGCGGATGAAATGATGACCACCGATGCCCCCATGGACACCACCATGTGGCCGGAGCCGGCGAGCAGTGCGAAACCCATAGCCTCTTCATCCTTGGCCCCTCCTTCAACTACTACAACGAAACCGCCTATTGTGGAGGATCTTCTGCTGGTGGTCCCGAAACAGGAACACAACTACCTGGTCTGGGTACCACTCATCCTTCTACTGCTGTCAGCCTTTTTCTCCCACCTGGGAATCCGAATGCTGCCCTGGATCCTCATTGGGGAAGTCTTTCCAGCGGAAATACGCAATAGTGCCTCGGGATTTGCCGGCGGAGTGGGGTACATTTTTGGCTTCCTGGCCAACAAGCTCTTCCTGGTGATGCTGACTGCCTTGACTCTACCCGGAACGTTCGCCTTCTATGCCACTGTGGCGTTCGTTGGAACCATTGTTCTGTACTTCACGCTTCCGGAGACGGAGGGACGCACCCTTGGTGTAAGTAAATCAATTCGATTTTAAATCAGTGTTTTCATTTATAAATCCTTCTATGTTTAACTTTCAGGAAATTGAAGCCCACTTCTCCAAGAAATCGGACATGAATTTGCTCCGGAAGCAGCCCAGCGCAAAGCTGCCCATCAAGGATGAAGCCCAGTACCCCGGCAGTGCCATCAATGTCCAGGGTACCTTCCAGGTACCCATTACCTCACAGCAACAGGCAAAGATCATCCACTTGCAGCAGAGCGACTTTGCACCCCGGCCCCAAAACGGACGGACACCCGGAGTTGGAATGGCCAATCCCGCCTTTGAGGAGAGCAACACCACACATTTGTGAGCGGATCAGGCCGTCCGTGTCATCATGCTTAACGTAAACATCCTTTTCAAGTGCTTAACATTCCAGTGATATTTCTGAGAAATAAACTTAACTATTTAGATTTATGTAGATGAAATGGTCTCTCCTTGTGATATGTATTGTGTGGGCTTTAAATGTTTTATTTTTAGCTCCAAACACTTAGGAAATGATTCACAACCTCGCGGTATCGGCCTAGACCAACGAAAAGGGGGCGTCTGCTGGCAGTGAAAGATGACTTTCGGAAACGGAATTAAGAAATGTTGCGATAGTAAGCAGAGTTTCTAATTTTTCAATAATGATAATTGAAATCCGATTAGATAGTCTGGGCAAAATAGCTATCTATAAAGGGCTTCTATAAAATAAATAACTGATAATATAAGATACACAAACTGCTCTCAATGTTTAACTACTTTTTATGTGAACTCGACTTTTAACGTATTTTAAAGCATGCTTATAAGTAATATTGTATAACACATTTCCATGGAGATATATAATTGTATAGATGCAGCAAAGGCGTTAGCAACAGTCGGACACCATGTTCTAAGTCTCGTCGTCTTGCAGCTCAAGGAATTGTGTGCAGATGTCGCGACTGCATTCGCCCTTATTGTTGAATAGGAATTTATAATAATGCCCGTCCGCACAAATAGCTGAATAAAAAAAAAAGATTTGAAAATTTTAGATTTCCAAGGGGCGGGTCTGCTCCATCTTTAACTTACCCACAACCGAATTGGGATCGGCGCCAAAGGCACAAACACAACGCGGTCCCTGGGGTATTGAAAACTTGACAAAGCTCCACTGGCTCGAAAAATACTTGGGTATTATGGGCAGCGAGGATTCACGGGGCTTGTTGTCCTCCAGGTTGAAAACGTGGATGGTGCCATGGTCGGAGGCTACCACCACCATTGTGGACTGGTGGTTAAAGTTGATACAGAATATGTTGGCATGGTTGCTTCCGCGCCTCAGCTCCGAAACCTTTTTGCCGCTTTCCGTGTCGAATATGCGGATAAGGGTGCCCTTCTCACCGGCGGTGGCAAGTCGTGTGCCCTGAAGATTGAGGGCAATGCAGCTGATACCCGACTCATGGGCGATAACCTCCAGCGGTGCCCGCTCCGTGTTGGCCAGGTCCACTATCTGAACGTGACCAGTTCGTCGTCCTGGGAATGCGAGCAGGCTTTTGTTGCTGTGCGGGCACAGCACACAGAGGCCGTTGGGATTGGAGCTTGTCTCGAACACGTGCAGCTGCTGTGGTTGCTGCGTGAAGGTGAACACCTTGATAACCCCCTCCAGCACCACTACGATGCGATCCCGACGTAGTCGAACCGCCCGGACAGCCTGATTGAAGTCCAGCGATATGGCCGGAGACTTCTTTAAGTCATCCCACACGATCACCTTATTGGGCGGATACAGCGGCCGAATGCCTCCGCCCACCAATGCCAGATAATTGCAGCGGAACAGCATCTCCACATGGCAGAGACCACCTAAACAAGAGACAATGGATTCGGTTTTAGACCGTGGGAGACTCCCGCACTCTCTTGTTCAGCCTCGCATACCCTCTGGAAAGTATTGGCGCTCCTTCTCCTTTAGCGGATCACAGTTGTACACCCGGAATCCGGTGTCTGTCGCACAGGCGAAGCATCCTGCAACGCAATAGGAGAGTCGGATTATATGGATATAGTATATCGTATATGTAAACAACACACATCCGCACGTACTTACCCTGGTCTTGATTAAAGGCTGCGTACAGCAGTCCGTTTCCGTACGGATTTTGTTCTGTGAGGTTCATTGCACTTTCCGGGCAGGCTGGAGACCCGGGCTCTGGCGATTTTCGATTCAGTTACTGGGCAGGAAGAAAAACAATCAGTCGGACGGCGGATGATTTTATGTTTTTTCCGTATAAAAACAATGGAGCAGTGTTGGCTATCGTCTTAAAATGACCGGTCGGTAAATCGGTATCTGATAACGATTAGCTAAGTCCCATTAAATATGAAAAAAAATATTGTAAGTTTTAATTTGTGAAAAATTTGTATTCTAAGAATGTTATAAGTTATTAAAATTAATAAAAAACAAACTTCTATCAACATCGGTCATATCTAACTAAGAGAAAAAGTTTATGTCCCCTTACGAACTGGCATCACTGGCACCTTAATCGCATCACTATCGTCAGAGGGGAAAGCTTTTGCAACACTGCAGAACTGCTAAGATGCTCCACCTCTAAGTCAAATAGCCAACAAATAGACTCCTAGCCATTTGGAATCCTGCGCATATTTAAACATATATATGTAAGACGCGAAATGGAACTCTGTGCGGATCTGAATGGGTTTGATGAGGACTCCATCGAACCCTGCAGGACATGCGGAATTTATTTTACTATGGGCATGGAGTTGGACCAGGCGATTGTGAAACCAATTTTTGGCTTGCATGACGCCGCCGTCGGAAATATGGAGGATATTCTCGAGCAGTTGAGTGCTTGGAACGTCAAGGTAAGTTGACCATTTATTGCCGGATGCCTGAATAAGATCTATATTTTCACATTGACCTAAAGATTGCGAGGGAGGACGGACGGCCGCAGTACATGTGTATCGCCTGCATTGCCGAGTTTAACCGGTTGCTAAAGTTCAAGCGAAGCTGCCTAGAGACGCAGGAGCAGTTCGGCGAACTGGAGTACCAGCGCGAGCACAATGGAATCATAATTAAGAGGGAAATCGAGCCGGAGGAAGAGAAGTTCTGCGGATTCATATACCTAGACACAGACGAAGAGGAGATCAGCGACGAGGATGGGAGCAGACGTGTGTGCGCCGCTTTCGACATACCACACGTGCCCATAAAGGAGGAGCACATGGCCCGCGTACCAGAACAAAGCAGCGCGCTTTTCCAGCCACCAAGACCCAAAGAACTTGACATGCCGCCGGTCGAGTCCGGCTTTAACATGATAGACAACGACATGTCAACTGTCAGCTTTTTCACACCGTCCAGCGAGGATGCATCAGGCACTGCTGACGATGGGGATCAAGAGGAGGAGGATGAGATAATTAGATTTACATACGACGATGATGGTGATTCCGTGGCTCAACCACCGGCACCTGCTTTCTCGCCGGTCGTGTCCTGCAAGCTTTGCCTTTACGATTCACCCAACCAGGAGGCGCATCTGGACCACATGAGACGCACTCATCTCCTCAAAGACTGGGAGTGCCACATCTGCGCTAAAAAGTTTACTAACGCCCCGGAGTCCCGAATCAAGTTCCACATGAAGTATCACAAGCTGCAACGGCACATTAAGTGTCCCGTCTGCGGGTTTATTTGCAACTCGAAGGAGACCCTCAAGGAGCACAAACAGGCAATGCACACGCGCACCAAGTGCACCTACTGCGGCAAAAGTGGGTATTCGTTAATGAGTTAGACGTATATAAAGAGAAACTTAAATGTATTTGTATTTTTCTTTGCAGCTATGAAAAGTACGGTGCTACATGCACATTTGAAAAAGCATTTACAGGGTGGGTAAATAATAGGTAAAGGTTTGATTTATTGAAAACCATTTTACTTTATTTACAGAGGGCGAGGCTGAACTTGCCCTGAAGCTCAAATTACAGAATGATTTCCCTTCTTCAATGGCTTCCCCATCACTTTTTATTGGCGCCGAGGCGACAGCTCCTTTAGAGACCCCGTCCACAAGTGGGACTTCCGGTCCTATGGACTCCACTCTTCCTCAGAACTCCACTCTTTCCGAAGACTGCAATGTTTCTGAGAATACTACCGCTCCCAAGGACACCATTGTTCCTGATGTCTCTACTGCTTCCGAGGACACTATTATTTCTGAAGCCTTCTCAAAAGATATTTTGTATCCGATGGACCCACCAGCACGGGTTAATTTTCCTATTTCAGCCTCTTCTTCGCCGTCAGTGTCGACTGTAATTCAGTGCGCTTACTGCAGCGATACCTTTGAGGAGGTCCAGCAGCTGCAGGCTCATGTGCTGGCCACCCACAGGTCAGCAAGGAAAAGGCCTCGATCTCCAGAAAACACTTCACCCATTCCAATGGAAAGCGCCGGGAACGAAGAAAGCCAGCCCCAAGAAGAAAGCTTTGCCAAAAAAAACTGCACCGCCCAGCAAGAGAGCAGAACTGAAGAGAGCCTCAATGGCAGCTCTTCTGCCGAGCAGGTGCCGGAAAAATCCTACTACTCATGTCAGATCTGCGGAAAGCTCTTTGACTTAAAAATTAAGCTTAATCGTCATCTCAAGCAGCATAAAAAGTTACCAATGGGAGACATTTAGTTCGCAGCATTTATAATATAAGGCTTTTGTTAAATTTTCAATTCGTTTCGCTGAAAAATGTATTATGTTGGCTTTTTTTAATGATTTAAGTTAGTCATTTGTTTTTGGCCTATTGAAAAGTTTACTTTAAATTCTTGTTCATTTCATTTTTAGTTTAAAACTTATAGTGAAAAACTCATGTTCGTAATCAACGTTCAATAAAAGCAAAATAACTTAGCAGACATATTAGTTATCTATGTATAATGTAAATGCAGGAAATGAAACTTAAAAAAATATAATTTCTTACTGTAAGCAAAGAACAATTTCTTTCTGGTTTCATCTGAGTTTTATTGAGTGTCTCTATACATATATATTATTTTATAAACTGTTCCGTAAAATTGGTTGCTGGATGGGACATTTCTATCGGCGTCCATCATTTTTACTTAGTACGAAGCAATATTAGCAAACTTTCTGCCTACATAGATAAATTACACGGGTTATTTGAACAAAATCGAAGAAAGTTAAACCAAGGAAGGGTAAACAACGAGGTTAACTAGCCTCTCCGCTCCTGAGCCTCCTAGTTGCCACTCCCAGTGGCCGTTTTGAGAACCGTGGCCGGAATCAGTTTGGTGGTCAGTGCTTTTGCTCCCGTCTCTGCGGCCACCGTCGTTACCGAGATTTTTCCAGATGCCGACGTTCCGGCTGCCGATGGCGTGGCCATGGGTATCACTTTTAGGCTGGAAAGAGGTTTAATGTTCATGCTCTGTAGTCCTGGCGAAAAGAAGAGCTGGCCTCCGTTGCCTTGCACGGCAAACACGAGATTGTTATTAGCCGCACCGGTCGCTGACGCAGCTGGAGATGCTGACGTTGAGCTGCTGTTTACCGTGCTGCTGATTTGCTTGTTGGCCACTAGCACATTCTTGGCCAGGCGCAGCGTCTGAGTGCCTCCTGCGCCAATTAGCAATGTCTTTGGCGCCGTTGCCAAACTGCCAGAGGAATTGGTTGTAGTGTTGCTACCACTGGTGGCCAGTCTCAGCAATTGGTTGCCCATTATGACGGTCTGAACGGGTGCACCGGCGTTTCGCGCAGAGATCTATTAATAGAAAACAATGCATTATTCTAAAGAAAAGTAATAAGATCTCAAATAAAGTTTTCATTTGAATCTGATTGTTTGTTTAGCTTATTTAAGGTTTGGAATCCCTTTGACTACTTACCGCTCCTTGGAGCTTCACGGTCTGACCGCCAATCACAATGTTCTGTGTCGTTCGAACGGCAGTGTTTGCCGCTCCTCCGCCGGAAACGACTGCTCCACCTGCTCCTACCGACGCTGAACTCACAGATGTTGTTGCGGTTGTGGTGGTCTGGGTTGAGGCAGCACTGCCGCTGCCGACCTGTTTTAATGTCTTGGCGTGCAAAAGCAAAGGTTTTCCCGGCAGCACCGTCGTCTTGCCAATGATCTTTGGCACTACAGTCGAGACACCGGTAGAAGTCGGGGTCGTAGTGGTCGCACTGACAATGCGTGACATCGTTGGCAACTGCTTGGGCTGGCTGGGATTAAGGGTGATCACATTTCCCGACGTGGATGTGGCCAGCTGGAAGATGTTATTGCCAGTGGTGGTGAGAAGTTTTCCTCCAGCGGGTTGTTTCTGTAGCAGACTGTCTAAAGTGATGATTTGACCGGCTGGTTGGGAGTTCCCACCTCCTGCAACTCCTGCAGATCCGACAGCTGCAGCTGGAGTAGCTCGAATCACCCGCGTGGCATTTCCTCCGAGTGCCGCTATGGCACCGGATTGGCTGGTGCCCACTACCGGTTGCTTGAAGTTTTGCAGAACAATTCTCTGCTGCGGCGATGAAGAGTTGGTGGCTGCCTTTGCCACCGACCCACTGGGCGATGTGGTGAGTATTTTAGGTGCTGCCTTCGTCAGCGACTGGAATACAATCTTCTTATTCGAGGATATGGCCGTGTTTCCTGTAGAATACCGAAAGTGTTGTTTATTTTGTTTAATTGTGTACGCAAAAGCATTACTCACCAACAATGATCCTTTGCTGCGGCGAGTTCAGGGCTGGACTTGTGCTGTTTACCTTCTGTTTTAACTGCTGCTGTTGCTGCTGAAGACTGGCGAATGCCTGTGGCGACATCTTCACGATTGTTCCGCCTCCTGTAACAGGAGAGCTCGTTGTGATGGCCACGGGATTGGCAGTTTCTGTGGCGGAAATGCTTGTCACCGGTTTGCTGGCCACAATAGATACGGCTCCGATTTTTTGCTGTACCGGTCGCACTGTTTGCGATTGCGGCACCACGCGAGGCCCGAGGATTTGCACGGATGTGGGCTTGGGACTCGTTGCCGCATTTCCAGTTATCGTGGCTCCTCCAGCGGGCAGCAGGCGGATAATGTTCTTCGGCATCTGGGGTCGCGGGGTGATAGTGAGAGCTTTCGGTTTCCCGGCAATGGGTTGCACCTTCACATTCTGACCCTGCTGCTGCTGCTGCTGAACGCCTTGCTGCTGCTCCATTGGGATGATAAAGTTTCCTATCTTGTTGCTGGGTGCGGGCTTCTTGATGGTCAGCTTCTTGGCCACGGCAGGTTGCGCGGATCCCACTGATTGTGGAGTAGTTGCTACATGAACAGTTTGCAGTCCACTGGGAGTGGACACCAGTATTGGCGTAGTATTCCGTGTCGGACTGATCTTAGAGATCGCAAAGTTGCCAGTTTTGGGTGTGCCTAGCTGCCGCTGTACGGGAGCAGGACTGGGTACGCCTACGGGTTTGAGCAGAGATTTCTGAACCTGCTGCAGGGAGCCTGGAATCGGGTTGGGATTGGAGGGGGATGCTATTATCTTTCCCGCACTGGGCGTACCAGGTGGTACATGGTATTTTAAGGGCGGTACTGGGGGACATTTAACGGCCAATGGTTTCTTCACTTGCAGAGATGCACCCACTGGAAGTTGCACTGAAACTGGAATTGGGGATACGACTGCAGGAACCAAGGCGGGTATTTGCTCCTTTGGCAGCTCCGCCACAACTCCTGAGCCTTCAGCACCATCAGATATTTTTGGCCTGGTCAGCTGTTTCCTCTGCTGCTGCTTTTGTTTCACCATGGTTTGGTTATGTCTGTGCATTTTCTCGAACTCTGCCTCGCTGCGATTCCGGTGCAAATAAATCCAAATCTTCCGCCTGGCGTCGTATTTAACACAAGGATCCTGACCACCGTGCATGCGATCCAAGGCTCCGCTCACAATGGTCTGAAGAACGTTGTCCGCTGCTTGTTGACTGACGTACTGGGAGCACTTAAGCAGCTCGGAGATCTCAGCGCGGGTTCCTTCTCCATTCGGCAACCTAGCAGTGGCATCTCGCACCAGGGTCAGGATGGTGACAAACGGAGGTCGGTCATCCACCATGACAGCATGACCTCTAGCTTTGTTCAGTGGCAAACTTTGGGTATAGATTCCCTTGACTGGACCCACCACGCTCTCATACCCATTGAGGCGATAGGTGAACGGACGATGCGGATACTCGAAACGAATCCGCTCCTGCCGCTGGAACTCTTGGATCTCCGCCTGGCTGGCTGAACGCACTGTCCAGGTGGTGGGGCATCTTGGCGGAGGAGTTGGCGTTGTATCCGCCAATGCATTGAGATGAGCATTTAAGTTTGAAACCGGACTGAGTTGCGACTGCTCATCCCTTTGGGTTCTCAACCAACACTGACACAGGCCGAGGAGTCTCGCATCCGAATCCCGCCCAGCGCCTATCCATTGGTAGATTCCCAGCTGAGTTTTGTGCTCAATGTAGGGAACATATTCCACCGGAACGGCGCCAAAGTCACCTGACAAGAAGTTGACAGCTGATTGCAGCAACTTTGACCAATCTAGCACGATTCTCGGCCATTCCCCGGTCGGTATTGATGCATCTGAGTTGATTTCTCGCCAGCTGGATAACAGGATTTGCAGTTCTCCGTAGGTAAGCCGGTGTTGGGGTGTGGATACAAACAGGTCTCTCAGCAGCGAGAAGAAGGAGGCGGGACGAGGTGAGGCTGGCGGACGAATCAGCATTTCCCGGGTGGGACTGCCGGTAACGTGGCCAGCAGTTGAAGGAGCCGCACTTGCGGAACTACTTGCGATATTATGCGGTGTAGGACTCGCCTTAGGATTGGCTATGGGTCCATTCAAAGGCTCTAGCTTGGGCACAGGATGAGGGGGAATAACTGTTGCGGGTATTACTTTCTTTGGCATAAGAAGAGGTTCCTTGGGGGGTAGGTGCTCCTCTGGCTGGTCCTCCGGCGCACGGCGGCCGTACAGTTGCTGCGGCTCATCCAAGAGCATGGGCTCCTCATCCACAAACTCGCTCTTAGTCGGCGTCACTCCAATAGGCACCAGGGCAGGTGGATCGGGATTGAGTCGGGCCATAAGCGCTTTGGGTTTTCGGCCTGGTTTGAAGCTTCCCACGAACTGGGCACGAGTGCAGATATCGCGCAGACGTACCTCTGATGTATCAAACTCGGGACTCTCCTAAAATTACACAAATTATTGTAAGCATTTTAGGAATAGAATTAACAGTATTTTTATATACAAAAAACAAATCTAAATAGAAATACATTTAAGCGTTAAAAACCAAGATCTTACAGGCTGCTCCAATTTCCGGCGCTTATAGTCTCTCAAATACTTTCGGAAGTTCTTGTCGTTAAGCTGAGGAATTCTCTCCGCCTGCATGGAACGCAGCACAAGGTCATCATCCACACCCGGTCGCCGCTTGAAGAAGGTGTTGTAAATGCTTTTTTTGTCTGCTGCATTTGAGGGTCTGCCAGGACCCACCGGCTCAGGAGCCTTGGGCTCCTCCAGCTTGAATTGTTGCGGTTCCCTGGCCAGTCGGTCCATCAACTGGGCGCATTCCTCGTCCTCCTCCTCGGCACTGATATCGCCGGGTTTCGCCTCCACGTCCCCGAAGAGCTCCAGAAGCTCCTGAGCATAGCGTTTCTTGGCTCGCTGTGAGCAAAATCTGTTCTCCATAGACAGCATGGGCTGCTTCCTCTTGCGGGGTCGTGGCCGAGGCAGGTATTTGCCAAAGGCGCCCTCGGAGGGCGGGGCGGCGGAATAGGCATCCTGGAGTAGCTGTTCCCTTGACAAGAATAGCTCCTTGGCCAACTGGCTGACGCGTTCGGCCTGCTGAAAACGGAATTCTCTTCTGCTTGAGTGCTGGATGCTTTTCCGAAGTTGCAGGACATCCGGTCGCAGGTTGCCTTCCTCCAGGTGTCGTTGCAGTTGAAGCAGCGGGGATTGACCAAATCGCTGCAGGCCTCCGTTGAAGAGCTGCACCAGAGTTCGTTGCTGTTCGGCGTTGGCCTGCGCTTGACCAGAGACCAAACCGGAAAAGTCCGGCAACATGGGCTGCAGGCGGGCCTGGAAATGATGGGGCAACAGCTGCCAGGTTTCCAAAGAGAAGAACTCGTGGAAAATGGCCGAGTTCTCACACAAACCCCTGGGTAACCGGAAAATATCCGTTCTACTCAGTTGGGCCAATTCCAGTTCATCCGATTGGCAGGTGGTGGTATCGTCCTCCGTTTCCGAGCCACTAGCCGCGTCCTGGTCGGACATGTCCTCATCCTCGCCATCTGGATCCTCCTCCAGCGAACCGCTTGAGGAGTTCGAGGAACTGCTGCTCGAACTGCGACTCCTTTGGCTGCTGGCTGTGCTGCTTCCGCTGTCGCTCATACGGCCATCGCCCTCCTCCTCCTCTTCGGAATCGACATTACGATTTTGATTTGGATTTCGATCTGGATTCCCATTAGCATTCGGACTCGGCCTGGGCACTGTGTTTATGTTTATGTTGCTCATCGAATCGCCAAGAATTCGCCACCAGATTTTTCTTCGCAAAGAGCGATTTTTTCTCTACACTAAGTTATAATTTTTGTCTCTTACGCCGCTGCCTCGTTATATCAATCAGCCAGCGTTAGCTGCTGGTTTTCTTCTTTTTTATTGTTAAGCATGTTTTCTCTGCGATTTTTCACCATTCATCGCGAAACGCGAGCACGCTAGTGGTGGCACGATGTTGCGGTGGTGGTTGTCCCACCTCTGCGGCTGAAAAATGCAGTTCTTCATTTTAGGGGTTAATTTCAGATATGACGTAACGGTTTTGGATCAGGGTTCTTTATAAATATTATAGCATTTTATGTGTGCAAAAGAACGTCATGTTTTTGACAGTTCTTTGCCAGCCTACTAGTGGTGAGACGATGATGCGGCCTTGTATTGTTCCCGCGCACTGTGACTGCACACTGTCGGTATTAATTTTTAAATTAGAGTATCTAACTTGTCTCTCAAGTTTGTAAAAATCAAAGTACCAAATACGTTTAAATGCCTTAATTATATACATATTAATAAAAAATGTCTTATTAGTAACGACATTTTATAAATGATCGTAAAATAAGAAGAAAACGAGAACAACAAGAACATAGAATTATTAAAATTATTTAATCAATTTTAAATTTTTCACAGTCTCCTATAATTCTCTTTTCAGAAAACCGTTTCAGTTATTTTGAAGACATAACGGTATAAAACCAAAGAGTCCCACAAAGTGGCTGCGAATAAGCAATCGATATTTGCGGATTTGTCATCGAGGGCCTAACATCGCTAGCCCATCCTACTATTTGTTTTTATTGTTGACTATTTTCCTGGAGATCTGAAAAACAATCAGCACAATGAAGAAGAAGGTGTGGTTTTTGCAGAAACTTGGTGATCCTCTTAAGTATAAACTTTAACTTTAACAGGTATTGCTGATGGGCAAGAGCGGTTCAGGAAAAACCAGCATGCGATCCATTATCTTTGCCAACTATATCGCCCGTGATACGACACGCCTCGGAGCAACAAGTGAGTACTACTATATAATCGGGCATGGGAATCTGATCCTTCTTCATATCCGCAGTCGATGTGGAGCACTCTCATGTGCGGTTTCTTGGTAACCTGGTGCTCAATCTCTGGGACTGTGGCGGCCAGGAGGGCTTTATGAAACAGTACTTTGCCCAGCAGCGGGACAACATCTTCCGCAATGTGGAGGTGCTCATCTATGTGTTCGACGTGGAGAGCCAGGAGATCGAGCGCGACATCCACTACTACCAGAGCTGCTTAGAAGCCCTGTTGCAGAATTCGCCGGAGGCCAAGATTTTTTGTCTAGTGCACAAAATGGATCTGGTGCCGGAGGAGCATCGCGAGAACGTCTTTACGGAGCGTATGGAGGATCTCATTAAGTTGTCAAAGCCCGGGAATGTGACTTGTTTCCGCACCAGCATTTGGGATGAAACATTATACAAGTTAGTTAATTACGCAATCAAACGACTTTTATTCAACCTTTAACCGATTGCAGAGCCTGGTCTTCCATTGTCACCATGCTGATACCCAATGTGGCTGCTTTGGAGAATTCTGTAACGCACTTTGCAAACGTGATCGAGGCTGACGAGGTACTTTTGTTCGAGAAGGCCACATTTCTGGTGATCTCTCATTGCCAGAGCAAGAAGAATCGCGACTCGCACCGCTTCGAGAAAGTGTCCAACATCATAAAGCAGTTTAAGCTGAGCTGTTCCAAGTTGGGTGCCAAATTCCAGTCGATGGAAGTGCGAAATAGCGCTTTCGCCGCATTCATTGACACCTTCACTAGCAACACATATGTAATGGTGGTCATGTCGGATCCAACGCTGCCCTCGGAGGCTACGCTGGTCAACATAAGGAATGCCCGGAAGTACTTCGAGGAACTGGAGAACCCGAGCAACAGTGCCATGAACCACCACGGCCACAAGTACCATTGATGGCGATACAACGATCATTGTTATCCGTAACCCCAAATGCCGTTCTCCGTTCAAGAAGACACGAAAACCGTCTGTTGTTGTGCACACATCGAAGCGCCACAGGTGCCGCCCCCAAAGTCTATTCGCTTCCCGTAATGATAAATAATTATATGTGTATATCTCTCACTTACTGCAAGACTGTCCATATAGTTAATGGTGCAGACGATTCTGCTTCAATGTTTCATCACTCTTACCAGTTCACGTAAGCCTTTTGTAAATTAAAACTCTTTTTTAAGTTGCGACAGTCTTTTAGCAAGTGAGCGATAGATAGCCATCTCTTTCGTTGATTTTTCGTAGATTTGTAAGTTAAAAACCTTCGTAGACTTTAAGTTTATATACAAAAAACAATTACACACTTATGAATATACAAAACAATCCTAACGATTGGTTACTTGTAAATGCCGAACGCGGTATAAGGCCCACATATCACAGATAATCCATTTGGTCCGCCGGCTGCGCCTACGAATAGAATTTTCTGACCTCCTCCGACAATCTGTCCACGGAAGTCTCATCAACGGGCACAAAACGTTTCGCACCCCGACTAAAGTAGTATATGTCACCCGTGTAAATATCAAACCAAAGGGCGTGGATGTGAAGATCGTGGGACTCTAAACGAGCCTTGAGGAAACCATAGGATGCAATATTGGACATCTGCTGCAGTGTGTTAATCTGCGATAGCTTGTCCTCCACGGCAAATTTTTGCTCCTCGTCGATGTAGGCAACAAAGCGACGAAGAGGAGTCTCCGACGAGAATAGTAAGGGATCCTTCATGCCTGCATCACGCCACTCCTGAAACTTTTCCAAACTGGTGTTGGCGTGCGTGCACATCCAGGACCTCAACGGCGAAAGGCGACGATTCAGCTGTTGGATAAACGTGAGATATTTAGAGTTTGTTCGCTTGCTTTAATATTTTAATTAGGTGCTCCTTTTCAAACATACTTTGGAGGCGAATTCAGGGTCCCTTAATTGATACAGCAGATTCATGGCCTTGCAGTCACTGTGTCCGCATACAATTATGTGCCTTATATCATTTACCACGCATCCGAGTTCCAGAGCTGCGGGTTCGCAGCTGAAGTACTCATCCTGAAAGTGCTGGGCATGGGGTATCAGGTTGCCAGCATTACGTACTTATCCGTGGGAAGAGTCAGGAATGTTTAGCTAAAATCAATATAGTTGATAAGACCAACTCACCCACAAACATGTCGCCCACGTGGGTATCTGTGTATCGGGTGGGAATCATTCTACTGTCCATGCAGGTGAAGAAGACGGCCTTGGGCTAAAATATAAACGGTACCAAGAGTTAAAATCTATAGATAGTGCGTAAATGTATAAAGTCATTCAAAGTTATGACACACTTGGCAAGTCGCCAAAAAGAAAATGGGCTCGGTTCAAGGCTGTCCGATAGGGAAGTTCAAAAATATTAAAAAATAAAATGGGAGCACATATTTTGTTAGTGGCATGTGCAACTGGTGTTTATATTATCGGTTCAGTCAAAGTTGCTTTCAATGTAACTGATTTTAAGCAGTTAAAATTTGTATTAATTAAAATTGTTTACTAAATTTTTTATTCAAAATATATTGTTTTTTTGTAACTTTTCTAAATGACACTGAAACTTAATGAATTGTAATAAGCAGGGGTGCAATGCACGAAATTCAAGAGCACCGAAAAGCAATTTGTTAAGTCATCGGCGGACGCAGAAAAAAATTTTGGGGGGGTCCGATCGAAAAATTTTTGTTGTTTGGGGGGTCCGATCAAAAATTTTTACGTTTGGGGGGTTCCTTTGTGGGGTCCGACCCAAAAAATTTTAGTTTTTATGGTTGAAAAGCCGTGTGCTGTAAGGAAATTTGAAAAAGTCTGAGATTTTGGGGGGGGTCCGGACCCCCGGACACCCCCTGCGTCCGCCCCTGTGTTAAGTATATAAAAATTTAATACTAAACAAACCAAAGGGGGTGGCCGGGGGTGAATTGGGGTCCTACCGGTTTACCTTTGTTGATTGTTTACCAAATATAAAGCGAAAAAGAGCGCGAAGAAAGAGAGCTAATTGGGAGAGCGCAAAGTTTGCGACAGACATGTCGAAAAAATGTGATAATGAAATAAAACACAGGCACTAGTTCCCCACAAGGCAAAGCATGTTCTAAGGTTTTTTGTGTATATATATAAGTGAAAAAATCTAGATAGTTGGTTCCAAAATCTTGACCTATAATCGTATCACTCACCTCTGGATTATCGCGCACTTTCTGAAACTCTTTGACCATTTGCTCGCGTGTGGTATTCCGGTACCGCATTATCCCCCTTAAAATACGCTCCATTTTGTCTTTTTTTTGTGGTTTCGTCAATCTTAATTTGACACTTTTATTGCACGCACTTTAGCACCAGAATTGATTTTCCTTGATTTGTGTATAATAATATTTGCGTCCGCGTTTAACGAAAATTGGCGTGGAGCTCGTTTGACGGTGGTGGAGCATTTGAAACGGAATTGTTGCTTTCAAAACTCGCCATGAATTTGGCGAGCAGCTGTTGTTGTCTCTCTTGGAGAGCTCCCCAATTCTCATATGTGCTCTCTCTTTATGCAAAACAATTTAAGAGAAATTTTTGCCACGAGGTGGAAGGGGAGAACTACTTAAACACTTTCCCCACCCCCATATTTGCACACTCCTTATTAAAAGGCTTTCTGAGTGAATTATGGGGAGCGGAAATCAATTGCTTAATGCCATTTCTCTGAGCTAACATCTCTGGCAAGTTCCAGACAGTCAGCGAATGACAAAAGTCAACTAAGACGCCAGACGTCGCTTATCAGTGGAGCAGGGGGAAACAACTCGAAGAGCTGATGATGTTTATATTATGGCTTCCACGTTTTGTAAGCATTTTGTTGTCGATTTTCCTAATCAATGATTTTGATAGAACACTCTTATGACTTCCCTGATCTTTATGCGTCAAGGTCGCTACAGGGAGGAAGTTTTCTAAATAAGTAATATGAAATTGCAATTTGTTTAATATAACTTTAAAAAATGTTATGAAATTATTATAATTTTTATATTCAAGATTTTTTCGATTTATTTTTTTAAGTTTATCAATATTTAAGTTGCAATTTGACAAAAAGTATTTACATTCATCAAAAGTATCTGTAAGATGCAAAAGCGACACCTTTCTTTCAAAACGTTTCAGTATGGCCAATGGCGGCGCCACTTTAGATCGCTTGTTCAGGTTGGTAGTTTAAAATTCATTATTTTAACTGTTTTATACGTGTTAGCTATTATTTTAACTTAATTTTCTTGGTTTGTAAAAAAAGTTACAGTTTGCTTGTTACAGTTTATCTGTAATTGCTTTAAAGCATTTGAACTAAGCCTTGACTCTTTTATTTAAAGCGGCTTACCAGGGTTTTTTTTTATAACCATGAACATAATCCCCTTTTACGAATTTAATATTTTATTTATCTTTTAATATTCCTAAAAGCATAAGGACTCCAATTCGAAGAAATTGGTCTCATAACCAGTGTAATATTAGCCTTTCCGAGAAGTGCCCACTGCATCATTCAGCGAGCGTGTTTTTGTTGGCTTTCTGGCTTTGTCAGAACTTCTCAGGCATCTCGATGGGATGTCTCCGAATGTGGGTCACACAAACACCTGTGCGCCAAAAAGGCCCACACCAATGCAAATATTATGAAATCCCCGTCGCCGCGAAAGAAAGCAAAGTCTAAACCACAAACATGACTGACTGACTGTGTGAGCCGCCGCCGAAAAGCAAAAACCAAAACAACAACCAGGGCCATTTCTCCAGCAGATTCACTCTTGATGATTGTAAGCTTTTTTTTTTGTGTGTTTCGGGCCTTGTGGCTTTTGGGATTGGGACCTGACTGACCGACTCCATCCCGGCCCCCGCCACCAGCTCCTTCAGCCGACTATTTTGCTTTCCTTTCATTATCGAGCGGCAAAATATTGGTTAAGCAAGCAAGGCAGAGGCAATGAAATCGAAAGAAAATAGTATTTACAGTATGAAGTAACAAGACGAAGATTAAATGCTCTTGGGAATATTAAAAATGGGATGTAAATAAAATAAATAAAATGTAAATATTTCATTAAAAATTAAATTTAAGTTTAAACGTTCTCGTCAGTTTGACAAAAAGTTGGATAAACTGGTAGAGGATTTGTAGTTTTACCTGTTTATTTGGCCGAATTTAGTCTAGGTTAAAATTTTTTCCATTCTTAAACATTTTTATGAAAATCGATATACCCTGCCAGAAACAAAGTTAAATTAAAACAAAAGCCCCAGCGTGACCAAGAAATGACGATGGAGATGCGCCAGCAGCATCTTCATCTCGTTCCCAAAAACCCGAAAGAAACCATCATGAGATGATGATCAGAACCTTAACTCAAAGCTCATTATGATGGCTATCAGGAGGAGAAGCGGCAGAAGAGGCGGAAAGTAGGAGATGGGAGAAGCGTGGGTACAGCAGGCGAAATAATGAAGCAGAATCGCCTGCATGACAATGATTACTGTAAGCCAACCGAAGAAGAGAAATAAAAGAAAGACACGGCCCGCAGCACTCGCCATCCCACTCCCACTCCCACTCGAGCACTCGGATTGAAGTTGAACAACGCTGTCAGCTTTTTTCAGAATATTTGGGCCAAAGCGCCAAATGTAAACATTAAGAAAAGAAAAAAAAAAAACGGAAAAAGACCGAGATGATGATGGTTACTTAACAATGTTGTACAATAAATGAGCTCCAAATATGCACGTGTGTTTGTGCGGGATTTCGGTGGGTGTGGGTGCCCAAAGTTATTGTAGGTGTTGTGAAATCAGAGACCCAGAGAAAGAGGGGCCATGCAGGTGCCAAAGGGTTTTGCCCGCGTTGACTCATCCAATTACAATCGAAAGGAAGTTCGAAATCTCGAAGTATCTCAACAGATCACTGGGCCACAGACTAAGATTCATCATGAAGTTTGAGTAACCCATTTAGGCAGCTTAAAATATTTTTTAAGTTAACTAACTACAAATACCTTTAAAAGTCAAAAATGTTGTGTTCTATTTAAATAAATCTGGCTTGTATATAATTTAATAAATTCCAAGAAGAGTGCAATTTCGTAAATCATCAATTTAAGATATTGTTTTTAAGATATTGTTTTTGGCCTCCCACAATCAGGCCTGCTATATGATGTCATATCATTTGTCTTGACCAACTTACGAACACTTCTACGATTTTTGGGGTTTCCTAAGCTTAATTTGTATTTGGGTGTTGCCTCCTCTTTTCCACTTCTCCCAAAAGTCTCTAGTGAGTGCTTCTACCTCTTTCTTTCGGCCGTCTCCCCTCTCTTTCATTCCCTGTGTTTCTATCTCTTTCAAACACAATTTGCAAATGGGATTTTGGTTGATTCTTTTGACTCCGACTTTGGCTTTGGGTTAATTAGTGAGTATCTTTCCTCAGCACGCACAAATAAAAAAAAGAATGACAACAACAATGCTTTTGGCGTTTGAGTGTTTTTTTTTTTAATTTGTTGTATTTTTATGTGTGTTTGTATGGGTAATGGCGGCGGCATTGCTGTTCTTATTAGCGTTGTAGCTTTTAAGCTTAAGCTTGTCCCGAAAATCTGGGTCACCAGTGCACAGTGGTTGCGCCCATAGGCCATAAATCGAAAAATCGACTTTAAAATAATTAGTCAAAATGTTAAGAATTTGTCTCTAAATTATCCATATTTTGTCATTGCAAGCTAGTTTTTTCCGGAAATCTAACGGTACATTCTAAAAATATAATGCAAAGTGTGAACACGTCTTCAATTTTGCTCCTGCAGCTGCGTTTTAGTGAGTTTCGTGAAAACAAAAGTGAAGTTCAAAATGGTCGGACGTTCGCAAAAATTCACCAAATTTAATTATTTAAAATGCATTTTAAAGTTAAAGGTATTAACTTTAAAAAATTGGTTTTATGAAATTTATCTGACTAATTACATATTATTTGTGTATTTTAGATCGATTAACCCTTTTTCGACTATTTTGTGAACATCTTTTTCATGTTTAGTTAAAGTTTTAGTTGTGATGCCATGAAATCCCACAAATAGTATGTATGTTAATGTGTTCGTCTGACTTTTAGGGTTTTATAAGCCTAAAATCAGCTGCAGAAATTTGCAGATGTTTATTTAATCGGGAAAATACTGATGCCATCTAGCGTTTGCAAAGTGAAAGTTTTTCCTTATTGTGCTTTTGTTTTGTCCTCGTCGCTCGTGTTTGTAATGTTTTTTTGAAATATTTTTATTTATTTATTTCATTGAAATTCACTAAAACTGGTTCAGGCATACAATCTGTAAGTTTGGTTTAAATTTCTTGAAAAACAAAAACGTTTTTCATACTATATACTTATTTCTTTCCTATCATTCCTATAGCAGCTATATGATATAGACGTACGATATGGCCAATTTTTTTACTATACATTTAAAATATTTTTTTAGAATTTTGGTGTAAATTTCGTTACAATAACTGAACTAGAAGTACTTATGGCCGCTGCTCAATACAAGCCCAAATACTGTGCAATGGCCGGTGTTCGACATGTGCTCCATGTAAGGGCCTGTAACTCTTGTAGTTTTTCAAATTTGGATCTGAAATTTTTTGAGAACATTTTCGGAACAAATATCTATACAATAAGCCAAAAAAAAATCGATTTTTTTCCGCCACAAACTATTTTTTTGTTATCATAACTTTTTTGAGAAGGTTGGCGTGGGAGTGGAGTTAAGCAATCGCTCCAATTTTTTTTTATTATAGTTCTATGCTTGTAAATAACTTCCAGTATAAATATTAGCCTGATCTGCCCATTAGAAGTGATTTTAGGACTGCTCTCTCATCAAAGCGCCACCACTGATCCAATCGTTCCTATGGAAGCTATAGGATATAGTGGTATGATCCGGTCAATTTTTTTATAATATATTTATAATATTTTTATAGATTTTTTGTGAAAGTTTCATAGCGATAGCACATCTAGAAGTATTTATGGCCGCGGTTCCATACAAGCCCGACCACTGTGCATGGGTAGGCGACAAAATACACGGAAAACTTTGGTATAATAAAAAAAAATAAAACTATACAATTTTATTTTCTTGGAATAAAAAAGAAATAGTTGTAAGTAAAATAATTTAATTGGTTATTTATTGGTTAATATTACTCTTTGTGACTTTAATCTCAAAACAACCTTTAATATCTTTCTAAGTGTTTTCTTTTTGGGTGTGTGGGTTGTCGGGTGGGTTGTGTGGGTGGCTCCGCAGCTAGGCAAAGGTCAAGACGAAACGCAATTGGCAGCGCGGCAGCCACACTCACAGCCTCGGGCAACTGGCGGCTTGGCAACCGGAAGTGGGTCAACGAAAACCGGATCCGCATCGTCAAATGCAAACGCAGCTGTGTGTGGAAAGAGATAAACAACAAATGGCAACAGCAACGGCAACAGCAACAACAACAGCAACAACCACAACCAAAGCCAAACAAACAACACAACACAAAACAAACATG